TTATATCGCGGAAAATTCCTGTTTTGTCCCTAGTTCACAGGTTCATGTTCACTGTAACAGAGCACCAGAGCCTATAATTATGTTCTACTTCTACTAAAACTGGATATCGGCCAAATTGAAATTTTTCACCTATTATGTTCACTTCGCTTGTTTAACTGCCTCCATTATTTTTCCTTTCATCTTATCAACTCATCCAACTTTTAACCTGCCACACGACACGATTTAAGAGGAGAAATACGTATCGTACCGGGGGTTAAATACGTATGATACAAGCAGTCGGTTTTAAAAACGTACGATACAAGCCGAATTTTATTCTCGAAAAATACCAAATTTCCAGGATGTCGTTTTCCCCCGAAATATTTATTTTTCGGTAAAACGTAAATGAATGATTAAATTAACGCTCAGATAGTACCTTATCGGACCTTATTTGGACGGACATTATTTGAACGGACATAGTTATGAACGGACATTAATATGAACGCTAGACGGCAATCAAACCATCAAAAACCCTAATTTTTTCATCTTTTTTTAACGTTTTTTTTATTTTAGCTTTATATGTGATCCACGAATCCACGAGCAGAGACATCATTTTTACTTCTTAATTTATAGCTTCTATGTACAGAGTTGTCATTGTCATGTGAACTCTACCCCATGGATCTAGTCCATTTCTATGTCAATTATATTCACATCACTTATATGATAAAGAAAAATAATAATAATAATTATGCGTCACTAATTGGTGACGTGATCTGACCCTTTTTGGGGGCCGGATCAGTTTTCTGACCCAAAGTCTCCCGGTGATCAACCGAGGGAGGACCGGAGGGGTCCAATATCTTACTAAGGCCAAGGAATAATAATTTTAGTGCCCAAAATTTGGACTGTCAGTAAAATGGCACGGATATATACACATATATATATCGTCTCGCTTTATATATAGTAAGATTATTATATATATATTTATTTATCCATGCCATTTTACTGACACCACGGCATCAACTTTAACACGACTTTCCGCAAAAACCGTAAAAGATATACAACTGAAACTTTTTTGACTGGGTCAAATGCTTTAATGGCCTTCAAATCAGCATGAAAAAATAAAAAATTGGCCAAGAAATAGGAGTTTTAGAGCCCAAAATTTGGACCCCCAAGTGGTGTCAAAAACGCGAATTAAATAGGTAATAATTATTTTAGTCTCTTGAGTCTTGACACCACTTTAGGGTTAGACGGGTTCCTGCTAGTGTATCCATGGATCACATCACTAATTAATTGTCATCAATTGTTGATTTGATCTAACCCCTCTTGGGGTCGTTTTTATTCTTGTACACCAATTTAATTATTAATTATCCGATTTACTGTTTGAATTTACAGCTACTCAATTATATATGAACGGCTGTAAAACACTTTATTTTTTATAGTATTGCAGACGTAAAAGCATGATTGATTGGGTCAAAATTTTGAAAATGTCAACGCTGATGTCAACGCTGATTCTGTTTATCTCCCTCATCCCTCTCAATTCCGGAGACGACAGCGAGGGTAAGTTGAATACGTACAAATTTAAATACGTGTAAATAACTATGTGCGGAGAAAGTGCAATTATTTTGTAATTTTATAGTGCGCCTGTACACATGGCAACATTAATTTCCAGACGGTTTTAGTCCGTAATTGGGTTTAAAGCCCAACCGATTACATTGAGAAGGTCGATCGTCTTGGTAGCTAAGTCAATGATTTTTTCTAGTGATCTTGGTGTCGTCAGCAAAGACCTTTACCAGAGTGGTAACCTTAATGTATCAAGTTGGTCGTCAATATAATACTATAATAGGATGAATAGGATGAAAACAACAACAATGGCGAACCTAGCAAGCTAGGATCAAGGGGCCGATCTCCTTTTCTTTATGCGGTGCGGCCACGGTCCTTTTGGTACAGATTTCCCTGCAGCATAGTCGGGACGCAACCCCAGGCAAATAGTAAATACACTCGTGTTATTTTCGCAGCTTTAATGAGAGTCACTACCATTCACACCATGGATTGGTGAGTGACGGCTGCCCATCAATTTTGAAATCTTGGCCCAACTGGGATTCGAACTCGCAACGTCATAGGGCCAGTAGACAAGCAGATTAACCAACTAAGCCACTGAGCCACTAAGGATGTATAGGATAGGTATTGGGTCCCAATACTGTTCATTGGGTTGCCCCACTGATTAATAGCTAAAAGGATGATTTTGTCCCTTCCACAACCACAGTTTGCAGGCGCTCTGTCAGGAATTCAGTCAGCCATTGCAGTGTCTTTCTTTTTATTCCGTAGCGATTTGCCTTTGCAAGTAGTATTTGTTGATCAACCTTATCAAACAGTCAAACGATTTGGCGTTATCATGTATCATAAAATATCACATCAACCTCGTTACCGCCATTGAGATTTTTCAGGATATTAGTCTTAAACAGCCTCGTTTCTTGCGGAATCCATGCTGATTGGGAGAAAGCTGTTTGATTCCATATGTTCCAAAAGATGCTTCTGACCACTCTCTCAAATATGTATCTTAATGATGTAAGAGGTTATCGAGACACGGCGGTAGTTAGCAGCACATTTTCAGTCTCCTTTCTTGAAGAGAAGCGTGATGTACTGTGCCTTCATGCTAGATGGTATGTCTCCGTTATCAAATGAGCCTTTCCAGAGGTTTTGCTGCGATAGAACCAGCTCCACTCGATTGTGGAGAAGATTACAAATGGGCTGATGGTAGTAAATGTTTGGACAATTCTTTTGATTGTGACGGGAAAGTTCATTGTGATGATGGCTCAAATGAATCAGATTGTGAAGGCAATTGATCGATACTTTTTTTGAATTTTCTATTAAATTTGACTCTAAAACTTAAGATTTTTTAATTTAATTGTTGTGGTTGCTCTAAAATAAAGTCCCGATAAGGCAGTATTCTATTTTATCCTTATACAGTTGATGTGAGCACACACTCTCTCTCTGTTCTGGTGAACGGTTTCTGGCCTCCTACTTTAAGAGAGAGAGGTTTTATCGCCGTGCCCACAGAATGCGACTCCTGCTAGCTGCACGCCAGGACTCCCAAAGTATATACGAAATCATAAATTAATAAATATCAATGCAACAGACCTCTGGAGTCTTGAAGATGTCACTACCTGTCTCAGAACAAACCCACTTCCGTTGTAGTACTTCTGCGGGCAGACAAGGGACTTCCGAGCAAGGTCAAAGCCTGGGAGATATGTCTCTATGCGGAGATGGGCCTAGGTTGAGTTCCTAGTGTGTGATTTAGCGAAAGTTCCTGGTGAAGAATCCAAGGATGTTACCTAGAAGAGTTTTCCATATCCAGTCGTGTCGACTGTTCCACAAATTTGAAGATATGGTTGAGTTTACTGTTGTTAAGATCCTCCGTAGGGGTTTACCGATTATCCTCATTCTGAGCGTCATGAGCTGGATGTACTTGCAGAGGAGGTGCTGGGATGTTTCTGCTTTTCCTGAAAAGTGTTCACAATCTTGAATCTCGAAGTTGATGTTGTTCGCCACGTTCTGAAAGTAAACTAGTGGGCTGTGACCTATCCTGACAGAGGCCATGTTAAATAAAAGTTCCTGCATTTATATTTGTGGAGGAACATCTCAAGTGTGATTTTTCTTTGTCACTGAGTGTGGCCTAATTGGGAGGAAGGGTTCTGGTCCTATGGGGATGTTGTTGGATTGATCGTCCCTTGCGAATTCGTCCATTAGTTCTTTACCGTATACTCCTTCATGTCCTGGAACATCTAAGTTCTACTCGATGTGAATACTTAGTGAGTTGAGTTGGTCTGAGATGTTCAGAACGAGCCTGGAGTTAAAACTAGTGCTGTTAAGCGCTTTAAATGCAGCCTGGGAATCTGAGAGGAATTAATGATTGATGGGGATCCTAAGTTATCATTAGTCCAGATACTTGCCATGTGTAACGCAAATAGCGGGTGCGATTTCCTCAATGAACCTGAAGGAGGATTGTCTGTCCTGTATTGTTACCATGTAACGTCGAGCTAATAAATTGAATCCAAAGTTTGAGTAATGCATTCGTTAAAAGATGTATGTCCTATTTGCATCCCCGAAGCATTGCATTGTTTTTATTCCTGGTCCGGTTAGCTTTGCGTCTCAGAATTAAAGAGGTCCGCTATGCTTTAGTGACCTATGCTGTCCACCAGGGTTCTGTAGATCTAAGGGTTCTCCGTGTAATGGGACAGGCTGTGATAAAGCATCTCATCAGGATGTCCGAGATGAACTGTTTTCGAGCGTTGAGATCTTCCGCTGTAGAAACTGATTAGAACCAGTAAGGGTGTCAGTCAAACTCTGCTGCTACTAGATTATTGTAGAGCGTCCAGTCACACTTCAATGAAGAGTGTGGCAAAGCTAACCCGGTCCCCTAACCCTATGTTAAATGTGATGGCCTGAAGATGAGCCCTTAGCTGTCTAGTTGAGAAGACCTGAAAAGTGGTTACTGGAGGAAGAAGTGCCAGGAATTCTCGCAATCAGTGTGTCCTCGTAGTCAGAGTGAGAGAGTTGAAATCCCTAACTCCGTCTTATCACGGGCCTGTGTCTAGCGTGTGTTAGCCCTTATGCATTAGCTGTCTTAATTGGATCGGTCAGTATATTTTCAGTCCTGGGAGACTTCAAATTTTGTGTAGCTAAGTAAGTGTGCTCACATCAACTGTATTAGATTTTATTGTTATGCAGTTGATGTGAGCACACTTACTTAGCTACACAAAATTTGAAGTCTCCCAGGACTGACAATATATTGAACGATCCAATTGTTTCACCTTTAACTTCTCACGATTAAATATGGCTGATACACCGACAGATAGGGTTGTCCATTATCGAACCAATAAAAAATTCTTTACAATGAATTAAAGTGTATACAATATGTATTGTATATTTCTCCACCGAGCAATCCGGGTTGTATAAAATATTCACAAAAGTTTATTATAATTCTGTAATGATCCATAATTCAATAATGATAAACTTCTCTTAAGACCCAACAGATATCTCTTGTCGGGAAGAACAGTTCACATGCGCTGATCGTAAAAGATGTTTGGAAAATTCTTTTGTTTGTGACGGAGAAGTTCAGTGTGATGATGGCTCAGACGAATCAGATTGTGAAGGTAATTGATCGATACTTGTTTTGTAAATTTTCTATTAAATGTTACCCAAAAAACTTACGATTTTTTAATTTTATTGTTGTTCTGGTTGCCACATCTTATACCTTTCAATATAGAAGAGGTGGGTTCGAATCTTTTAGTTACCCTTATCCTTTCACTGGGTGAAGTTCGTTGATCTTCCAAATTAGCCCTGGCTCACAAAGCTTCTGGGTTTAAATCATGGTAATTGGTTCTTTTTTAGAGACTTGTGACCCTGAGGAGGCAGAAGTAGTAATTCCTGGAGGAAATTTTGTCTCGGAAAGGGAAGAAGGCGAGAACTATAAGGATGGAGACAAAGTGAATTATATCTGTAACGACAACTTTGCTATGGAAGGGAATCCTTTTGTGGTCTGCAGTGCAGGAGGCAAATTCAACAGCCAACCTCCTAAGTGTACAGGTTTGAAAATCCAGGAGGAAAGTTTGTAATTTTGCATAAATAATTAATTACAACATTACAAATTGATTAAATTTATCTAATAACATATCTAAGGCTGTGTTTCATTTTTAATGAAAAACACGAACAGTAATTCAAAAATATAAATTTAAGGATGAAACAAAACATAACAATCAATTACCATCCCAACCTTAAAATGTTCAGCTGTCAACACCGACTGCGACGAGTTTACGGTAGAAAATGGAAAACTCAGTATCAAGCATCCCTACTTGACTAATGATGTAAGTACTTAAGGGGCCATCTACTAAGGACGTCCGGCAAATATAGGGAGGGGGCTGGGGGTGGTTTTGGAATTTCGGAAAAATCCGGATAGGGGTAGGTATTTTTCTCTTAGATAGAACTAGATATTAAGAATTTGGTAAATTTTTTGTATGACTATTTCCATTATTGAGACGTTTTTAATATTTAATTTAGGAGGGTTTTTGTCATTTTTATAGGACTGGTTCACAGTGTCAACAAATTCCAGATTTATATATTTTTAAACTGATATTTGATAAATGATTAAAAGAACAAATTTTAAAGTTGTCATACTAAAGCTCCTTTAGGTCCAAAAATATACCCATTATGCTCACTTAAAAGCAACTCTAAATCAGTAGGCTGTCACTCTATTAATGCTTTAATGCACCACACCGCTACTTCCACTCCTAATAGTTATACAATAAATTCTACAATCCTAATTTTGTATCGTGATGGAGACCGGTGTCCATACAAAACTTTTACAAGGTTGCCGTTTGGTGTGAGCAATAGCGAACAGCACGCACACTATAGCGCAAGGAGGATAAATATTGAGGAGAACACCAAGTCATAAAACGATATTATATTACTTTATATGGCAGTGTTAGTGTTACCTTGGTAACATGCCCATATATGGGTGTCCCCCAACCCGTTTATTCCCCGGCTAATTTTATTCTCATTAGAAACTATCTACCCATGAGTACTCATCAGTAGGAAAATTTGATTGTACGTGAAAAATGAAAAGGACGTGCCAGGTACCTATGATATCGATCTTAATTCATCCGTGATAATTGTGACGTATAATTATAAATATAGTTGCACTATAAATTATAAAACCCAATTCTCTCCAGGAAGTACAAGTAACTTGTGGAACAGACTACTTTCCGGATGGAACAAACCCGATAAGGTGTGTGGAGAATGGTTGGGAAAATGACGCGCCTGTTTGTGTTACAGATGGTAAGGATGGGAAATATTAATGGAATATAATATCTCATGCAAATGCGACGTTTCCTTTTCCTCGTATATCTGTATATGATATAAAACACCGTGTTGTACCCCAAGACATTTCTTATAAACATTCCAATATTATTTTCAGATGGTAGTCAATGTGTACCGTTAAGTCCCCCCAAGAACGGGGATTTTACCTGCTCGGGACTTGATGAGGGTAAAGCTGTAGCTGGGAGCAAGTGTAGCGTTTTCTGTAAAGAAAGTTTCTTAGCTGTTGAAGATGCAGTTGAGGTAACTACTACGGACTGTAAGATTAAACTGTCAATTAGCGCTAATATGTATCTGAAAAGCAGTCAATGTTTTGGTTTGTTCGACCAACAAAGCCCAATTTTGCATTTCGGGTGATTTATGTTTGCTTTCATGAAACCATTTCAGGAAACCACGTGCGAGGCCGATAGTTTCACGTGGACACATCAGAATTCAGACAATCCTCTTGCAGAACTCCAGCCTTGCATGGGTATTTAATGGGTATTCAATGGGTATTTAATGGTTATTTAATGGGTATTTAATGGGTATTTAATGGGTATTTAATGGGTATTCATTGGGTATTTAATGGGTATTTATTGGGTATTTAATGGGTATTTAATAGCCTGGGTATTTAATGGGTATTTAATGGGTATTTAATGGGTATTTAATGGGTATTTAATGGGTATTTAATGGGCATTTAATGGGTATTTAATGGGTATTTAATAGGTATTTAATGGATATTTAATAGGTATTTAATGGGTATTTAATGGGTATTTAATGGGTATTTAATGGGTATTTAATGGGTATTTAATGGGTATTTAATGGGTATTTAATGGGTATTTAATGGGTATTTAATGGGTATTTAATGCGTATTTAATGGGTATTTAATGGGTATTTAATTGGTATTTAATGGGTATTTAATGGGTATTTAATGGATATTTAATGGGTATTTAATGGGTATTTAAAAATTTATTAAGGAATTTAGAAATTGATAAAATACAGGTCTGGCTTTGATAATATGTGTTTAAAATAAACCACATTTAACAAAAACGTTACCAACAAAGTATTTAATAGTTCTATTCTCGAGATTGGTTGGTCATACTCATTGGTCACGGGAATTTTGTCAGGAGTAACAAGTTTAATCTCAATAACCATAAATGTTATAAATCCAATTTTCAGCAATGATTGCACCAGAAGAAAAGATGTTAAGCAACGAAGTAACGATCAAGAGTATTTACTGTCAGACTGAAGATGAGGTAAGAACATTTTTATGACTTTATGAGAGAAGTAATCTCAATCAGATCACCACAGCTTTAGCTCAATGAGTGAATAAAAAATAATATCATGGTTTCTTAAAAAGGAACGTCGAAAGATTAATCATACCTGTTATATAATTGTGGCACTTAGTGGCATGTCAACTGATGAAACTTTTTCAGAAAAAGGCAATAACTGAAACTTTAAAAAAGTTCCTCCAAGAAACGCTTCTTATCTCCTGCTTGGGATCAGGAGTTTGCCAGGTTAGTTAATACACTTTGAAGCTTTGAAGGTACAATAACCTGAGGTACACCGTACTGGGGTACACCATACTGGGGTACACCGTACTGGGGAACACCGTACTGGGGTACACCGTACTGGGGTACACCGTACTGGGGTACACCGTACTGGGGTACACCGTACTGGGGTACACCGTACTGGGGTACACCGTACTGGGGTACACCGTACTGGGGTACACCGTACTGGGGTACACCGTACTGGGGTACACCGTACTGGGGTACACCGTACTGGGGTACACCGTACTGGGGTACACCGTACTGGGGTACACCGTACTGGGGAACACCGTACATGGGTACACCGTACTGGGGTACACCGTACTGGGGTACACCGTACTGGGGTACACCGTACTGGGGTACACCGTACTGGGGTACACCGTACTGGGGTTCACCGTACTGGGGTACACCGTACTGGGGTACACCGTACTGGGGTACACCGTACTGGGGTACACCGTACTGGGGTACACCGTACTGGGGTACACCGTACTGGGGTACACCGTACTGGGGTACACCGTACTGGGGTACACCGTACTGGGGTACACCGTACTGGGGTACACCGTACATGGGTACACCGTACTGAGGTACACCGTACTGAGGTACACCGTACTGGGGTACACCGTACTGGGGTACACCGTACTGGGGAACACCGTACTGGGGAACACCGTACTGGGGTACACCGTACTGGGGTACACCGTACTGGGGTACACCGTACTGGGGAACACCGTACTGGGGTACACCGTGCTGGGGTACACCGTACTGGGGTACACCGTACTGGGGTACACCGTACTGGGGTACACTGTAATGGGGTACACCGTACTGAGGTACACCGTACTGGGGTACACCGTACTGGGGTACACCGTACTGGGGAACACCGTACTGGGGAACACCGTACTGGGGTACACCGTACTGGGGAACACCGTACTGGGGTACACCGTAATGGAGTATACCGTACTGAAGTTTACCGCACTGAGATACACCGTACTGTTGTTCACCGATGAATAAAATAGCGTTCTACAGAATTATTAAATCCCAATTTTATAACCCTTTCATTTCAAGGTTAATGATGTGCTTTGTACGCCGGGCAATGATGATATCGTGCTAAATTTTGACGTGGTGCAAACTAGTGATATGCTGAACTTGGAAGTGCTGGAGGAAGCTAAAACGAAAATAACAAATAGTGTGACGTCTGAAACCTTCACTCTGACGTTAGCTTTTTCAATTATTTCTCCTATAGAGAATCAAAAATAGTGAAAGAGCATTTTTCATTTTGCCCCTGTTTGTTGATGTTTTGTCTTTGATGAATAAAATTGTACTATACATTTCCTTCTATTGTGTTTGTTTAATCTCCACTTATTGGATATTAATTAAATGCTAATTACAAATGCCAATTGGATACTTATTATTTCAGAATTGACGATGGAAAGAGGAGGAGAAGGAGGTCGGTCACTATGTCAGCTGACAAAGATTTTCTGAAGGTTGAAGAAAAGGTGACATGCGGACCTGGGGAGGTAACCAAGGATGGAGTCTGTGGTACGTTTAACTATTATTAGAAATTAGAAAATAATTATAAATTAGAATCTATTTTAGGCTCCTCGATTTTTTTTTCTTCATTAAACTGTTAAAGTGCTAAAAGAATGCATCGTTATTTGTTGCATCTTAAAAGTACACTTATTTATGATTAAGTTAAGGAGACAGATGTTTGAAGTCCTCTACTACTCTCGTTAAAATGATTGCCGAGTTAATTATTTTATGAAACAAATTATTTGCTTCATCTCACTTCAAGGAATATAGTCGATAGATAAGAATTCTTTGCTAAACAAATTCCCTCATTTGAAATCCCCCTTCACCTCCACCAGTAAAATGTCCCGCTGGTTACAAGACTGTCGACGGAGCATGTGTAGCATGTGAGATAGCAACATACAACGCAGCTGAGGGAGCTTCAGATTGTATAGCGTGTGATGGAGATAAGACTACATACGGTATAGGGTCTACTAAAGTTGACCAATGCTTTGATCTCTGCACCGTGCCTGAAGTAAGTTATCTGACTATATAACAATAGTATCTTTATTTACAGATCTTCACGTTAGGAGCAAAAACAATTCTTTAACATACAAATTATCGGGGATATCAGGCAATTTGTAAAAATGCGCTATGAGGCTGCCACACTCTACTCGAATGAACATGAGGTCTGAATAATGTTTCATTCTAGAGGCCATAACCATAAAAAAAAACTTTGGGTTAAGATGAGACCTTTGTTCTCTTTAGGCTTTTAGGGTAAAGATTTCAGCAAAGGCCAAAGTCTGATTTTTGGCTGAGTTTAGAATTGGACGAGTTTTTAGTTAAGATAATATTTAATAATTAAAAACCTTCCTTCCTCAGATACCAGGAGGCTCACTGAACAAGGAAGTAGGTTTCAAAGTGGAGCCCGACTACATTCTGGTTCTAACGTGTGATGATGGCGAGACATGGAGGTCAAGTGTGGTACCTACTCAGCAAGTACACACTTTTGTACAGTTCCCGGTGGTCGGAGAGATTATTCCGATGCTGCCATTCACAAAACCGCAACGATTATTTTCATTGCTTCTCTGTTATGTCTCTTAGCATAAGTTTCTAAAACTAATTCTTCTACTTCGTAGTGGGCTCTGGTCATTGTCATTATAACTTTAAGATAGAGCATGACCACTGTAAGACCACTGTACTTACCCCGTTAAGACCACTACTATTCTTTTTATTGATCCTTTTCTATATCAATATGACGTCTTAACAATAACATAATTTTCTAAGACCACTACAATTATTTTCATTCCTCTTTTTTGAGTTTTTTAAATATGATTTTATAAGACCACTACAATTCTTCGCATTCATTTTTTCTATGTGTTTTAAACCTACGTTTTAAGGGTTCTTGTGCACTGTGACTGTTCGAACAGAAGGACGGAGCAGCATTATCAGGATAGTTATCAAGAGAGGTATGGGGTCGTTCAGATATTACGTAGTCAGTCGAGGGGGGGGGGGGGCTGGGTGTTGATTACGGTTGATTACGGAGGGGGGAGCGGAGGGGGTACAAATTGTAATTAAAATATTGATTACGTAATATGTAAACGACCCCTATCACTTTTGCAACAAATATGAACGATCATGGACTACTTAAAGCATGAGCACGAATAGTCTATTAAATTGTAGACATCTATATATTAATTAGAACTTTGTTACAACCCCGTTTTTTATCTTTCAGTGAATTATGATATAAATAATATGTACATAGTAATGTATTGTTAATTGTTACTATAAGTTATTGTATCATTTATTCACTATTATACAAGATGTCCCAGTTTGAAGTTAAATTACAAATCATGCACTATGATTCTCCAGAATCTGTGTTTAACATTTTAGGGAAAAATTATATTAGGAACCTGTTCATTTGGCACATGTGTTACAAAATCTCCTCCCAATAAATTAAAGGATAATTCAGTTTTCACTGGAACTGGAAGGCGATATAATTTATAGTTTTTGCCATTTTTGCGGCCATGAAAGATCGAATCTGACCTTGAATTTGAAGTTGAACTCTTATACAACTACAAGGTTTAAATAACACTAACTATAAGGTTTACACTTTACACTTACAATATAATATTACAGGTATGTGATTCAAGCTCGGTTAGGCAATATTCAATGCAGTGGCACAACGTTACCTGGGGACACCGGCTATTATATTTATGTTCATAATAATTTAAATCATGGCGATTCGCGGCGGAATGACAGGCTGAGCGCCGCCTAGTAAGCGTAACGTTGCCAAGAAACGCGAACGTACGATCTTGCGATAGGGATTGATTATCGATGCAAGTAGAATTACTTTAAACAACATTAATACTAATAGTATCCAATCAAATTACCGGACAAATTCCCCAAATAATGCTTTCTCTATGAATTTAATAATAGGCAGTGCGCCATCGACAATAAGACGCGCGCGCTGACCATTGAATGGTTTTTAAGCTTTTATTTCGGCCAGCACATTATTTTGGAAACAATCGAAAAGTTATAATACTTCCCATATAACAATTTTGTTGAAATTTGGTTAGCTTACGTAAACACTTATATTTTACTGAACCTAATTAAAATTTAGTTTGAGCAATTTTGATGGTCAGAATTTGAGTTATCAACGAATTTATACCTATTTTGTCATTTTTAGACCTCTTAATCAAGGCCAATCTCTCCCAACTAAATTAGTTTCGGTAGTTAAGTATGATTGGAAGGTTCTGACAAATTTTCAGCATGATTCATGTTCAGGAACCGAAGATATGACAGAATAATACGACAAAAATCAACGAATTTCGTCAAATTACGCGACTTTTACACCGAATTTTGCTCCAAAAGCCGCGCACCATCAAATATGGCACCTAGGCGAAACTCACTGATCATTCCAAAAAGGTATAATAAATTTGGTACTGTGAAAATTCTCACAGTCTTTAGAAAACGATGGTACAAAAATTTTGAAAATCCGAGCAAGTTTATTTTTATCGTGCACCGCCTATTAATAACAACGTACCCGACACAATTATCTTCATGATGGTTTACTGGGCCGCGCTCAGCCTGTCATTCCGCCTATATATAATTTATTATATACGCCTGATATACTAATCTGAGGTTCCCAGGTAACATGATAGTCTGATTGCATTTACATTAATACGCGATGATCACGCCGGACGAAAAGAATGTTAATTAATCACGCAGTGCTGTCGCCCTTAATATTCTAATATACGTACCCCCCCCCCTATACTACAAGTACATATTATACCCCGGCCCTTTACTGGTTTTCCAGGCATAATGATAAGGACTCATCGGAATTCGTTCGGCAGGTTTATTTTTAGTTCAACAGTCTAATTCAATGCAAAAGATGACACGGATAAGAAATAGTTGTGTGGAGGTTTTTTTTAAATTGCATAAATAAAATATGCGCCAGCACTGTTAGTGTTTGAGTGTTATTTGTATCACGTTGCGACCCCCACGGTCGTTCTGACGATACAGGGGGAGCCGCGCACTTCGTGCGCGGCGGGTCATACAACGTATGACAAAGTGTTATCACAGTGCTGGCAAGCACGAGCGGTGTCTTTATTTGGGGTATACTATGTACCCCCTTTACTATTGTACCCCCTTTGGTACACATTGGAAGCCTCTTTCGTGCACGCGAAGCGTGCACTCCGGCCGGAGGCGGCGGCCGAAGGCCGCCGCCTCCGGTAGGAGTTTTTCAGGCATTAAGACTCATCGGAAGTCGTTCAGCAGATTTATTTTTAGTTCAAAACATTCTAATTTGATGTCAAAGATGACAGGAATAAAAAATAGTTACGTTGAGATTTTTAAGAAATTTGCATAAAATACTCGCCAGCACTGTTATACGAAATTCGGTAAAAAACCCAAAATCGCCATATTCAGGTGCCTTAAAAACCATGTTAAAATTGAGTTAGAGATCTGAAATTTTTCAGGGCGTCTAGACGTTGACCAAATCGACTGCAAAAAAAGTTTCGGGTTTCAGGAGCATCGGGAAGTGGGTTTTCTAGAACCCCTGTTTTACGACAGATTGTCGTGATATCTATCTATATATATACATATATATATATATATTCAGGGATAGACGCTTTGCCAGTCAATTGTAGCCTGTATTTAATTGTCCATAGATTCAAAAGTATAAAAGATACAGCCATTTCCGACCACATGTCTTGAAAATAATTGTTTACACTTTAGTTTACATTGTATAAACAAATTATTTGACGTCATGAATACCCCTTGATGACGTCATCAAGTTAACCGTTTTTAAAACTTGATTTTTGACAAAGTAATAACTTTTAAAAATGATTTTACACCATTAAAAAGTAATTGTATTCAAAATCTGAGGGAATTTTTATCTTAGATAATTGTTCAAGCATTCTGAAAATCTACCGGAAAGTTTTTCTAGCTTGTTCCTTCATAAAGATATTCGTCATTGAAGTTTGTGCTTTTTTGAAGAATTATTTTATAAAAACGTCAATTTTGCGATTTAGTATTCTCTGGTGTTAGGCCATGCCTTGGGTTGTGGAGCTCAGTTCTGCTTTCTATAGGTATAAATTGTGCATTAGGCTAGTTTTAAAGTTGAAAATCGAAAAGTTGCACACGTGGGGACACGCCCAAAATGATAGAAAATTGCTAAAATCACTGAAAATTGGTATTTTCACGATTTTTATCAGCTTTGGAGTCCCGTTGTGATGAGAGTTCTTCCTGAAATATTCTGAAACTTTCCACACTTATTAAACTAGATATAAAATACAAAGATGCAAAATTTTACGGTGATTTGATATTGGATGCGCACGTAACGTCCGCTCAAAGTTTGCACGTGCGAAAGGTGAGCAATTTTTCTCATTTCTTATTTCGAATAAATTCTTTCCCACGACATTTAAATGGCATTATATATATGAATTTAATACCGACTTGAAAAGTGTCATATTCAGTCAGTTATCAACAGATATGCCTACCTAAACACAAGGAAATGTTTTCAAAGGTTAAATTCCGAAATCGTTGAAATCACCTCTTTAATAATATTAATGAAGTTATGAGTTTACATTTCGGCTTTGTAAAGTACCCTTACTTTATATTTATAATCAAAAAGAGATGATATTTGACCAAAACCCATAATTATGGGTAGAGTGGAGCGCTGTCAGTGTCTCTCTTTCCCAAACAAAAGGCAATGATATCAATTTGAATGACCGTTATCAAATACAAAATGAAACCGAGAATGAAATCGGACGCTCGTTTTCCCCATTCATTTACAATTGAAATAGATTAAATGTTATAAATCGAAACTTATTACAATTCGTAAGCCATGAATGAGTGGGAAAACGAGCGTCCGATTTCATTCTCGGTTTCATTTTGTATTTGATAACGGTCATTCAAATTGATATCATTGCCTTTTGTTTGGGAAAGAGAGACACTGACAGCGCTCCACTCTACCCATAATTATGGGTTTTGGTCAAATCAGTTATACGGAATTCGGTTAAAAAACCCAAAATCGTTGAGGCCGGGGGAGGGGGTTTCCAAATGCTTACGGTTGATTACGGGGGGGGGGGGGGGGGGGGGGGGGGGGGTTACGCAGAAGAATTTTTTTAAAAATTTCAGCTGGCTGCAACCTAGGCCAACTATTGAACGACAATAAATCTGGAGCTACTTTTTCGGTAGTTAATTAATGATGGCCTTGGGATAAAAAACTTTAAAAAAGAAAACGACCATATCATAACTATTAATCTTAGAAAAAGTAATGACATTAACAATACTGAATACATATAAATACATAAATATTTGATCTTCGACGCTAAGATTAAGAATAAAATAAATGGAAAACTATGAACACGAATATATTATACAATAAATAGAGAGCAAGTTTACAAGCTGATTGGCCCCTTAGTAACCGTAAAGCTTCCCAGTGACTCGTACTTTTGAATGAAAGTTGCCATGTCAACACGACTGTACTTTCTCGCCAAATCCAAAAACACAATAACAATTAAATGTAATAGAGTGTTAAGTGTTCAGCATTCAAATTTTTTAGAATGCATCACACTGAGATCACGCCAGCTGATTGTAGATAGAAATGACAAATATTTGCAAAAACTAACAGTTTAAAACCGCACATTTTAATCGTCCCCAAATAGAAGTGGCAAGGCAGCATCAGGGTGGACACTTACGGCGAACAATTCCATCCAAAAATAGGAACCAGGGCAAATTCAAAAATTTAAGAAATCTAAAATTATTTCAGACATTTCTGAAGGTGCAAAAGTGAAACCTTCACGGTATATGAGGCCAAGGTATACAAAATTGAGAGTTTACAATTGTGACATTTCACGGTCACGTAAGTGTCCCGTTACTTGTGGTCACTCAGTCACGTGACTGATACACAGACATCACGTGACTGACTAGCACAAGTGTGACGTATGCGCGCACATCACGTGTAAACCCACGTGTGTGTGACGTTTGCGCGCGCATCACGTATACAAGCACGTGCACCTTGTGCAGATTTACAATATCTGGATACGGTGGTTCCAGGTGTCCACTACGATCAGGCGACCATCCTGGTTCAGCTCAACACAACAAGGACCGTCAAATTGTCCGTACTTCTTTCCTCGTACTCCGTATTTTCCGTGATAGCTGAAATTAAATAGATTTAAAAATTATCCAACTTGTAAAGAATTATGCACAAATTCCCAACCAACTTTTGGGAGGGACACGCAATATTTGAACATAATTTAGCGTTGAGCACTAGAATCTAGAACATATTAAAGTAACCTAAAGTAAGTATTACCTGAATTTCAAGGAGCAATTATGAATTATAGCAACATAAATCAAAAGCTATAGTCAAAGTCAGATATAATGTTATGTAAATGTAATAAATATATTATATAGTCAACTTACTGGCCACGCTCGTCAAAGATGGAGATTCTGCAGTTACCCCATTCTGACACAATAATACCGCCCTGAGCGTCAACTGTGATGTCACTGGGTCCCAGAAGTTCTCCTTTTCCTTTGCCCTCTTTTCCGAAATGACCGATGTATCCACCGTCGAAGGCGTAGATCTGGAATGAAGTTGCGTATTATTTATCAATTAAATAGGTGCATTTTGTATAAAGGCAAAAACCTCGCCTGTACTTTGTTTGAAATCATCATGACAATCTGCATCCACGATCGCGCAAAAACACAAAATCTACACGAGTTCATCACAGGAATATAATTGTGCTGTAAATTGTACCTTGATCTCAGCAGGCTTCATTTGGGTGACGTAGATGAGACCGTGAGAATCACAGCACACACCCACCGGCTGGTGAAGGCGTCCCTTGGGGTCATTGTAATCATCACCTCCAATTACTCTCAGGAAGTTACCCTGTAAAAATTAATTGGTTAATTAATTAATTAATTGATCAATAAATTGATTGGTTAATTGACTAATTAATTGATTATTACAACAACTCGTTAAATTGAGTTTCAATCAATTGATTAAGTAATTGATATGTTGATAACACGATTATCATTGATGATAAATGTCTAATTTAATAATTGAGTAATTACCCTGCTGTCGAAGATCTGGACACGGTTGTTATCAGAATCAGTAACAATCAGATAGTTGTCCTTAGTGATACAGATCTTGCGAGGATTGTTGAATTGTCCCTCTAGTTTTCCTTCACTTCCGATAGTCTTAACAAACTTGCCCTGAAGAATCAGGTGTTAACATCTTTTTGAAAATAGCCGAAGGATTTAAATTTCCAATTTATCGTTGGCAAAGTTTGTTCAAACATTTTATCGATTAAACAGTTTGAGAATTGAAAGTAAGCTTGTACCTGAGTGGTGAATACTGCGAGTCTGCTATTTCCAGAATCTACCACATACAGGAACCCTTGACTGTCGACAGCTGTATCAGTAGGGTTGCTGAGTTCTCCCTTGCCACTGCCCTGCTTTCCAGCACCAATGATGTGAGAGAATACTCCGCTCTTCTTCAAGCACTGTACTCGGTTGTTCTCTGTGTCAGCTACGAACATGTTGCCCGACTTGTCGAAACTGATTCCCATGGGTTTCTTGAATTCACATACTCCAGTTCCAGGTTTGCATCCTTGAGCTCCGATAGCACGGACACCTGGGGAATGATGATTTTTAGAATTCGCGAGAGTTTTGGATCATCGAGAAGAATTTATGTACTGTATAGCATTTTTAATTAATGTAAAAGATGGATGAAGAATCGTGACAATCGTAGTTGACACAACTATCTGCAAATCATCGCTAAATCACCAAACAGTTAATAATCACGCACCTTTACCGACGTAATGGTCAGTGATATTGTCTCCCATTCCCTCACCGAAACCCTTGACATGGTCCTCGTCACCGTCAACAGCAGATCTCAGAGTTGAGAACTCACCGGGGCTAAATAGAGAACAGTTCGTTAGATAATTTTAGAAATAAGGAATTATTCCTTCTAGAATATTTATAATATTTGCCCGAACAATCGTAAGATTCTGTGATCATGTCACTTGTGCCGGATTCTACATGAGGTTTGAGCTTTTGAGGATGCATAAGAAATACAGATGTAAATAATACCTGATTGGACGCCCATGACTGGTTGCAGCGTGACTGCTGGCTCCTTGTCTTCCAGTGGAAGTCCTCTCTCTCATTTCCTTGATAGGCTGGGCGTTGTATGTCTCAACAACAAACTTGCCGAGTCCGTCAATGAAGGTGGTGATGATGGTCTCGTTTACTTTCTGGAACTCGATGTTCTTCCTCTTAACACCAATGTCAAGGTCAACATTCTTCAGCTCCTCCATTCGCTCGTAGATCTGAAATTATGACAAAATTTAATTAATTGGGTATGGACTTAATTACTTCACTGAACGATCTACATTGATAGTTAAATGAGGAGCGACATATTCATGTTCATCATTCAATGAATATGGTAAATATGGTTACTATGGTTACTATATTTACCTGAGCTTCCATTCCCAAGATATCAACATCGGAACCGTCGTTAAGAAGGTTAGCGACGAAGTCACAACCGGCCTGGGTAGACTGCATTGCAACGGTCAACTCTTCCCTTTTGGCTTCCAATTGGGACACACTAGCTTGCTTCATCTGCTCAACTGAAATACAAAAGGTTTATTTAGGAGTTCATTTAAATTATGTGAGTATCCTGTGAAATTCGGTGTTAACACAGAGTGGTCCATAAGTCAGTGTGCAAAAGTTTGGGCTTACAACATTTTTCAATCGGAAGCTGATCAGTGACCCATAGTAAAAATATAAAATATTTGTTGTTAGATACCATTCGAATTTTTCCTCTAGGACTAAAGTAAAAAGCAAACAGAATGCACGATTAGAAATGCACTTCAATAGTACCTGTGTTAAGGAGATGTTGTTCCCTGTTTTTGATAGATTTCTGTACCCGCTCAATCATGGTCTTGATGTCGTTCTGGGCCTTCTTGGCTTGCTCCTGGACAAAGATGTGTTATTAGAATTATCTACAGAGCTAGCAATACGGCACATATTTCACGAGTGTAAATAAATGAAGGCAAAAAAACGAAATCGAAACTTATGTCAGAGTTAGTGAAAGTGAAATTAATCAGACAGATATGTGGAATTACATACCTTCATTTCATGTTCCTCGTCCTTGAGAATGCTGATGCTCTGGTTCAGAGGCTTCAGCTTAGACTGGACGGCATCAAGAGCAACCTTGACGTTGTCCCGATGGGAACCAATGATCTCGTTGATTGGCTTCACCTTCATGTTCTTGTACTCTCCTTAAGACAGATAATTTTACTAAATTACAAGTAAATACATATATAATATAGTACAAATTTATGTTTTTATCGATTTAAAATCCACAATATATAATACTAAAAGCGCAACCACAAGCGTGTAAAGGAGAAATAAATAACAGTGAATTATAATCGTACCTAGGGTACAATCCCTGCAGATGCACTCGTTGGTAGTCTCACAGTACAGTCTCAGTGTCTCTTCAGGATGCTTGGAACACAGTTGGATTCTGTGGTTAGCCTGCCAACGGAGAAAACAGTTAGTGTTAATGTGATATTGTGTGGTGCAACTTTGGTAAGAAACACATTTAATTGTTTGAATTTTACTGTTTGAATTTAACTGTTTGCATTTAACTGTTTGCATTTAATTGTTTGAATTTCATAAGAGCAGCTAGAGCCAAGAACATATTATATTATGATTTAAATAATACGTCGAAAATAAAACCGGACAATTATTATAAATGCTAAGATGATGTTTATGGTAGAAGATTCTAGACCTGATAATTCTAATTAAATAACTTTAAATTCCTAATTACCTGAAGGGACCTATCCTTGATGAGCTCATCAAAGTTGAAGATGTGGTGATCTTTTGTGTACTTTAGGGAGCTGTAAATAGATTTACAGTCCTTACAGTAAGCTTCTTCAGCTTCTACGCACCAGAACTCAGCACCTGTAAATTAGTTTAATTCAGTAATTGTTAGTTGTTTTTAACAGATTTGAGTACATTAAGAAATATTTGGTAGCTTTACACTAGTTTTTAGGTTGAATTTATTAAAATTTCATCGTATTTTGCATTTTCTTATAAAATTTATTTCGTAAGGTAATAGGTTTCCTGGTACATCTTGGAATGAATTATGAAACACAATGTATTCAAAATCACAACATCAAATAAAATATCAGATCAAAAACCCAGACCTTTTCTTCAACTAATTTTGATAATTAAACGAATTTCTTCGACCAGTTGCTTCTAATTTATTCATAACTCACGAATAATCCAATTAGTATAAATGTATTATAATTATACCAACTAATTACCTCGGTTTCCACAGCCATCACAAGACTTGTGCTCCTTCTCTTTGTTGAGGGTGAGGATACGGATGAGGTTCTCAATCATGTTGTGCTTGGGGAAGTTCCTTACATCTCCGTTGATGAGGGCAACCTCCTTACGGCAGATGGGGCATCTGAAGGAGCAGAACATAAACAACATTATTTAACATAATTAGTCAAATTATCATAATTAGCCTTCATTCTCAGAGCGAGTAGAATAATCTAATTGAAGACAGAAATTGATTCGCATACTGTGATCGTTTTGGCCACATCAAATACATCAAATACGAAAAGAGTGAAGAAGCAACATAATCATGATGATGATGATAATGATGAGCATGATTAAAATAATTAACATAATTAATTAAGACAACTTACACGACGTAGCTGTTAGACCCAGCAGCCTGAGCAAGACAAGCCTCACAGTACACATGGAGACAGGGCAGGACACGTGGGGTGGTGAAGTGGTCCCGGCAGATGGGGCACTCTAGCTCATTCCACATGTGAGCTGCTAGTTTCTCGTCCGTTACTCTGAAGGGAGTAATAATATCAGTACTTATAATATTACTAACATATTACTAATATTACTGATATATTACTAATATTACTGATATATTACTAATATTACTGATATATATAACGTTACTCTGGGGGAGGGAGAGTTATCTAGTGGGGATTAGGGGTTAGATTACTTATTACTAATACTAATAATATATTACTACTAACATCACTAATATCACAGTGCTGGCAAGCATGACCGTGCCTTTTACACCTCCCATACTATACCGCCTTTACTGTTTTTCAGGTATTAAGGCTCATTGGAAGTCGTTCGGTAGGTTTATTCTTAATTCAACACATTCTAATTCGCCGTCAAAGATGACAGGAATAAATATTAGTTATGTGGATATTTTTAAGAAATTTGCATAAAATACGCGCCAGCACTATTTTACGAAATTCGGTAAAAACCTCAGGTGCCTTAAAAACCATGTTATAAAATTGAGTTAGAGATTTGAAATTTTGCAGGGCGTCTAAATGTTGACCAAATCGACTGTAAACAAATATTAATGCTTTTCAAACAAAGTTACAACGAATTCTTCATGTAGTGCATCCTGTATCATGCATAGATAGACATTATACGCTTTGGCAGTTAATTATAGGTTATATTCAAGTGTCCGTAGATTCAAACGCTTTTAAGATACAGCCATTTCGGACCCCAGGTCTTGAAGATAATCTTTTGGACTTCAGTTTACATTATATGAAAGAATAATTTAACATCATCATTACCACTTGATGACGTCATCAAGTTAACCGTTTTTAAAACTTGATTTTAGACAAAGTAACAACTCAAAATTTGAGGACGTATTGAAGTTAGATAATTGTTCAAGTATTATGAAAATCCTTTATAAAGATATTCACTATTGAAGTTAGTGCTTTTTGAAAGAATAATTTTATAAAAATACAAAAGTTGTGATTTAGTAATAGTATTCTCTGGTGTTGGGCCATCCCTTGGGTTGTGGAGCTCAGTTTTGCTTTATATAGGTCTATATTGTGCATTAGGCTAGTTATAAAGTTAAAAATCGAAAAGTTGCACACGTGGGGACACGCCCAAATTGATATAAAATTGCTAAAATCACTGAAAATTGCTATTTTCACCATTTTCTGTCAACTTTGAAATCCCGTTGTGATCCAAGGTTCTATTTGAAATCTTTTGAAACTTTGCATGATTATCAAACAATATATAAAACACCAATATGCAAAAATTTATGGTGATTAAATATTGTATGCGCACGCAACGTCCGCTCAAAGTTTGCACGTGTGAAAGGTAAGAATTTTGCTCATTCGTGATTTCGAACAAATTTTGCTTTCCCACGGCAGTTAAATGGCATTATATATGAATTTAATGCCAACTTAAATGAGTATAAAGTGGCATATTCAGTCAGTGATCGACAGATATGCTTACCTAAACACATGCACATTGCACAAGGAAATGTTTTCAAAGGTAAAATTTCGAAATTGTTGAAATTACCTCCTTATTAATGAAGTTATGAATTTACATCTCGACTTTGTTACTTTACTTTAGGTTACTTTAGGTAGGTTCGGCAGGGATCGCTTCTGGACAACAGTATCAAGTACGTCCTCCAATCACTCCTCATGGCTTAGATCTTTTTGTAGAGTCCATTCCAGAAGATGGCGGTATACCCTTTTGTGGGCGGGGTATCCGGGAACCCTTTCAAGAATTTAGCAAGGAAGGATTTGAAAGTTTCCAAGACTTGGATTGTGTTAACTTCCTTGAGGAGCAGGTTCCATAGTTTGGCTGCTTTTACTCCAAAAGAGTTTTCATAAGTTTTCAGTTTTGTAAAGTACCCTGACATTATAATCAAAAAGAGATGATATTTGACTAAAACCCATAATCATAGGTAGATTGGACCGCTGCCATTGTCTCTCTTTCCCAAACAAAAGGAAATGATATTAATTTGAACAACTGTCCGCAAATTCGAAAAGATACCGAGAATGAAATAGGTCGCTCGCTTTTCCCAATCATTTACAATTGTAATAGATTAAGAAGAACTACCCGAAGGTAGCTGTACTCGGCAATAAGATTCAATAAACATCAGCTTATTGGACACTAACTATCACCCTTATCCCGAAATACTAGGTATCGACCCGAAAGCAACCCAAAGAGATTTTTACAGCATGCGATTGATGTAATTAATCGAAACTTATTACAATTCGTAAGCTGTGAATGAATGGGAAAAGCGAGCGAGCGATTTCATTCTCCGTATCATTTTCCATTTGTGGACGGTTATTCATATTAATATCAGTTCCTTTTGTTTGGAAAGAGAGACTCTGGCAGCGGTCCACTCTACCCATGATTATGGGTTTTGGTCAAATTACTAATAAAACTAATACTAATAATATTATTAATATATTTAATATTACAAATCATTAGTAACTTTGGGGGTATATTACTATATTAGCCGTTTATTCGAAAAAAAAAAATAACCAATCGAAAAAAAGCCGAAATAAGCACCCCCACCCATAAATAGTCACGTGTAACTTACTTCTTCTGGACGACTTCCTCCCTTCCATTCTCAACTTGTTGGACGATATTCTGAGCCCTGACTGAGCTGGGTGGTGGGGAGGCTACTTCGGTCCTGACCTCCTTGCCATCCTCGTTGAATTCCTTCCTCTTGATCACCTCTCCTTCTGATTCTCTCTTCGAGATTTCGACCATCGTGTAACGGGTCACTTACTATATAGGTGGAGATGAATTTATAAACAGTTTTGTTTTTGTTTTTTGTTGTTAGAGTTACCTTAGAGTTTGAGCAAAGTTTCTTAGAATACATCAAATTAATGCAGTTTCAAATAACGCTTCAAAAGCTAAGGCCGATAAAACTATTTCTCTCATAAAACTACGCAAATATTAAATATGTCGTCAAACTCAACGCTTATACATTGTAATATAATGTAACATCAACTGTCCAACGACACTAAGTCTCTTCTCTAAAATGGTTATTGCGCATGAATACAGCCTAATCAACAACTGATGAGAAATCTTAATCAACTGAATAATAAACTTGTTGAACTGTTTAAGAGGAATGAATGACACTTCATAAATACAGTGCAGAGCACAAATAAGAGAAATTAATTCCAGGAACCAAGTGTTTTATAACAACTTAACAAGACAGTTACGACGATCTATTCAGTTGTGCAATATGCTACCGGCCCGGTCGAATAGGGCCAGTGGTGCGTCAAAATATAGTTCTCAGCTTTTTATCACTTTTTATGCAGATGAAACACAACTAGGGTATGAAACTTCATTTTAGGGCATGTGTGTTTATCAATACAAATTATGGTCGGTAATAATAATCAGTTTTGACGGTATTTCACAGGCATTTCGACGGGGCCAGCAGTGTACTTGTGAAGCTCAAGTAGGAGCAAATTGAGCGAACATCAGCGAGAAAAAAGCCATTAATGAGTGGATAAAAATGCAATCAATCGCTTTATAGTGACCAACCAAGTGCAACCAAGCACTCTGTATTACTGTGCTTGTTGCGAGTACACAACAGGTGCACGTGCACAGTTAAACAGCCCACGTGCACGTGATTAAACGTCATGTGCTCCTGACACGTGATCACGTGATATGACACGTTGGCGTGCACGCACCAGTTATATTCCCTTACAAATACAACGTGCGGTGATAACCCAACATGAAGTTATTTAAACAATATCTCGTATAGAATACTCGCTCGTTTTTAGTTTGCAAGTTGCTATAGAGTTTACAAAAGTGCTTGATTTAAAATTGATTGCAGTGTATCTGCTAGTGTTGGTAAGGTAATAACTCTCTTACCGGCAAGCAAAACAGATGATTTGCAACAGCAATCAGCTGGATTCAGCTAGCTGCTTCAACATTCAAGTATCATATCGTGACTGTTCGGGGTGGGGTGTTTTGTAGCCATGTTTTGTTCACGTTTCAACTGTTCGGTGTAGATCCAATGGGGGGCCGGGGGATCCAATAGCTTGTAAGTAGTCACTGGTGCATCCGAAAGAGTCGTTTTTCAGCCTGAAATCGTCCAATAGGTCAAGGAAAAATAAATTATATGATTTGAACAATGGCATATAACAATCCATTTAGAAATTTGAATACGATTCGGATTTCTCTTGTAGGACAAAAAAGACACACAAGTTGTTGAAACGAAATATTTCTGAGAATTTGGCTACATTTAACACAGCGACATAGGAACAGCGCCATAAATTCCAATCCAACAATTTACCATTAGATTACCGTAGAATGGGGGAACTTCGCCATGTTTTACAGCTATTTCATGTTATTTAGAAAATACGACACGAGTACTTGAAAAAGTTTATAGCTCATATGAACAGGATTGGTAAAGCAAATGTTTTCGTATGAACCACATCAGCCAGGCATAAATAGTCAGCTAGATTGGTGCCACTGAAATCAGGGCGAAGTTACCCTGCAATATGGGGTAACTTCGCCATTCTGAAACTATACCATATTCGGTGCTAAGCACCATACCACTCGAAACTCAATTATATTTCCTTGGTATACCTGCCAATTTTACTTATCTAGCTCTAGCCTGCGTGTTACAATGGGCAATTTGGTCGCCGGGGTAACATCGCCATGCTGCGGGTAACATCGCCGGGATGAAGTAGAAATGTAGTCGAACTTCGCCAATACACGTGCGTGACTTTGCCAGCCGCGCGCGAATTTCGCGCCAAACTTCGCCGAACAGATGGGATCAGAAGAGGGTAACTTCGCCACACACAAATTTGAAAACTTTATAATATCAGTAATTGTGTGCATCATGGCTAACTAAATTTGCCCTTAAATGAACAGGACATATGCTAATGATGTCACACAGAATTAATTAAGGATATAATTGTAAAATATGGGAAATATGCAAGCAGGAAATTTTAGCCACTTTATAGCAATATTTCATGTTGCCTGAGTTTAATTAACATAGTAAACGTTTATTTTTGAATATGAATACCTTTATAACCATTTGTTCAACACAATACTATACAAAAACTCGATCTCCTAACAATTCAAAACAGTAAAATGATTATTTGAAAAATAGTGGCGAAGTTTCCCGACACGGCGATTTTACCCCAATTTACGGTATATATCTAATAGTATTCAAATATACCATAACATCTTCGCAAAAAATCAATATTTTCCACCATCTTGAAAAATCATCTTGGCAAATAAGGTTCATGATAATATTTAAAAATTTATCGTGGTATATCAAGCAAAAATCTTCTATCCAATCACCTATACCACACTTAATCTCTGTTAATTCAATCTACTTGGTTATCAAAATGATAAAAATCAACATCGGCAAGCATACCAAAAACGAAATTTATATCAATGATTCTCGATGTATCAAAGTAGGTAAAATAGAAAGAAGAAGGTATTTCTATCAATATTATAAAAATAAACCTGAGTCAATGTACTTTTAAAAGGTAATAATCGAACTACTTAATTTGGTTAAAACGTAAGGACGGGCACATATTCCCCGGGATCTCTTCTGAATTACTTAAATAAATAACGACGAAAATTGTACAAAACTAAGTTAATCGTAACAGTGAACCTCACTCATCATAATATGCAAAAATACTGTAAACCAATCAATCAATTATCCAATTAACCAATTATCAACTAATTGTTAAACTGATTAATTAACAATAATCTCATTGAGCTTTACTGTCCAAGTTCAGCATTTTCATAAGAGAAGCTGGATCTTTGATTTTCCAATTGTACGCTTTAATGATAATGTCAAGGATAACTCCTAACTTGTCACGACTACTTTTAAGCTTGGCCGATCCGAGGGCCTGAAAAACATTTAATTGATGTTATAATAATTTTCTCGGCTAAAATTTGCAACAAAATGATTACGTGAACGACCCCTTAGAATAGATAAGCTTTTTGGTAGTAGATTTAACATTACACGAAACAAATAAATTGATAATTAATAGATTAAATCAAACAACAAATAAATAATAAATTGCTACTAACCTTTGTCTGATACAGGACTTGATGAGGTTCCTGACTGCTATAGGTACATGGGGCTGGAATGTGATTATCGGCATACCATTGTTATACTTGATATCCTGAATAAAGTACCATTGTTATACTTGAGATCCTGAATAAAGTACCTAACCATCGTTATACTTGAATAAAATACCTCGTTTATAATAGAAATATAATTTTGAATAACCACAAGTCATAATTTAGCTGGTAAATAAGCCCATAGAACAAGCTCAGAGGGACCGTTATAATTTCAATGTTCAATCATTCAGGAAAATCAACTTCGAACTGTTACCGAGAAATCGATATCAAGAACGAAATACATTCCATACCAACAATTACAAGACGAAACAACATATCATACCAATAAATGTTTGTATTTAAAGTGAGCGTAGTGTATAGCTTCAAGAAGTGTGATACCAAAACTCCAAGTTAAACACGTTTTGTTGTCTGTAGGATACCATCTGATCTTGTGGGTTTCCTGAACATAATTAATTATAATTATCAGATCTGTAACAATTAATGATAGTGCATATCTTAATGTCGGGTATTTGTGAGGGTTGGCTGTTTGAACAGCTATAAAATATGTTGAATAAATCAAACAATCATTACAGCACATGCACAGCATATTCACAGAAATGTATACTTATATTATCAGTATAATGCTTCAAGCACAACAATAAAATAAATTGTAGTGCTAAAACTCATTACAATTTATAAGACAGAATTTTGTTAAACTATTTGAAAAATGTAACACACAAATGTAAACATTGAAAGAACAAGGATCGCAAATTGAGAAGTGAGTAACACAGCCTCTTGAACAATCGTGCACTAATTTCTAGAAGTCTTTACAATTCGCAACCTTAGAGTTAAAGTGAGGCATCTCTAAAGAAATTGGAGATTGCATACCTCACTCCTAGTACAGTAAAACCTCGATATACCGCGTATCTTGGTTTTAAAAAAGCACGAAAAACAAAACAGAGAAGTGTGTCCGTAGCTGTGCTTATTTTACATACTTGGGTAGGATAAATACATATACAAGCTTCTTTTTTCTTTCCCTACGACGAAGATAGAGGTAATCTGGTAATTCATACCAAGATGAAAATCACAAGAGAAAGAATATCAGTTTTCCAAAATCGAAGAGAAGAGAAAATCATGCAAGGTAAAATATTCAAGATGCAAAATTCACGGATTCGCTTTCACGAGTCAATTGATTAATTGCCAGATAATTGACATTCCAACCATGACTTACTGTCACCAAGATGTTACCCTGTTAAGGTCGTAAACAGATACGCAGGGGTTTACTTACATGTATTCTACTTACATGTTAAGGACCTTAACATCTGTTAAGCTCCTATACAGGGTTACTATACATGTTGGTGACAGTAACCCAGGAAAACACCTTCTCACAATCAAACCTGGTCGTTAAGAAGCCTGGTGGTGGAGAAGAGAGAGAGTTTAGCGCAGTGCGCGGAGTTGAGGAGGATGTTGCGACAGGAGAGGGCGCGCAGTGGTATATTAAGCTGTTCTAGGTGGAGGAGCGCGTTACTGATGTCACGCAGCCAGGATAACACGTTCAGGGGAGAGGTGACCCTGTGATTATATATATATATAAACAAAAGCTCTAAGAAACAGATAGTAAACAAAGTAAACATTTCTGTCCCCTAATCTTTCTCACACAAAAGTCATGCAATTTGCATACTTCTCCATTTAACTCTATTTTGAGCGATTAAAGTTAAATAGTTTAAATCACATAAATTATTTAACGATAATTTTCGAACACTAAGGTCGTGTAGAACTGTGATTAATTAAGTTAATTAATTAGTTAATTAATTTAATGGATAGCACGGGCGGGGGAGCAGTTTTAAGTGATGTCTCGTACATTGCCCTATTCACATATTGCAAACTTGTATTTTTAAATATTCTGCTCAATAAAAATCTGGGGCTTATTTCACTTGTGGATTGAAACTTAGATAGAATGATAAAACTTACTTGCGGTCATTTTCAAGGAGGTATGTATCTAGCGATCCAATTTCACAAAGCTCAGTAACCACCATATGGTCCTTACCGTAACCTGAATTATTATCAAACGTATAACTATTGTTAACTTACTCACTTTAACGTACAATTATTGTTAACGTACTCACTTTAACTTAAAATTATTGTTAAATTACTCACTTTAACGTATAATTATTGTTAACTTACTCACTTTAACGTATAATTATTGTTAAATTACTCACTTTAACGTACAATTATTGTTAACTTACTCACTTTAACGTATAATAATTGTTAACTTACTCACTTTAACGTATAATAATTGTTAACTTACTCACTTTAACGTATTATTATTGTTAACTTACTCACTTTAACGAATAATTATTGTTAACTTACTCACTTTAACGTATAATTATTGTTAACTTATTCACTTTAACGTATAATTATTGTTAACTTACTCACTTTAACGTATAATTATTGTTAACTTACTCACTTTAACGTATAATTATTGTTAACTTACTCACTTTAACGTATAATTATTGTTAACTTACTCACTTTAACGAATAATTATTGTTAACTTACTCACTTTAACGTATAATTATTGTTAACTTACTCACTTTAACCTATAATAATTGTTAACTTACTCACTTTAACGTATTATTATTGTTAACTTACTCACTTTAACGAATAATTATTGTTAACTTACTCACTTTAACGTATAATTATTGTTAACTTACTCACTTTAACGTATAATTATTGTTAACTTACTCACTTTAACGTATAATTATTGTTAACTTACTCACTTTAACGAATAATTATTGTTAACTTACTCACTTTAACGTATAATTATTGTTAACTTACTCACTTAGATATCATTATCACAAAGTGTTGTTAATTTAAATATTAGTAGTTTTAGTTTTTTATGCCTTTATCTCCCTAACAGAATCTATATCTGCAAAGTGGCGAACATATAAAAGTTTAATGTAATTGTTGTTACTTTTGTTGTTACTTTTGTTGTTACTTTTGTTGTTTGTTGTTACTTTATCTGTTATCCATTTAACGGTGTCGTTTTACTTTTCAGTTCACAATTTTACTTGAAAGTAACTTATATTTGACAAGTTGTTCACAAGATTATGTTTAGTAAGTTTTATATGAAAAATAATACTAATACTGATACATCATTAATGGAAAATATTTTCAAGAACTCTCCTTTCTTGCTGCAAATTATCAACTTCAGATCGAAATAATGGTATGTTGTGCCTACAAAAATTAAGTATTGCAACAAAACACTATGATTACAATCAAGTACTAAAACGAAAACATACGATCAAAATCAATTATTTTAAGGAAATTGTATAATCAAAAAGTAAACATTATCAAAACAAATTTTCCGACACGTAAAAATCATAAGTCATAACATTAGCAGTAAACATCGTCCTGATTTGAAATTCCACATATGACATATCTTCAACCACCATGTGGGGTGCATAATATCTATTCTAATCTTACTAATATTCTAATCTAACTACAACAACGGTCCATAAACAAGTTTTTAATCCGGTTCCATCTAAAATTCCTTATTCCTCAAAACCCCACATCAGCCTCATAGTCCGTTGTTTGTGCCACTAATCACAAGAGCACCCTCCCCGACACCTTCTCACCACAGCACCAACCACTGTCACCTCACACTTAAAACACCTCCTCCACTGGACACCCTGTTGGTTCAGATGCTGTTGAGACACCAAGCTCACGTAGCTGTCCTCCCCACCCGAATACTGGTCCAACTCAAGTCCAACAGATGGTTCCCCCAATCAGCGTTGTTGTTTGGTTTGTAGTAGATCTTAACTGTTGCTTCTAAGAAGGCACTGTTAAGAGTGATTGATGCTCCCATGGAAGTGTGGGCTGCTTTGCAGACAAACTGCCGCATGTTTCCTATCTTCTTCTTGCTGAGCTTGGTGATAAAGGTGCTGTAGGTGTTCCGTTTGTTGGAGCCGTGGGAATCGTCTTCTTCCTCATCTTCCTCAGGTCCTTGTCTTTAGCAGTCCTATCTTCCACACAGTTATCTGGATACATCTGCGAGGCGGTCTGGTCTTTATTGCTGAGTGTCAGCAGGTAGCATGTTGGTATGACCTCTTCCTTTTCTTTGAAGCCCCATCTTTCTTTGGTGAAGGGTTGTTCTTTGAGCTCCTTCTCTTCACAGCCACTAGATTTGAGAAGGTCGTACCCTAACAGTGGTTTCCTTACAGAGATACCTCCTTCCATTACCTCCTTCTCAGCAGAGGCTTCAACCCAGACTTTATCCCTGTTGTCGTACATAAAGAGAGACACAAGGAAATCTCTCAAATCAGAGCTTTCCAGAGTTTCCCACAAATCAGATCCCTGAAATTGATTTTGTGCAAGCTCAGATGAAGCTAACTTCGCAGAGATGAATTTTAGGTATGAAGTAACGTCATACGTGATACTATTACTGTGTAACCTATTACCCTAATTTAAATCGTAGTCCTTAGTATTAATTAAGAAAATCGAATGATACTTATCTGGAAAAGAATACCTCTAAGTTGACGCGAAAGAAATCCGCGAGTTGCACCCCACCGTCTATTTTATCTCCATATTCTTGCCTTTCGTAGCTCACGTACCCAATCTCAGATATTTCTTCCTCGTGCTCTTCATCATGGGCAGCAACAAGGCTCAGCTGGAAACTAACGGCTGCAAAACAAACCAAAAATCTTAGCACGTTCATGTTGCTAAATGTTTGATAAAACTTAATATCACTAACGGAAGTCGGAACCGGAATGATAGATAAAGAAGTGAGGAGAATTGTACTTGTGTAGCCGGATACCACCACAAGACACGTGCTCCTACCAACTGCAGTCACGTGAGTCTAACAATTGTCACGTGACATGTGTAGCACCGTCTGTTCTTCCGAACAGGTGCAATCTTGGAACCATTCTGCTACTCATAGGTAATGTTGTTCCCGCTGTTACATCAGATGATTGCTGTTGGCATCGTTCCTCAGAACTCGGAATCCACGAGATGGTGCATTCTTGATTGTCAGGAAGTAGTTTGTGTGTAACTTGTTGTAAAGTTGGCGATAACAGACAATGAGTTAGACAGAAGTGCCATAATGTTATAAAAACAGACAACAGAATATAGTCCAATTTCCGACTAAGATGTTCACCAGTCAAAATGAAATTACTGTTAAGAACAGTTTTCAAGAACAGTAAAAGTAAGAGGAATGAATAAAATTTCCTGCACCCACCACTGCCTTTCTCAGAGTAAAGATCGTATTATATAAAGGAAACTATACTAGGATTTCCCTTAAATATGGTTCGGCAGATCCCTAAGCTGCCTGCACGCTTTCCTCTCTACTATGATTCTGTTCGGGTAGATAAAGACAAGTTTATTTGAACTTAGTTGTGGAGCTTCTCCTAGATATGGGTTGTTCAGGGTTAACTTCAGATCGAAATAATGGTATTTTGTGCCTACAAAAAGTAAGTATTGTTAAAAAGCTATCATAACAATCAAGAACTAAAACAAAAATATATGATCAAAATCAATTACTTTAAGGAAATTACATAATCAAAAAGTAAAAATTATTACCAAAGTTTGTTCGACACGTAAAAATCATATATTGTTGTTACTTGTGATATTGCATAATCTATTGCAAATATAATATATGTTTCAGAATAATGTAATGTAACGTGATGGAAATATTTTAAACGGGCATATTCTGTCCAAACCCAGGCCCAGGATGCACTACATGAAGAATTCGTTGTAACTTTGTTTGAAAAGCATTAAGAAGTCATAACATTAGCAGTAAACATCGTCCTGATTTGAAATTCCACACATATCTTCAACCACCATGTGGGGTGCATAATATGTATTCTAATCTAACTAATATTCTAATCTAGAAGTACAATAACGGTCCATAAACAAGTTTTTAATCCGGTTCCAACTAAAATTCCTTATTCCTCAAATCTCCACATCAACCTCATAGTACGTTGTTTGTGCCACTAATCACAAGAGCACCCTCCCTTACACTTTCTCACCACAGCACCACCCACTGTCACCTCGCACTTAAAACACTTCCCCCACTTGACACCCTGTTGGTTCAGATGATGTTGAGACACCAAGCTCACGTAGCTGTCCTCCCCACCCGAATACTGGTCCCAACTCAAGTCCAACAGATGGTCCCCCCAATCAGCGTTGTTGTTTGGTTTGTAGTAGATCTTAGCTGTTGCTTCTAAGAAGGCACTGTTAAGAGACATTGATGCTCCCATGGAAGTGTGGGCTGCTTTGCAGACAAACTTCCGCATGTTTCCTATCTTCTTCTTGCTGAGCTTGGTGATGGAGGTGCTGTAGGTGTTCCGTTTGTTGGATCCGTGGGAATCGTCTTCTTCCTCAGCTTACTCCAGGTCCTTGTCTTTAGCAGTCCTATCTTCCACACAGTTATCAGGATACATTTGCGAGGCAGTCTGGTCTTTATAGCTGAGTGTGAGCAGGTAGCATGTTGGTATGACCTCTTCTTTTTCTTTAAAGCCCCATCTTTCTTTGGTGAAGGGCTGTTCTTTGAGCTCCTTCTCTTCACAGCCACTAGATTTGAGAAGGTCGTACCCTAGCAGTGGTTTCCTTACAGAGATACCTCCTTCCATTACCTCCTTCTCAGCAGAGGCTTCAATCCAGACTTTATCCCTGTTGTCGTACATAAAGATAGACACAAGGACATATCTTTCCAACAAATCGGATCCCTGAAATTGTTTTTTGTGTAAGCTCAGATGAAGCTAACTTCACAGAGATGAATTTTAAGTATGAAGTAACGTCATGAGTGATACTATTACTGTGAAACCTATTACCCCTAATTTAAATCGTAGTCCTTAGTATTAATTAAGAAAATCGAATGATATTTATCTGGAAAAGAATACCTCGTAGTCAACAACGCGAAAGACATCCGCGAGTTGCACCCCACCGTCTATTTTATCTTCATATTCATGTCTTTCGTATGTCACGTACCCAATCTCAGCTATTTCTCCCTCTTCGTCGCGGGCAGCAACAAGGCCCATCTGAACACTAACGGCAGCAAAGCAAACCACAAATCTTAGGACGTTCATGTTGCTAAATGTTCGATAAAACTTAATATCACTAACGGAAGGCGGAACCGGAATGATAGATAAAGAAGTGAGGAGAATTATACTTGTGAATTGTACTTGTGAATCATACTTGTGAACTACGTACGTTTGGTACGTTTGGTACGTTTTGGTACGTTTTGGACTATACTTGTGAATTATACTTCTGAATTATACTTCTGAATTATACTTGTGTTGCCGGATTGTGTAGTCTGGAACACAACAGCAGATGAAACGGTTTGAGGTCTTCCATCTGACCTCCCTGAGAAGAATCTTGAAGATAAAGTGATTCTTCCATGTCTCCAATGAAGAAGTTCTCGGGCGTGCTGGAATTAAGTCTATCGAAACTTTCATCGGTGCGGCTAGATTAATGTGGTACGGACATGTTGTCAGAATGCCAGATACACGATTTTCCAATTTTTTACTGGATTGGAAACCAAACTATGGAAAGAGACTGAGAGGACGACCCCGCAAAGGCTGGATGGCCTGTGTACTCGAGGATGCTGCCTGCACGCTTTCCTCTCTACTACGATTCTGTTCGGGCAGATAGAGACAAGTTTATTTGAACTCAGTTGTGGCTCTTCTCCCAGATATGAGCTGTTCAGGGTTAACTTTACTGTATCAGGGTTAGCTTCTGCGCATAATATGAGACGCTTAATTGAGAGGCTACAGGCACTGGGGATACCATCGTGAGCATAATTGTACACAAATGTAAACTAAACACACCACAAATGTAAACTTAACTTCTGTCTAGTTCTAATGCACCGTCACAATAGTGACTTTAATATTATACCGGTAACCTCTATATTATAACTTACCCGAGCTGAATCGGTTGCTTTAAAAAAATTACTTGATGCGCGGAGCCGCGGAATATACATAAGTTCAAACTGCGCGTGACGTGCGTGCTTAATATATATAATTTTACTCTTGTGCACATTATGATTTCAAAACAACTTTTATCCCATGAACTTGATCGCGCGTTACAGGATAGTCTACCTTCAATAGTGACCGGTCGAAATTTGTAAATATTACGCTTGCCCAAGGGTACCATGTAACATAATCTGTGTTAGCAACTTGATTGTTACTCAACTTCAGATTTGAGCAGAGTAACTAAGTCACTGTGTATAATCAAGGATAAGCAAAGATTCCCAGTTTTTGCTGTAAACGACACGACGAAGACGGGGACTATTATTTTAGGGTGGGCTCAATAAAAATCAGGATTAATTACTGGGATTACTCCATTGAATTGAATGTGTTGTGATGGCAGAACTGCAACATAATGTTTATTTAGAGATACCGAATACTTATGATAGAATACCGTGTTTTGAATTCTATATTATGGTGTACGTGTCCATGTTTTATGATAAATTTAAATAGATTTCACAATTTTCTTTACTCAAAACCAAAAAAAACCATTCCCCGCCGTCAGTGACATAATACACAGGGATGTGTTTCCAAATTATACTCTACCTAATCTCAAAAGCAAAACTGAGTGTAGTAAGATCACATATGATGTGTCGAGATTTCTGATTCACGGAGCGATTTTTCCGTAATAATGAAAATTAAACAATCGAATCTTTGAGAATTTTTGGTAAAATCTCCACTTAGCCTCACATAACAAATAGTACTTGTTTTCACGCAAATCGTTAATCATTTTGCAATGTTACCGCTAAAATTAGCCCAAAAATACAGTTGATTAATTACTCAAATTTGCCTTTGAACAGAGCAAGAATTACCATGTGTTAAGGCTCTTAAGAATTTAGTATGCTAAGCTGTTAGTTAGAATTAAACTGAAAAGGAGAAAAGAAGAAACATTTTCCTAACAGGAGAAAATATAAACGAGGTTTATGATAAGCTCAAAATTCTTAGCGATGTCTTAGTTAAATGGGTAGATAACAACGGATTAGCTCTAAATCTTAAAAAAACGAATTATATGATCTTTTCTCGACAAAGAAACCTCATTTATCGCGATGTAGTAATTTCTGGTGTCACAATCGAAAGAAAAACAGAAGCCCGTTTCTTAGGTGTTATAATAGATAACAAACTGAACTGATCGCAACATATTTCTGACATGAAAATGAAAATGGCCAGATACATTGGAGTCATGTACAAACTTAAAAAATATTTGCCTCTGGAAGCACGTTTACAAATATATCACAGCTTTGTGCAGTCTCACCTTAATTACTGCTCCCTCGTCTGGGGTTTTGCTGCCAAATCCCATATAGAAACACTATTTGTTAAACAGAAAATGGGTCTTAGAGCAATACTACCAGGTTTTGTTAATTACTGGTACAAAGATGGTACACCACCAGCAAGTACCAAGTCTGGTTTCTGTATGTGCACAAAATATTGACAGTTCATAGTATCATCGTAAAGAACGCATTAGTTTTTATACATAAGCTAAAAAACTTCCCAAGTCTAGTGCCTCCCTCTATAAAGAAAACGATACCTAACAGTGCACCAATATTTAACGTCGCCGATCCGGATTCGAGTCTTACAACTTTATGGTCAGATGAATACGGTAAACACCCTTACAATAATTCAGTATTCTACAAAGGTCCACTATTAGCAATAAACAGATATAGTGTCGCAGCAACTTCCTTGCCAAGTCTATTCAACCTTAACATCTACAAAAGGTGCATAAAAAACATGCTCATTGATCAACGAAACGAGGGCATTGCAGACGAATGGCCTAACTTTATGTTATACAATATAACGGGACTAAGGAAATCAGAGCGCAACATCAACCGTAATGCTAATAATAACTCTGTCCCATAAGCACGCTATTACAGAATCAATTTCACTGCATAACATATCAGTTACACTGCCATCAATTCGCCAGCAAACACGGCATGACGCTATGCTACTGATAACAGTCGTTAAATTTTAAAAATTTTGGAATAGCTAGCTAGCAGTAGCTATGCGCCTGTTTCCACTCTAACAACTCTAAAAGCATATTAATATGATAATTTCAACTAAAGGCAACTTTATATGTGCTCAGCTATGTTTTGTTCGACAAGCTCTATTATATACATTTTAATCGTTTTAATGAGATCTAATCTTGTATGAGTTTTGAGTTTTGAGTTTGAATTGATAACACTTATTATATATATTATTTTTTGAGTAAACATTGGCTGGTACTTCGGGCCGGTCCCCAACCAAAAGGAAGCATAATGTTGTTTTTCCATACCAGGTCAAACTATCATGATGAATATATCTTTATAGGGTATGTATATATCTTCATAGGGTATGTTGTAATTGATATATAATATATGTTTACATATTATTCAAGTACAGATTAAGAATAAAGACCCACCTATAAGCCGCAGAATGTTATCATGTTCAATAGCTGCAGGTTCGTGCTGCCACTTGCTGGATCCTCTGTTAACCTTCTTAATGGCAACTGGTGCGTGGTGTAATGTTCCTTTGTACACTTTACTGCTTACACCACCACCTGGACAACTGGTGTTACACATAGACATTGAGTCATTATATAATATATGTATATATAATACATAGCCATACAATTACACAGACACATACACACAGCCATACAAACACACAGTCATACAGACAAACACACATGTACACACGAACACGAATATAAAAATACACCCACCTACCCACCCACCCACCCACCCACCCACCTACCCACCAAAAACCCACCCACCCACCCACCTACCCACCCACCAGGCACGTAGCCAGGGGGGGGGCTAGGGGGGCGGCAGCCCCCCCCCCCCCCCCCCCGGAAAAAATCGAACCCCAGAAAAAAGATAAGCCCCATAGTCCCCATGGTCGCCTGGTAACTGGGCTGTGTTTATGACTGCAGTCAGTCAAAGATTTGAACTGTGGATTAGTAAATATATGTCATTAAATCCAAGCAAACATTCTAGAAGACTTCTATAATTATAGTCAATAGTGTCCCCTAGACCGTAGGAAATGTAAAAATCTTAAGACGATGAGGCCTGAGTAAGTCGTAAATTCTGATTGGAGAATGCAGATTGCTGTTGTGAAGTTACCAAATTTACGTGAGTACTTGATTCTTTTCAATCCCAGTTTATTGCTGTCCTACAAATTTCTTTAATGCCAAATGTCGTCTAAAACACCCTGTTTCGCAAAAAATTTCCGGGGGGCTTCGCCCCCCTAGCCCCCGCCAAGGGGCTCCGCCCCTGGACCCCGCTGAGGGCTGCGCCCCCAGACCCCTGCCACAGCTTGCTTGCTTCGCTCGCTGCGCAGCTTGATTGGACGCGTCGACTCGCTTCGCTCGCCGACAGCCCCCCTCAAAGAAAAATCCTGGCTACGTCCCTGCCACCCACCCACCCACACAAACACCCACCCACCCACAGGGACGTAGCCAGGATTTTTCTTTGAGGGGGGCTGTCGGCGAGCGAAGCGAGCCGACGCGTCCAATCAAGCTGCGCAGCGAGCGAAGCAAGCAAGCTGTGGCAGAGGTCGGGGGGCGCAGCCCTCAGCGGGGTCCAGGGGCGGAGCCCCTTGGCGGGGGCTAGGGGGGCGCAGCCCCCCGGAAATTTTTTGCGAAACAGGGTGTTTTAGACGACATTTGGCATTAAAGAAATTTGTAGGACAGCAATAAACTGGGATTGAAAAGAATCAAGTACTCACGTAAATTTGGTAACTTCACAACAGCAATCTGCATTCTCCAATCAGAATTTACGACTTACTCAGGCCTCATCGTCTTAAGATTTTTACATTTCCTACGGTCTAGGGGACACTATTGACTATAATTATAGAAGTCTTCTAGAATGTTTGCTTGGATTTAATGACATATATTTACTAATCCACAGTTCAAATCTTTGACTGACTGCAGTCATAAACACAGCCCAGTTACCAGGCGACCATGGGGACTATGGGGCTTATCTTTTTTCTGGGGTTCGATTTTTTCCGGGGGGGGGGGGGCTGCCGCCCCCCTAGCCCCCCCCCCTGGCTACGTGCCTGCCCACCCACCCACTTACCCACCCACCCACACACGCACATGGTTGTTAACTTGCACATTTTAGTTATCACCCGAGTAATATCTCACTTAAATTAAAAATAATTGCTCACATAAAATAATTTAAAAACTGTGTGTGTAACTGTTCAGTTCCGGTATTTTTCGCATACACTAACAGTTCACAGATTAATTACTACAATATGTTCACAATACCAGTGGTATGATCTCCATCACCAACTTAACACCAATAACCACGTACAAAACCTCAATATGTTGTTTATACTGGGCCATCACCGTCTTGGGGGGGGGGGGGGGGCCAATGGCATAAAATGGCATAAAATGGCATAAAATGGAGACTTTTTCTATGGAGAAAATGGAAAAACCCATGAGTAATTCTCCATTTTCTCCATTTTATGCCATGAATTTTGTCTTCGAAATTTCATCTTTAACACCATTTTAACACCTAAATTGGACCTCCTTACATGTTTATTTACGCTTACTAGGGGCGTAACAAGCTTATGAAAGCTCATAGTAGGCTACTAGATGCTTATACTAGGTTAGTAGAGGCACACTTCAGGCAAACTCATAATTACTCAAGCCTAGTGTAAAGTTATTTCTACAGGCTACAGCAGGAGTGAGTAATAGGGGAGAGTAATAGGCACTGAGAAGTGAGACCTACATCCTCGACAGTCGAAACAAGCTCGCACTGCAAAGGGGAGGCCTGCCTTCCGAGATCGCATTACCAGGGGGAAGCCTCGAGTCCAAATTTGTGTATCGAGGGGTAGGTGCAGACTTCGATAAACCGAAAAACTAAAAAAATATTTCGGCTTATAATGAAGAGGGTAGCATGAAACGTGGAGAAAAGTGGTTTTTAGAAAAACTTTGAAAAATTTTGACTTAGAAAATTTTCGGCCCGAGTCATTCTCGATACGTACCTCTCGTATCGAGAGCTCCCGATTCCGAGCTCGTGTTGCAAAGGGGAGGCCTGCCTTCCGAGATCGCATTACCAGGGGGAAGCCTCGAGTCCAAAATTGTGTACCGAGCGAGGGGTAATTTTCTAAGTCAAAATTTTTCAAAGTTTTTCTGAAAAACACTTTTCTCCACGTTTCATGCTACCTTGTTCATAAGCCGAAAATATTTTTTCGGTCAAAATTTTTCAAATTTTTTCTGAAAACCGCTTTTCTCCACGTTTCATGCTACTCTGTTCATTATTTGCCGAAAATATTTTTTCGGTTTTTCGAAGTCCACACCTTCCCCTCGATACACAATTTTGGACTGGAAGTAATGCGATCTCGGAAGGCAGGCCTCCCCTTTGCAACACGAGCTCGGAATCGGGAGCTCTCGATACGGGAGGTACGTATCGAAAATGACTCGGACCGAACATTTTCTAAGTCAACATTTTTCAAAGTTTTTCTGAAAACCACTTTTCTCCATGTTTCATGATACTCTGTTCATTATTGGCCGAAAATATTTTTTCGGTTTTTCGAAGTCCACACCTTCCCCTCGATACACAATTTTGGACTCGAGGTAATGCGATCTCGGAAGGCAGGCCTCCCCTTTGCAACACGAGCTCGGAATCGGGAGCTCTCGATACGGGAGGTACGTTTCGTAAATGACTCGGACCGAACATTTTCTAAGTCAACATTTTTCAAAGTTTTTCTGAAAACCACTTTTCTCCATGTTTCATGATACTCTGTTCATTATTGGCCGAAAGTATCTTTTTTTAAAATAATTTTTTTCGAAATTCTAAATTTTTCAGGTTTTCCATGGCATAAAATGGCATAAAATGGCATAAAATGGAGACTATTTCTATGGAGAAAATGGAAAAACCCATGAGTAATTCTCCATTTTCTCCATTTATGCCATTGGCCCCCCCCCCCCCCCCACCGTCTTAAACTGACTAATATTGCTTTATGGGGTTACTCTTCTGTTTACAAGGATAATATGCTAAAGGAGAGAAAATATACACCATGTAAAGGTGGACTTACACGGCTGAATTTATCATATTCACACAAAATTACTCAATATCAGAATTAAAGTGATCGTAGTGTAGTCAGTCACATTCATAAACTTTCAATAAGAATTATACTGTAGTCTAAGTAAACTATAGGTAAAAATATAATATTAATCATAAGCTAAAATGTACTAATCTTTGTATTCTAAATGGGGAAAAAGAAGAAACATTGTCAGTCAGTCGAGAAAATTGTCAGTCAGGCTATATGGCAGCTTTGTAGATGTTGTGACTATGCTAGTAGTGGTCCCAGGCTTGCGACTGGAATTGCGGTGTTAAATCGATTTAATGGTACCAACGATCCACCTCCCACTTGTTGTTTGGTACTTAGCATTAATAGTGTTAGCTGTAGCCATTTATAGCAAGAATCTTAAAACTAAAGGGGATGACAAGGAAAAGAGGAAGGAAAAAGAATAACGGGACAAACAATTAATTACTTACTAAATTCGTTACAGCGAAATTGAAGATATCTTATTACTCTATTAGTAGGGACGATTCTTATATATATTTTCTTTAATAATATATTCTTCTCACACAGTATCATTACAGGATTTAACTCCACATTTAAACATAAATTCTAACATTAATTAATTAGAAAACATATATTGGACAATTAGTTTCCGTAATTAATCACCAGGTTGTTGATGTTTACATCTACCAAAACTGTTATAATACATTTTAAAACATTATTTTACCTAGTAATTCACTGCAGAGAATACTGTTCAAGTCTAAACTGAGACGCGCAGAAGAAGATTTCAAGTCGTCAACTTCTGATTGCTTTAAAAAGTGCTTTTTGTTTTTTCTCTTTTCTTTAGCATTCCTGAAAGAGAAAGTATCAGAAACGTAAGTTACAGAAATAGAAACGTAAGTAACAGAAACAAAAACTGAAACAAAAACTGTAAATAACACAACCAGGGACACAAACAAAAACATAAAGTTACGCTTAAATAGAAACGAAAATTAACATTATGATATCATATCTATTATAAGTAAAGATAAAAAGTAATAATCACACATCAATTATAATGATATGTGATCTTCTGTCATTGAAGTGCAGTACACGCTGAATATAAAAATAAAATGCACATTTATTTTATCAGATATTATGTATGACAATGAATATTATGCTAAGTTATGTATGAGTTTCACCGATAAACGGTACCAATTATGTGATCAAGCTCTAGATGTGTAAAGTAATTACATGAATTTAAAATATGTAATGTAAAAAGTGTGTGTTTCCTTAACACCACACATCGTCAACTGAAGAGCGTGTCTGCACTTACAGGAACTATTAATTAGGTGTCAGGAGTTAGGTGATAGGTGTTAGATGGTGTAATTAGGTGTCAAACTTGGGGAAATGTATGACATAAAATGTCAGATGATAGACTCTAACAGTGTAATAACGGCGAGTGTTTCACTGGGTGTGAATTGTGAAACTTGGTAATGAGAATGTAACTACCTTATTGTTGTGATCATTGACATGATGTATATATTTAATTATTTCCTAGTTTTTCAGTGCGACTAAAACTGCTACATATCTAGAAAAGTATACAAGTTTTGTAATATAAATACATTAAAAGCTCACTATTTAAGGAGGGGGGGGGGTTCACCCTGAATTTTTTGTGAAACTTGGTTTCGAGATAGCAGAAATTTGCCGGGCATTTTTCAGAATTTGGCCGCCAAATTTTTTTAAAGGCCTAACTCAAAATTCTAATACAAAACTTAAGGTCATGAGGCGATTCTACGTCGATTCTGAAAATTTCATGTAAAAATAATGAAACCCTATTGAGTTCTATTGTTTTGAGCGAAGTCAGTTTTGCAAATATCGCGAACTGAGATATGGGCGATTTGGTTCATTTTTTGCAACTATTTGAACACAGAATCCACAGTTAGGTAGATATTGAGCTGATAATCATAGAGAATGTGTAGTTTAGGCTTACCTTTTATATTAAGTTGGTTTCATTCAAAAATATTGATATTTGACCTATTTATGGGCCAAAATCGATCAAATTTAGTGCGTATGCCCAAATATGGGCATATGGTTTTTGGCTCATAACTCGGTCATTTTTTGTCCGATCTTGATGAAAATTCATATACGAGTTCAGGGGACCACTAGCTACAAGTAGAGCACCTAAAATCTGGGTTTTGGGCATGTTCAGGGTATTTGGCTAAATTGGGCCTAATTTGGACCAAATATGGGCGTGGCTGCCCCGCGGGCACCGTTTGGCGGTTGGGGTTCCGGGACCCCCTCAAAAGTAGGGTCACCGGTCCTAGTTGGTTGGTCAACTGCTATCTCGAAACTAAGTTTCACAAAAAAATCAGGGTGAACCCCCCCCCCCCCCTTAATACATACCTGCGTTTAAGTTTAGTTTGCGCTTGATCGCGAGAGGAGGGGCCATCCAGAACAAGTTCATCTGAAGAGGAGCTCTGAACTTGGGGCTGTGTAGCCTGCAATAATACACATAATTAGCATATAAATATACACATAATTAGCATATAAATATGCACATAATTAGCATGTAATTATACACATAATTAGCATGTAACTACGGACGACGGCGTGAGACTCTACACCGTGAGGCGTGAGACTCTACGGCATGGGGAGGTGAAAACAGGACTCTACGGTGCAATTGTCCTATTTTCGATTGATGGATTCATTGATAAACTGTCATATTATGTTGCCATAGGCATTAGGCAACATACAGGTCGGTAAAATTTTGCCAATAGTACGAACCCGCACCTGCTTAAAATTGTTTTAAGTGCGGCAAATTTTGAAGAAAATACACTGAACAATTCGACGACGAATTTGCAGCCTTTAGATAGGTTGGATGGGTAGGATGACTGGGCTAGTTGACCTGTTTATGAGCATGATTAAGGCAGAGTATACAATGTAACTTTACAACATTTGATCATGGGCTGGCTGGTTTTATAACTTTCTCAGGTTTCTTAGTGATTGAGTTTCAGTTGAACGCCTGCATGATTATTACAGGGACCTCTTTTCTCCTGCATACTCTCCCCCCCCCCCCCCCCTCTCAACCCTCAACATTAAATCTCTACCTTATTCTACAATCATTACGCCCCACGATTTAGTAATATCGATACACAAACTTTAAGAAATGTTAAATTAAACATATTAATTTATTATTTATATCATGCAGAAAAATAAAACTGGGATAATCAGCTGCAGAAATTAAGACAAATCTCCTTCATAAATCTTTACAATGCGGAATCTCTGACCCTTAAGGGGGGGGGGGGGGGGGGGGGGGGTTCACCCTGATTTTTTTGTGAAACTTGGTTTCGAGATAGCAGTTGACCAACAAACTAGGACCGGTGACCAAACTTTTGAGGGGGTCCCGGACCCCAACCGCCAAACGGTGCCCGCGGGGCAGCCACGCCCATATTTGGTCCAAATTAGGCCCAATTTAGCCAAATACCCTCAACATGCCCAAAACCCAGATTTTAGGTGCTTTACTTGTAGCTAGTAGTCCCCTGAACTCGTATATGAATTTTCATCAAGATTGGACAAAAAATGACTGAGTTATGAGCCAAAAACCATATGCCCATATTTGGGTATACGCACCAAATTTGGTCGATTTTGGCCCATAAATTGGTCAAATATCAATATTTTTGAATGAAACCAACTTTATATGGAAGGTAAGCCTATACTACACATTCTCTATGATTATCAGCTCAATATCTACCTAACTGTGGATTCTGTGTTCAATTAATCGCAAAAAATGAACAAAATCGCCCATATCTCAGTTCGCGATATTTGCGAAACTGATTTCGTTCAAAACAATAGAACTCAATAGGGTTTCAATATTTTTACATGAAATTTTCAGAATCAACGTAGAATCGCATTTCGATCTTAAGTTTTAATATGGAATTTTGAGTTAGGCCTTTAAAAAAATTTGGCAGCCAAATTCTAAAAAATGCCCGGCAAATTTCAGAATTTGGCCGCCAAATTTTTTTAAAGGCCTAACTCAAAATTCCATATTGGGGGGGGTGTCATGTCCGTCTATGTCCGCCTATGTCCTGTCCTTTTTGGATTCTATGAGACAACGGACGTGTTTTTTGGGACATTGGCGGACACGGACGGACATTGGCGGACTCGGACGGACATTGGCGGACTCGGACGGACATTGGCGGACTCGGACGGACATTGGCGGACTCGGACGGACATTGGCGGACCCGGACGGACATTGGCGGACTTGGATGGACATTGGTGGACATTAGCGGACATTGGTGGACATTAGCGGACAAACATTTTGAGGACTGAAGAGTACTGAAGAGTACTGAGGAGGATGGCTGAGAAGGATGGCTGAGGAGGATGGCTGAGGAGGATGGCTGAGGAGGATGATTGAGAGGGAAGAGGAGGAGGAGGAGGAGGAGGAGGAGGACTGAGGAGGACTAAGAAAGAGGAGGAGGAGGACTGAATAGGAGGAGGAGGAGGGGACTGGGGGAGGACTGAGGAGGAGGATGGAGGACTGAGGAGAAGGATGAGGAGGAGGACTGAGGAGGACTGAGGACTGAGGAGGAAGAGGAGGAGGATGAAGAGGAGGAGGAGGACCCAGGAGGAGGACCCAGGAAAAGGCCCCAGGAGGAGGAGGACTGGGGAGGAGGAGAACTGTTGAGGACTGATGAGGAGGACTGAGGACGAGGAGGAAGAGTAGGAGGAGGACTGAGGAGGGGAGGAGGAAGAGGACTGGGGAGGATCAGAAAGACCCAGGAGGACCCAGGAGGAGGACTGACGATGACTGAGAAGGAGGAGGACTGAGGAGTACTGAGGAGGATGGCTGAGGAGGATGGCTGGGGAGGATGGCTGAGGAGGATGACTGAGGAGGATGACTGAGAGGGAGGAGGAGGAGGACTCAGGAGAAGGACTCAGAAGGAAGAGGAGGAGGACTCAGGAGGAGGACTCAGGAGGAGGACTTAGGAGAAATGAGAAGGAGGACTGAGGAGAACTGAGGAGGAGGAGGAGGAGGAGGACTGAATAGGAGGAGGAGAAGGAGGGGGACTGGGAGAGGACTGAGGAGGAGGAGGACTGATGAGAAGGATGAGGAGGAGGACCCAGGAGGAGGAGGACTGAGGACCGAGGAGGAAGAGGAGGAGGATGAAGAGGAGGAGGAGGACCCAGGAGGAGGAGGACTGAGGAGGAGGACTGAGGAGGACTGAGGAGGACTGAGGAGGATGGCTGAGGAGGATGACTGAGAGGGAAGAGGAGGAGGAGGAGGAGGAGGAGGAGGAGGAGGAGGACTGAGGAGGACTGAGAAGGAGGAGGAGGAGGAGGAGGAGGAGGACTGAATAGGAGGAGGAGGAGGGGGACTGGGGGAGGACTGAGGAGGAGGATGGAGGACTGAGGAGAAGGATGAGGAGGAGGACTGAGGAGGACTGAGGACTGAGGAGGAAGAGGAGGAGGATGAAGAGGAGGAGGAGGACCCAGGAGGAGGACCCAGGAGGAGGACTCAGGAGGAGGAGGAGGACCCAGGAGGAGGAGGACTGTTGAGGACTGATGAGGAGGACTGAGGACGAGGAGGAGTAGTAGGAGGAGGACTGGGGAGGGGAGGAGGAAGAGGACTGAGGAAGATCAGGAAGACCCAGGGGGAGGAGGAGGAAGAGTAGGAGGAGGAAGCATCTAAATGTTATTTCCATTTTTGTCCGTTTTTGTCCATTTTTATCCGTTTTTGTCCGCTCTATTTTTTGTCTGTTTTGAAAATATAGGGTACCGAACGGACAAAAAACATGATCCCCCTATAACAGCAAAAATTGAACATTTTATTTAGCAATTTAGGTGTCTATTAATGTCCGCCTATGTCCGCCTATGTCCGTCTATGTCCGCCTATGTCCGCCTATGTCCGTCTATGTCCGCCTATGTCCGCCTATGTCCGCTTATGTCCGCCTATGTCCTGTCCTTTTTGGATTCTATGAGACAAGCGGACATAGACGGACGTGACACCCCCCCCCCCCCCCCCCCCATATTAAAACTTAAGGTCGAAATGCGATTCTACATTGATTCTGAAAATTTCATGTAAAAATATTGAAACCCTATTGAGTTCTATTGTTTTGAACGAAATCAGTTTTGCAAATATCGCGAACTGAGATATGGGCGATTTTGTTCATTTTTTGCGATTAATTGAACACAGAATCCACAGTTAGGTAGATATTGAGCTGATAATCATAGAGAATGTGTAGTATAGGCTTACCTTCCATATAAAGTTGATTTCATTCGAAAATATTGATATTTGACCAATTTATGGGCCAAAATCGACCAAATTTGGTGCGTATACCCAAATATGGGCATATGGTTTTTGGCTCATAACTCAGTCATTTTTTGTTCAATCTTGATGAAAATTCATATACGAGTTCAGGGGACCACTAGCTACAAGTAACGCACCTAAAATCTGGGTTTTGGGCATGTTGAGGGTATTTAGCTAAATTGGGCCTAATTTGGACCAAATATGGGCGTGGCTGCCCCGCGGGCACCGTTTGGCGGTTGGGGTCCGGGACCCCCTCAAAAGTTTGGTCACCGGTCCTAGTTTGTTGGTCAACTGCTATCTCGAAACCAAGTTTCACAAAAAAATCAGGGTGAACCCTCCCCCTTAACTCAAAAGCACTGACCCTTATTTTCTGTAGTTTTCGTTGTGATTTCTCCATAGATTTACGTTTAATCCTGTGACTACCTTTTCTCGATAGAGTATTGTGCAACTCCAGTGTTATACCTGTATCATCTGAGGTTTGAGTGTCAGATTAGTAGTAGTACAGTTAAATCCACATTTCTGCTGTCTTCTAACGAAAGTGCTTAAAAACTTTATTCAAATTTATTTTTGAGGCAAGACCTTTGTAACGATCGGAACTGATTGCGGAAATCTCTTTTTGGGAACCACTAAAAATGCCAAATCAGGCAAAAAATGTGACAAAAGGATTTTAAAGTAAATAATTGGCAGAGTGCACATTTGTCAGAAAAGGCAGATCTACTGTGCCCCATTAACTATTGGCCCATTTACTGTGCAAATATCAGTTCAGTATCCTATGAAGGAGCTCACCCTTGTTACTTTTCTTAGGTTTCTTCTCCTCATCACTACTATACGTCATGTTATAGAAGCCCAGGGCCATGTCTGTTTCACCACAGTGCGGAGAATCGTTATCTGATAAGGATAGGTTCGACCTGAAATATTAGCACACGTTTAATAATAATGATAAAATTACCATTCTATAACATAGGAACATGCCGTGAAAGTAGATATATGACTTTAAAATAAAATTCAAACATTATACAATAAAAAGCAACCTAAATAAGGAGTAAAGAACTGAATTAAGTGATAAGATAGGTAATACTGTTTATAGAAGCACCACCCAAACTGATAATATAACTAAGCTAAAAAGAAACTCACAGGTTTAAAACCACATTTAGATTAGCTGCCTTCCTGCGAGCACCCCGGATGGCCACCTTGCGCTGAGTGCGCTGGGGCGTGCGCTGCACCACATTGCGCGTCTCACCAATACTCCCGTCAGACAGGGAAGCCTCCACGTCACTTGAACAGAAGTGAGGTGGTAATATTTGAGGGGGGTGAGAGAGGTGACCACGCTGGTGCCACACCGTTACACAACAGGGTTGTATTAGCTTCGTTCCTGGAGGTGAGTCAGGGTAGCTGGTCAGATAATTTTATTTACCTTGTCAAGCTTTTACTACTTATATGTATTTAACTATGTAGTTTACCAATGTAGGATTACAATTATTAATGTCTCAATTAGAGTATAATTGCAGATCAAAGCTACATGTCAGTGTGTACAAACATAAATTAAATAAACAAACACAAAATTTTACGGAGGCATGGGGAGATACGATCATTATTATCTTACAAGTTAAGTAACGGTAACAGTTCTGGTTCCACCAAATTGTTATTAAACAAAAGTTTGAAATATCGACACTTCATTATTAAACCAAATGATATGTTGATTAACAAACTAATGAACTTAAAATAAGTTTCTAACGCAGCTGATTAAATAACTAACTTAATAATTAACTAACTAACCAATAAACTTACTAACTAACTAATTAACGAACCAATTAAAAAATAAAAGTATCTAACCGAGAGAATCGTCAGTCAAGTAATGTTCGATAAGACTGAGAAGATTACGGAATCTTCTGTTCAGTGTGATACACAGTTCGTTATCTTTCTCTAGCACACTGTACTGCACCAACTGATAATAACAATGATAACATCAGATAACAATGATAACATCAGATAACAATGATAACATCATATCAGATAACAATGATAACATCAAATAACAATGATAACATCAGATAACAATGATAACATCAGATAACAATGATAACATCAGATAACAATGATAACATCAGATAACAATGATAACATTAGATAACAATGATAACATCATATCAGATAACAATGATAACATCAAATAACAATGATAACATCAGATAACAATGATAACATCAGATAACAATGATAACATCAGATAACAATGATAACATCAGATAACAATGATAACAACAAATAACAATGATAACATCAGATAACAACTGCACTGATAAAAATGATAACAATATTTGAGGTTTACTAGCTTATATTACCAGTGTTATATCGACTGATGAGTGATGATATTATGTGACTGATGATATTATCTAATATATGTAATGACATGTGATTCGTGAGGGAGATGCATTTAGTCATTAATTAATAGAGGCATTATCCGGGTTTTATGGCGTACCAGATCAATCTAATCTGCACAAAATGCCAAATACAAATGCTGAAAACAAATTTACACATGCGTTAGAGCAAAGTTTATGTATAAGGAAATACTTAATTACTATAATACTACACTGTTGTAATTCATAAAGTACATTTACTAAGCTGCAGACAGCTACTAATTTTCCAGAGGAAATTAATAGAAATTCGTGTAATTCTTGGAATATCTGCACGACACAGTTTTACACCAAAAATACTATGCATCCAGATGGCAGAAACAATGAATTTTTTTGAATAAATAGCAAAGGGAAATGACTTAAATTCCAAACTACAGCCTAGCATGTTAATACAATCCACTCACTTTATTGTTATTCCAGATGTTAAGGATGTATATAGCTTCAGTGGACTGACTGTTGGTCACCAAGAAAGAGCCTGTTACTGGGTCAGTAATTGCAAGTCTCAGCGATATCTGTTCTTTAGCTAGTCTCCCGTGAAACCAGCAGAGTCCAGCACACTGCCACATATTGTCAGTATTTAGTTAATTAAATGATTAATCGTTAATTAGTTAAGTAGTAGTTTTTAATTGATAAGTATGATGATATTTGAGATGTCACTTGTCCGTTTAGTATTATACAAGAAGAAGAATCTGGAAAATGCCTCAAAATCTTTGAATATGATATCAATCAGGATAAATATTTGAGCGATAACAGGTATATAATCCTACAATTATCGAACCCTAGTGGCCACTCCCAATTAATTAAAAATAAACCAATAACCTAATAAAGCCCACCTGATGCCCAGGAAAGAGTGAGTCCTGCACAATGAAGTACCGGACAGGACACCCATCTGTGAGCAGTGTTACCATGCCCTCGGGTTCAATACTGTGCTGATAAATCATGTTCTCCAAACTTTCATACACATGGTTGGAATCCCACACTATCGTACCATCATCCTGTAGATTTTAGCTTATTTTTAATGTGGTTACTAGTCAGGAGGTGATCTACACTTTGGTATACAATATGTACAATAAACTATATTTAAAATAATCCGCAAAATGGTCCCAAATCCCAATTTGCTATGTAACAAATAATTACCAATAGTAACTAATAGTGATATATTATGAGAGAGAAGAATGAGTGGGTGAGGTGGTTGCTAACCCATATGTGTCAAATGCAGGAGGTGACTTGGACATGATTTCAGGCCTGACCGGGACCGGGACCGGGATACAAAATGTGACTTGACCGGGACCGGGACCGGAATTATCAATTTACCGGGACCGGGATGAAAAATGTGACTTGACCAGGACCGGGACCGGGATAGCTTAAAATTGCCAATCCCAGTACCGGGATTCCCGGTACCGGGAATTCCAGTCAATTGCTGGTTAATTCATGATCATAATTTATTACTCAAACTTGTTTAGCAATTTTAAGCATTGTTTTATTTGGCTCAGAGGATGTTTAAAGATGAAATTCACAATATGAATGAAAGGAAAAACTTAAAATCACAGTGAATGAAATTATGTTAAAGATCCCGGTCAAAATCCCGGCAAATTTGAGTGATAGACCGGGACCGGGATCATAAATCAGCATTTGACCGGGACCATGACCGGGATGAAAAATGTGACTTGACCGGGACCGGGACTGGGATAGCTCAAAATTGCCAATCCCGGTCAAATGTGTTTTAACACCCAATATGTGTTTTAACACCCAACATAAAGAGCTGAGATGGGCCATGTTTCATAATATTACCTGTTTGTTTATCAGATAGTGTGCTATCTGTCTTCTAAAGTATACACTTATAACATAGTTCTCCTCGTCCTAGATAAAACAGTTGATCGTAAATCCAAAGGATAATAGAAAATTAAATTAAAATTCATACAGCTAAACACAGTTGAGACCCAATTTATAATTGAAAGAGCCATTTTTTATCAGACGACTCAGAATCTATTTAAGTAGTTTAATTAAACATATTTTGTGACAACCTCCAGCATTATTTAAACAGCCACTGAATCATTAGAATTTAAAATAGAAATATGCATGATTGAATAACTCACCTTTGATCTGATAAGGTAAGTACCATCACTACTGCTGTATAGCATAAGCCTGCATTCGGCCGTCTCTCTGTCTACATTTCCATGAAAATACAAATCCACCTCCATGAATGTAACATTTTGACTGACTACATGCTTTTCTCTGTCAGAGAAAATATCAGTGAGGACAATTCAAAGGGTAACACCTAGAGGAGAATAATTTGGGTTTTGTTTGAGAACAGAATGGAATACCAAGATAAAACTCAGGTGAGGGACTAAAGCTTAAGAAATTAGTTAGGGTTTAATATCGGTGGGGGTTTTTCTCAAAAATTATTTAATAGCTGTTTCTGATAGACGATCGTGATTCGTTGCATCAGCTGCATTTAGTTGCATGGAAAAATATTTTTCATAGCCGATGTTATCACTGATCCAAGGTCAGCACTCATCTGTTATTGTATTGCGAAGCAAGTTTCAATCGCACACCCTGAAAGTTGAGTCTGAAAATCTATCTTCTTCTACAGTTTTTGAGTTATCTCCCTGAAACTTTCAGGATATTTTCTAGGGATTATTTCGAAGAGATTAGCTGGACAGAATTTTGAGATAGGCCTTGAACCTCAAAAATTTTTCAAAAAATGAGGTCCAAGATTCTAACAAGAAATGCGGCCGCTTTTCTTTTGTGGATGGCCGCTCAATTTCCCGATCCGTGATGGAGTATTTTATCATGTTCCATACCACCTGGGGACCCCAGTCTTTGCTGTTTATAAGCACGCAGATGTGGCGGAGTGACAGGCCGAGCGCCGCCCAGTTGATATAATTCCATATTGAATTTGAAAATCGTGTATATTTCTATGTGCACGAAAAATTTATTTCGATGTAACCATATGTTTAACTTTATTGTTCATGCAACCTGACACGGATCTGTGCAAAATAGTAATACTAACTCAAAATAATAATACTATGCTATCAATTAGTCCCTGGATATTGAATTTTGTAATGCACTTCTGTGTAACACTTTTTCAATGGGCTGTTAGAGAAACTTGTGGACAGCAATCCTTGTTCGTATAATTAGATAAAATGGCTGCGGAACTTGAATAACGTAACATTAGAATGTAAATGTATAGAGTATATAGTGTGAGGGGTATTAGGCAAGCTATATTATAGTTTTTGAAGTTCAAACCAGTTTGCCTAGCTCATAAAGGGTTCCATCAATCATATTATTGACCAAATTTTGTACCAAAAACATTGAATTTTGTACCGTTTTAATGCCATTTCAGTGGATAAACTCGTTAGCTCTCACCTCGTCTGACGTTTTAATGTTACAAATTTCAGTATATTGGGCCCAATTTCTATTTTCTATACAATTTGATATTTAGATTAAAAGTTTTTGAATATTCAACCTTTAATCTAATTAGCTTTATTCATTTGATTAAATTTACCGCGTTCTGTCGCGGATTGTCAATTTAAATTGTTACAAAATTCAAGGTTACGAATAGACGTTTTTGCACAAAAACATGGATTTTGGAGAACAAGGTAGGTGGGTTTAAATTAAAGGTTGCACGATAAAAATAAACTTCAAACTTGCTCGGATTTATATATCGGGGTTGATATAGTAATTAAAATGAAGCAAAATATGCTCCTTTTAGCTGTAACATAATGTCTGATTAGATTGTTGAATAAGCTTTAAATTTTTCGGACACTTTCTTTGTAAGTCTATGAGCAAGCAGGCAAGCTTACCAATTTTTATTGCAATCGGAGGTCGGGAAGGATACTCAATATTTATTTGTTTGAAGAAAATTGTGCTGGCCGAAATTAACGCTAAAAAACGTCCTATATACAGTCGGCACGCGCGGCTCACTGTCGATGGCGCACTACCAATTTAAATATGTCGTGTGTCCTTACGTCTGTTACCATGACAACTAGCCGCGCACGCCGCACAGCCGCGCGCGAGGATTACTTGCGGAGATGTGATGTCTATAGCTAGCCTGTCATTACTGGGCGGCGCTCAAGCTCAGCCTGTCATTCCACCGAATAGCTTTATCATGTTTATTAACGTAATAGCCTGGGCCGGGGTCCTTATGTAAACCTGTCAATGAATGCGCCGCGCGGGTGAATTTTAATGTATACTATGTAATTGTAATGTATCAGGTAATAAGCCCAATTTGTACGTGGTATGCTTAGTATAGTGTACACTGTACTGATGTGTATCAATATTAATATTATTATTATGAAGTGAGCTGATTGGAGCCTATATTCATATTTATAGTTAAAGTGAATGGAAATGTAGCGTCCGCCAAAACTAAACAATTTTATAACAACGGGCGCAATTTTTGTTAGTGATTTTGACGTGTTTGCGGCCAAGTGTCAGTTTAGTGTGTCTGGGACCATCAGTTAACCAGGATTCCTGATTCAGTCTGGTGACTTTGTCGTCGATTAAACATTTGATGTAAGATTGTGGAATTGGAGACTTCAATTCAAAGTGGATTTGCTGATTGTACCAAGTTTGCCAGTTTGGCCAGCTCATCTGCTTTTTCGTTTCCAGGCTGGAGGGTAGAGATGAGAGACTAACCTGGTTATCTAAACAATATCACTATTAGCTGATTCGGACCGACCGCGGCCGCACTCATTCCTTTTTTAGAATTTTTTATTTTTATTTCCCGTACCTCACATTATGACTCGCGGATTTTTGGTTGCCGAGCAGATTCGAAGCCAAAACTGCTTAGTATTGGATTTTAAAGTTTCGCAAATTCTTAAATTCCGCGAAGAGATTAATTAAACTTAAAGGCAAAATGACCGATACGTTTGGTAAGCGTTTTATCTGGCGCCACTATCATGGTCCTCCTGCATGGCAGGTAGCAATCATGATGTCACGTTTTAGCGTTATCTGGGGACCTCAGGCTATCAGTATCATGTTCATAAAATAGAAATAAGGCGGAATGACAGGCTGAGCGCGGCCCAGTAAATTTTAACGATAAAACAATTTCACGCCACGACTGTTTTTTCGAGTTTATCTTGGTTAATGATAATCATACGTACTGGAGGTTCGAAGACACGATCTATACGAAAGGGACAAGTAAAGTGGGAGGGTGAGGTGAATATTTGAGTGAAGAGCAATCCGCTTATTGAAAGTTATAAACTCGAGAATTAATTATGTACATCGAATCTTTGCATGGCAAATGATCTGCAAGTGCAACTTGATCATGAGGTAATTTGTGAAGTAATTTATGTCTTTATATGTATAACATATTTGACCATGAAAACCCATAATCATGGGTAGAGTGGACCATTGCCAAAGGAAATGATATTAATTTGAATAACCATGCGCAAATGCAAAATGATATCGATAATGAAATCGGTCGCTCGCTTTTCCCATTCATTTACAATTCAAACGGACATTAAAATGAACGGACATTAAAATGAACGGATATTAAAATGAACGGACATTAAAATGAACGGACATTAAAATGAACGGACATTAAAATGAACGGACATTACAATGAACGGGCATTAAAATAAACGCTAGGTCCTGTTGGCCTAGTACGTGTCCAATTAGTGTCCGTTCAAATAAAGTCCGATAAGATAGAACATGAACGTGGTCAGTTGGTTAATTGTGGTCATAACTTCATTAATCACCACACATATCGTGTGTTCCCTGAACTCTGAATGAATGAGAATTGACCTCTCTTCTCGATTTAGAAACAACGTTCATTACTTGGCATATTATAATTCAACTGAAACTCGCAGAAATTGAAAATAAACAGCAAGCTTACAATCACCAAAGGATGAAGGGATTCATCGTAAAAGTGGTCCAATCTGATCGAGTACAATATTGTGGTGTTATTTTCTATTTCAGGGTCTGTGCATGAGATTAAAAAGGATGGGTCTCAGATTAGCGAAACAATTTGGGTACTGCTAATAGTGATATATCTCTTGGAGAGCAGTTTGAATGGAACGTGGATTTAGAGATTGAGAGTTGCTTGCAGAGGGCTTCCCGTTTCGGTCAGACTCGGACGAAACCAAAAAAGTTGTTAGTTTTGCTTTGAAATATCATTTAGTTGTAAGACTTATTTATAAGTAGTCTGATTTACCCATACCCGATTACCTTAGCAATTATTCTTTCATTCAAGTAATTTATTCAACAGTAAACTTTTTTAACTTAATGAAAATGAGGTTCTTTATAGTTTATCATGCGGTATTATGATTGAGTGGCTTAATAATAATGGTAGTGCCGTTTTGGCTATTTATATTGATTGTTATAGTCAAATGGATGCACAACTACATAATTAGAAATAGTAATCGATTTATCAACCCTTCAGGGTAATATTCATGGCTTTCTTCTTGTACATCTGCAGTGACCACTTTCTTCTTTTACTCAGCTTCTTGTCATATTTTGCGACTTATTAGTTATTTTAAAAGTCCTTGAGTTTAAAATTAGTTTAGCGGATTACACTTATAGTGCCAAATTAACTGGTGAGACTATCAACTCTGAACAGATTAAAAAGCTGTCAGTTAATGATGACGTTTACAAACAGAACTGCAGAGAAGCTCTAGAAACCGATAACATAAATGCCTGTTCTTCCAGACAGATCCGTGCACACAGTAATTCTCACATAAAGTAACACAAAGTTACATAAAAGCATAAAGTAAGTAAGTCAAAACAGCGACAGATATCAATAAGGCAACTGTTATACCAACGGAGTTTTCCTTTAATAAGGATGGCGAGAATGGTATTCTCGTTAAATGACGCTTATTAGCACATTAGTATTAGTATTACTGGTCGACGCCAGCCTCCCACTTCGTCACATCTCCGAGATCGTTTTTAAACATTTAATCCTGAGGTTCCCAGGTATTTATGTGATCATCAGAGAGAACTATTTGTTGTGTCATATTTTATGTATACTTTCTAGTGATACTAATATCGCTATAACCATGAGTAATACCACTATAGTGATACCAATATCGCTGTAACCATAAGTAATACCACTATAGTGATACCAATATCGCTGTAACCATAAGTAATACCACTATAGTGATACCAATATCGCTATAACCATAAGTAATACCACTATAGTGATACCAATATCGCTATAACCATAAGTAATACCACTATAGTGATACCAATATCGCTATAACCATAAGTAATACCACTATAGTGATACCAATATCGCTATAACCATAAGTAATACCACTATAGTGATACCAATATCGCTATAACCATAAGTAATACCACTATAGTGATACCAATATCGCTATAACCATAAGTAATACCACTATAGTGATACCAATATCGCTGTAACCATAAGTAATACCACTATAGTGATACCAATATCGCTGTAACCATAAGTAATACCACTATAGTGATACCAATATCGCTGTAACCATAAGTAATACCACTATAGTGATACCAATATCGCTGTAACCATAAGTAATACCACTATAGTGATACCAATATCGCTGTAACCATAAGTAATACCACTATAGTGATACCAATATCGCTGTAACCATAAGTAATACCACTATAGTGATACCAATATCGCTGTAACCATAAGTAATACCACTATAGTGATACCAATATCGCTGTAACCATAAGTAATACCACTATAGTGATACCAATATCGCTATAACCATAAGTAATACCACTATAGTGATACCAATATCGCTATAACCATAAGCAATACCACTATAGTGATACCAATATCGCTATAACCATAAGCAATACCACTATAGTGATACCAATATCGCTGTAACCATAAGCAATACCACTATAGTGATACCAATATCGCTGTAACCATAAGCAATACCACTATAGTGATACCAATATCGCTGTAACCATAAGCAATACCACTATAGTGATACCAATATCGCTGTAACGACCATAAGCAATACCACTATAGTGATACCAATATCGCTGTAACCATAAGCAATACCACTATAGTGATACCAATATCGCTGTAACCATAAGCAATACCACTATAGTGATACCAATATCGCTGTAACCATAAGCAATACCACTATAGTGATACCAATATCGCTGTAACGACCATAAGCAATACCACTATAGTGATACCAATATCGCTGTAACCATAAGCAATACCACTATAGTGATACCAATATCGCTGTAACCATAAGCAATACCACTATAGTGATACCAATATCGCTGTAACCATAAGCAATACCACTATAGTGATACCAATATCGCTGTAACCATAAGCAATACCACTATAGTGATACCAATATCGCTGTAACCATAAGCAATACCACTATAGTGATACCAATATCGCTGTAACCATAAGTAATACCACTATAGTGATACCAATATCGCTATAACCATAAGTAATACCACTATAGTGATACCAATATCGCTATAACCATAAGTAATACCACTATAGCGATACCAATATCGCTGTAACCATAAGTAATACCACTATAGTGATACCAATATCGCTATAACCATAAGTAATACCACTATAGTGATACCAATATCGCTATAACCATAAGTAATACCACTATAGTGATACCAATATCGCTATAACCATAAGTAATACCACTATAGTGATACCAATATCGCTGTAACCATAAGTAATACCACTATAGTGATACCAATATCGCTATAACCATAAGTAATACCACTATAGTGATACCAATATCGCTATAACCATAAGTAATACCACTATAGTGATACCAATATCGCTATAACCATAAGTAATACCACTATAGTGATACCAATATCGCTGTAACCATAAGTAATACCACTATAGTGATACCAATATCGCTGTAAGTAATGGGCATGAACCACATCAGCACATGGGGTCCTCCCTTCAGTTAAAGCTAAACTATTAAAGTTAAGTCCTAATGTTAATAGAGATCTGCATCCAAGCGTGGCCGGGTGCACCGTATTGTTTTTAATCATGAACTAGCGTTTATTAACCACTCCGCTTGCATTCTATTTATTGACCGATCAAAACTCAGAACCACTGTCACGTATCAAAATAAATATGGTTTTCTTCCCAACCATACGAATACCTAGATTAATGGGGATTGTAATTCCATAAAGGCTGCTAGGGTGTCACTTTATCAGGGTGACACGTTACCAGGGTGACACGTTACCAGGGTGACACGTTACCAGGGTGACACGTTACCAGGGTGACACGTTACCAGGGTGACACGTTACCAGGGTGACACGGGCAGACGTTTTTTGACACCTTCATGAATGTTTAAGCTGGCTACCTCATGAAGGAGAACTACCTCGAGTGCGATATCGAAAATTACTCAACAGCATTAATAAATAACCTCTACGTGAGATGAGAATGGCATTTATTGTATACATTTTAATTTATGACCGACCAACAAAGTGATTCTTATCTCATGCGAAAATACTGGAACCTTTTTGTTTATGAGTTGATTCTGTAATTATGCATTTCGCAATCTCATCAAATTTTAACCCAATTGCAGTTTACAGAATAAAAAACAGTTTATAGACAAGATTAATTCATAACTTTAACATGCACATTACATGATTAATTTTGTCTATTTCAGCACAATACAAGCTCGAGCAAAGCAACCCAACCACAGCTCTTCACAAAAATTCATTTGATTTTGAAGCAGTGTTTAGTGGTTTAAGTATTAATTCTATACCATGTACAGCACAAAACTCCGAGTATAGTAGTCCTGCAAATCCAATAAAAATAGAATCCGTCCAATCCAATTAGAGTACATAATATAGTCACGTCGCGTTCATATAATCCTCACCCTACCGACCTAACCATTCGAATTCTATAAAATTTCCGATTTGCCTAGCTCAGCTAACTGGCCTGGAGCTCAAATTTTCCTGTAGCAATATATGCGGTTACAAAGGATGTTTGTACCTGGTCTGGAGGCTTCTAGCGAGTCACGTGACTTGAGAATCCAGCTTCCCCGTTATGTACTTATGTTCTATAATCACGACCTCTAAACGGCCGAATAAGCATCTAACTGACCGTAGTAAACGCCCATGTTGTGCAAGCAAATTAGCTTCTAAGGTTCGAGCTCTTCCGTTAGTTGGCTTAGTGGAAGAGGCGATGTGTAATGTGGGGGTAATGTGGAGGAGGCGATGTGCGTGTTTGGTAATGATGGCGGGTATTTGAGGGTTGGGTTAGACGTGTATGTAACGTGACATAGCCCTTTGTTGTGGGCAACTTTGTGCTTTGATTGTTGTGAGTTTATTAGTGTAATTTGGGTTGTTTGAGACCTCTAAAAATTAGTTCATAAGAGCTCTGTTTCAAGTGAGGTGACGTTTATACCCGAACCTCACTCCTTAGAACCTGTATTGTTGATTGTAAGCTAAAACCCTGAATTGGGTAGACTTAGAATTGAACGTCTTCTATTAGTGTTTTCCCTTTTTTCAACTGAGAAGGAAATATAATATAATTGGCTTAAATGACTGTTCTTAATGATCGATATCGAGAATGAAATCGGTCGTTTGCCTTTGCCAATTGTTCTGTATCCAAGGCCTTAGAAATTCAATGAGCGTAAACGTTAGCTCTCCAGTTTTGAACTTTAGTAATAGGTATGGGTTGCCCTGTCCAATTGAATTATTCATTATAGTTCATACCCATGATTTCGAGTATAATAGTTTGATATCAATTTAAACATTCTGATGCACCGTTCTGCAACATAATCACAATATATATATATATTATATTGTATACCTTCAAATGCCGTTATTTCGCCTTAGTTGCCTTAGTTGCCCAACAATGTTTAGGTCATCTCATCGTTTTGAAATATGGTTACATTTGAGAGTTGCTCATTCTAAAAACCACTCTTGCAATACAGCTACCTTTGACTCGTTATGCTAAGGAGATCTTGAATCTTGATCCAATTGAAACAATAACATTTTGCACCTTGCTTGCAGTAAACAAAGGTTCATTATCATTATTGTAATATGGTCATGTTAAGATGTTACTAATTATTGTAATATGGTTATGTTACTAATGCACTGCTAGTACTACAAGAACTGTCCAATTAAATTATGTATAACTGTTGCCTGATGTTTGTTCTGTGACATGATTATTGAATTTTAATGATAAGGGAATAATTTGACCTAATTTGACGGTTTGATTTGTGTAACATAATCACATCATAGTAATAGTATGCGCTTAGTGGCTCGACTTTTTCTGGTCACCTCATATTTCAAACTAAGAAACTTTAGCTTCCAATGAGGAATTCTCACAACCACTGCATTAGAAGTACAGCCCCAACTGCCGATATCCCTGAACACACATAGAACTAAAACGCTCGACAACACGGCACGGATATAGAACTAGAAATAAGACAAGAAGCGAGATACTCGTAGTGAATGGTGGTGTCAGTAAGGACCAAGATGCTCACCGATACAGATATTAAAGCCTACAAGGTCCTGGCTGCTTGTTGCCTTGGTAACCTAGCTTCAGGGTTCCCTGTTAACTCTTTCGGGACTGTGTTGCTCTACGTGGTGTCTTATCTTCGAGAGGATGTGAGTTTATTATGATTAAATTCATGACAAATCGGAACAATGCCGACCAACTATCAACCGGCTATTGGCTAATACTAATAGCCAGCTGTTTATAGTTACAGTGACAGCTGGCTATTGACTAATAGCCAGCTGTTAGTTACCGTGACAACTGGCTATTAGACGGTTAATATCTGGTCGGTATTGTACCTATTTGCCTAAATTCATTATGGCGATTAAATTCATTAAGGTTAATAAATTTATTAACCTTAATAAATTCATTGTTTGTTTGTTTGTTTGTTTATAGAACCCGTCCCCAATCTCGTATCGGGAAATGACTAAACTCAGGTCTGAGTGTGAATACGGGTGGTACCTGCAAGAGTGTTCATTAAGCATTTAGAGTTCTGTGAAACTGCAGTTACAATTGTGCTAGAGTATTTTTAGTATATACGATAGGTATCAGATATATCCTTACATGCTTCCAAAATTTGTAAAGCCGTAGTACATACATATCACATTACACCGGAGCCTACATAGTGCAATCTCCTCCAGTCGATCTGCGCCGTGTATGTTTATATAAACGCTCGGCCCAGATTGGAGGAAACCACACTCTGCAAGTTCGATCCAGTAGAATGCTACATGTACGTACTACGGCTTCATCTCCAACTTTCTGCACAATGTACTGGAATGTTTTGAAGGAAGAAAAAAAAAAAAAAAAAAAAAAAAAAAAAAAAAAAAACAAACTAAAATCAGCCTCTTTTTCTTTTTAAAAAAAATAATAAAGTATGTAACGTCGATACCAAACCGATCATTTAGCGATGATAACTGAGTAGTGGATTCCTGGGTTGCAGAGTCATTCAGATGTTTCAGTCTTCGAATGTGGTTCTTGTTCAGTTTTGTCCATGTTTCCTCGTGTTATGTTCAAAGTTTTAGGTGTCATGTTGTCCTTGACCAGAAGAGTCTAATGAAGTAACTCTTCCTTAAATGCTGATATGCGTCGTCTCCATCCCAGAAAATATGAAGATGACCCAGTGAAAAAGTGCAGAAATCGGCCGAAAATAACAAATACTAGAAACAGTTAAAAAGTGACAGAATTCAAACACAAGGAAAATTTATACATAGATAATAATACAAAATATCTTCAAACGGAGTTTTCTTAGAGGGTGAGATGTTCTTTAATAAGTCCTCATGATTAAATGAGAAGTTACCTAGAGGTACTAAATTAACCGGACTGCTAGCAAGGAGTCGAGAGTGGGAATAATATAAATGCGGAATTAATTCTAAGATAACAAAAAATCTTGTACAGAAAGCTAAAGTTCGAACAAAAAGTCTAGGAAAAACCTGTGAACCAAATAAGCAGAATGGCAGCCGTGCATGAAGTGATAAAATATAAAACGTTCTAAAATGCCTGCGGAGGCATCTTATCTACTCCTTCGTAATATGCACGTGTTAGTAAGTGTAGTAAAAATAGAAAAAGAATAAATCTATAAAATGAACGAAGCGGTGAAAATCTTAGAGGGTGAGATGTTCTTTAATAAGTCCTCATGATTAAATGAGAAGTTACCTAGAGGTACTAAATTAACCGGACTGCTAGCAAGGAGTCGAGAGTGGGAATAATATAAATGCGGAATTAATTCTAAGATAACAAAAAATCTTGTACAGAAAGCTAAAGTTCGAACAAAAAGTCTAGGAAAAACCTGTGAACCAAATAAGCAGAATGGCAGCCGTGCATGAAGTGATAAAATATAAAACGTTCTAAAATGCCTGCGGAGGCATCTTATCTACTCCTTCGTAATATGCACGTGTTAGTAAGTGTAGTAAAAATAGAAAAAGAATAAATCTATAAAATGAACGAAGCGGTGAAAATCTTAGAGGGTGAGATGTTCTTTAATAAGTCCTCATGATTAAATGAGAAGTTACCTAGAGGTACTAAATTAACCGGACTGCTAGCAAGGAGTCGAGAGTGGGAATAATATAAATGCGGAATTAATTCTAAGATAACAAAAAATCTTGTACAGAAAGCTAAAGTTCGAACAAAAAGTCTAGGAAAAACCTGTGAACCAAATAAGCAGAATGGCAGCCGTGCATGAAGTGATAAAATATAAAACGTTCTAAAATGCCTGCGGAGGCATCTTATCTACTCCTTCGTAATATGCACGTGTTAGTAAGTGTAGTAAAAATAGAAAAAGAATAAATCTATAAAATGAACGAAGCGGTGAAAATCTTAGAGGGTGAGATGTTCTTTAATAAGTCCTCATGATTAAATGAGAAGTTACCTAGAGGTACTAAATTAACCGGACTGCTAGCAAGGAGTCGAGAGTGGGAATAATATAAATGCGGAATTAATTCTAAGATAACAAAAAATCTTGTACAGAAAGCTAAAGTTCGAACAAAAAGTCTAGGAAAAACCTGTGAACCAAATAAGCAGAATGGCAGCCGTGCATGAAGTGATAAAATATAAAACGTTCTAAAATGCCTGCGGAGGCATCTTATCTACTCCTTCGTAATATGCACGTGTTAGTAAGTGTAGTAAAAATAGAAAAAGAATAAATCTATAAAATGAACGAAGCGGTGAAAATCTTAGAGGGTGAGATGTTCTTTAATAAGTCCTCATGATTAAATGAGAAGTTACCTAGAGGTACTAAATTAACCGGACTGCTAGCAAGGAGTCGAGAGTGGGAATAATATAAATGCGGAATTAATTCTAAGATAACAAAAAATCTTGTACAGAAAGCTAAAGTTCGAACAAAAAGTCTAGGAAAAACCTGTGAACCAAATAAGCAGAATGGCAGCCGTGCATGAAGTGATAAAATATAAAACGTTCTAAAATGCCTGCGGAGGCATCTTATCTACTCCTTCGTAATATGCACGTGTTAGTAAGTGTAGTAAAAATAGAAAAAGAATAAATCTATAAAATGAACGAAGCGGTGAAAATCTTAGAGGGTGAGATGTTCTTTAATAAGTCCTCATGATTAAATGAGAAGTTACCTAGAGGTACTAAATTAACCGGACTGCTAGCAAGGAGTCGAGAGTGGGAATAATATAAATGCGGAATTAATTCTAAGATAACAAAAAATCTTGTACAGAAAGCTAAAGTTCGAACAAAAAGTCTAGGAAAAACCTGTGAACCAAATAAGCAGAATGGCAGCCGTGCATGAAGTGATAAAATATAAAACGTTCTAAAATGCCTGCGGAGGCATCTTATCTACTCCTTCGTAATATGCACGTGTTAGTAAGTGTAGTAAAAATAGAAAAAGAATAAATCTATAAAATGAACGAAGCGGTGAAAATCTTAGAGGGTGAGATGTTCTTTAATAAGTCCTCATGATTAAATGAGAAGTTACCTAGAGGTACTAAATTAACCGGACTGCTAGCAAGGAGTCGAGAGTGGGAATAATATAAATGCGGAATTAATTCTAAGATAACAAAAAATCTTGTACAGAAAGCTAAAGTTCGAACAAAAAGTCTAGGAAAAACCTGTGAACCAAATAAGCAGAATGGCAGCCGTGCATGAAGTGATAAAATATAAAACGTTCTAAAATGCCTGCGGAGGCATCTTATCTACTCCTTCGTAATATGCACGTGTTAGTAAGTGTAGTAAAAATAGAAAAAGAATAAATCTATAAAATGAACGAAGCGGTGAAAATCTTAGAGGGTGAGATGTTCTTTAATAAGTCCTCATGATTAAATGAGAAGTTACCTAGAGGTACTAAATTAACCGGACTGCTAGCAAGGAGTCGAGAGTGGGAATAATATAAATGCGGAATTAATTCTAAGATAACAAAAAATCTTGTACAGAAAGCTAAAGTTCGAACAAAAAGTCTAGGAAAAACCTGTGAACCAAATAAGCAGAATGGCAGCCGTGCATGAAGTGATAAAATATAAAACGTTCTAAAATGCCTGCGGAGGCATCTTATCTACTCCTTCGTAATATGCACGTGTTAGTAAGTGTAGTAAAAATAGAAAAAGAATAAATCTATAAAATGAACGAAGCGGTGAAAATCTTAGAGGGTGAGATGTTCTTTAATAAGTCCTCATGATTAAATGAGAAGTTACCTAGAGGTACTAAATTAACCGGACTGCTAGCAAGGAGTCGAGAGTGGGAATAATATAAATGCGGAATTAATTCTAAGATAACAAAAAATCTTGTACAGAAAGCTAAAGTTCGAACAAAAAGTCTAGGAAAAACCTGTGAACCAAATAAGCAGAATGGCAGCCGTGCATGAAGTGATAAAATATAAAACGTTCTAAAATGCCTGCGGAGGCATCTTATCTACTCCTTCGTAATATGCACGTGTTAGTAAGTGTAGTAAAAATAGAAAAAGAATAAATCTATAAAATGAACGAAGCGGTGAAAATCTTAGAGGGTGAGATGTTCTTTAATAAGTCCTCATGATTAAATGAGAAGTTACCTAGAGGTACTAAATTAACCGGACTGCTAGCAAGGAGTCGAGAGTGGGAATAATATAAATGCGGAATTAATTCTAAGATAACAAAAAATCTTGTACAGAAAGCTAAAGTTCGAACAAAAAGTCTAGGAAAAACCTGTGAACCAAATAAGCAGAATGGCAGCCGTGCATGAAGTGATAAAATATAAAACGTTCTAAAATGCCTGCGGAGGCATCTTATCTACTCCTTCGTAATATGCACGTGTTAGTAAGTGTAGTAAAAATAGAAAAAGAATAAATCTATAAAATGAACGAAGCGGTGAAAATCTTAGAGGGTGAGATGTTCTTTAATAAGTCCTCATGATTAAATGAGAAGTTACCTAGAGGTACTAAATTAACCGGACTGCTAGCAAGGAGTCGAGAGTGGGAATAATATAAATGCGGAATTAATTCTAAGATAACAAAAAATCTTGTACAGAAAGCTAAAGTTCGAACAAAAAGTCTAGGAAAAACCTGTGAACCAAATAAGCAGAATCTAATAAATTCATTAAGGTTATTAAATTCGTTAAGATTATTGAATTCATGTATTATATTAAATTCATTAATCAAAAGTCATTAATTCATTAAGATTGTTAAATTCATAAAGGTTCTTGAATTCATTAATACTTTAATACTAATTACTATCAAATTCATTATGGCGATTAAATACATTAATGTAATCAAATTCATCGATGCTATTAAATTCATTACATCTATTAACCATTATTTATGCTATACTTATATTATTATGATGTATTATTTTTGTAAATTGATCAATAAATTTCTGTTTTGTGTTTTATCTCACAGCATTGACAAATAAAAAGGGTTCTTCTGCGATAGTCTGAACGCGATTTCTAGCGCTACCTAGAGCTCAGCTATAGTTAACGATAATTATTGCAAACTATTGCGATAATTAGCGCTATCTACCGCCAGTTAGCGCTAATTAGCGCTAAAATTAGTGCTAACTAGCGCTAGCTATCGCGTTTAGACTATCGCAAAAGAACCATAAAAAGCCCCAGAACTATAACTAATATTCGTAGGGTTCAGACGTCAGATCGAGTGGGGTCTCCTTTGTACCGATCATGTGTACCATTATCCTCTCAGTTACTATGTTCACTGGTAGTCTCCTAGAGTATCTTCTAGGTTCGTACTTACTTATTTCATTACTTCATTGTGATACTCGTACATGCTCTAAGCGGTTATACTAAACATTTCTTGTTGTGGAAAATGATAAAACACAAAACTCCTTGTGAGGGGACTACGAAACACTTCAAATTATATTGAAACGGAGCAATAAACCTCTGGAAACACAAGATACAATTATTCTAATCAAACAGAGTTTATAACGAAATTAATGACAGGGTATACGTGGTCACTGATAGGTGTAAGTGCAGTCTTTATAGCTTCTCTGATGCTAAACTTTGTGGCTCTTAAAAGCTTTGGAGCCATTGTTGTCATCTACTGTATACTGGGGTACTGCGAAGGTAATACTATTCTTTAAGAGATCTTATAGTTATAACTCCCTAATAATATTAGTAATATTATTATTCGTTTCATTGTCAGTACTATTTTCATAAATTACAACATTGTGCATCATATCTGCAGTTGTTAGTCCCGATTGCACATGGAATATAGCAGGTTAAATATTTTGGAAGTTTGGAGATAATCTAAACGTCTTACAGTATCTTATAACTCTAACGATTTTAACAAATTCTAATTCTAAGGTGTATTGCTGGTAACGTTCCTGTCCACTGCAATGGAGTGGTTTCCCAAGAAACGAGGTCTAGCAGCGGGGGTATCAGCACTGGGGAGTGGGTTCAGCGGCTTTGTCTTTGCTGCTATCCAATCTGCCTTCATCAACCCCTGGAACTACGTACCAGACCACGCCCCTTATGTGGTGAGTCACGTACCAGATCACGCCCCTTATGTGTTGAGTCACGTACCAGACCACGCCCCTTATGTGGTGAGTCACGTACCAGATCACGCCCATTATGTGGTGAGTCACGTACCAGACCACGCCCCTTATGTGGTGAGTCACGTACCAGATCACGCCCCTTATGTGGTGAGTCACGTACCAGATCACGCCCCTTATGTGGTGAGTCACGTACCAGACCACGCCCCTTATGTGGTGAGTCACGTACCAGATCACGCCCCTTATGTGGTGAGTCACGTACCAGATCACGCCCCTTATGTGGTGAGTCACGTACCAGACCACGCCCCTTATGTGGTGAGTCACGTACCAGATCACGCCCCTTATGTGGTGAGTCACGTACCAGATCACGCCCCTTATGTGGTGAGTCACGTACCAGATCACGCCCCTTATGTGGTGAGTCACGTACCAGACCACGCCCCTTATGTGGTGAGTCACGTACCAGACCACGCCCCTTATGTGGTGAGTCACGTATCAGACCACGCCCCTTATGTGGTGAGTCACGTACCAGACCACGCCCCTTATGTGGTGAGTCACGTACCAGATCACGCCCCTTATGTGGTGAGTCACGTGTACCAGACCAAACCCCTTTTTCTTTTCAATGGCCTTTGGTCTTTGGATCACCTTATAAATTACAGGGCGGCGATCAGCCTGTGATTCCGCCGAATCTCTATTGTCTATGTTAATGAACACAATAGCCTGGGCCGGGTCCCCAGGTAACTTGTAAAGAGTTGTAGTCAGAGTTTAACCATGAATAAAACCTAAACAACTTATGTGAATCATTCAGAGCTTAAATGCTAAATTATCAAAAAACATGACAACAATTATTGAGATTTTTGCTACAGGGTTACCCAGACGAGAAATATTTCACACAACATGACCTCCTGAAACGGGTACCACAATCCTTCCTCATCGTTTCAGCCGTCTCTTGTGTCCTTCTTTCAATCGCGGTCACTCTGGTTTGTTAACAAAAATTATGTTACACTCAACGCTTGTTCAGTATTAAAATATTTTATAAGTGCTTCAAATGACTATCATGGGAAAATAAATGAATCTTATAGCAGCATTGGGTATAAAACCATCAATAAATGATTTTATTTTGAAGCTCAGTTTGTTAGCAATTATTTTAAACAAATTTCATTTCATTGGTAGGTAAGCCGGCCGACAGAGGAAGAGAAGACGCAGCTTTCAGGCATAAAACTCAAGTTGATAGACAGTGACCCACTGTTATTAGAACCTGATGTTCAGCCTTTTAAAATGGTCAAGAGCCCTCACTTTTGGGTGTTCTTCATTATCTTCGGTCTTGGCAGGTAACCAGCTGAGTGATGTTTATTTTTGTATTTATTTATTAATTCTTTTAAAAAGAAAGGTTTGTTAGCGAAAAAGTAAGCAGAAAAGGGTATGAGTCACTCCGTGAATTACAAGTGATTTTGTTTATCCGTTTGTGCGGTTAATAGCTATAAGAGAACTGTTACTTGTCATGCCGTTTACTATAAATTACTCTCATGGTTACGAACGTCACGACAGTTTAATAGCCACATGTCACATCATATGAACAAACCGGTTACATGTTAAATTGTTATCCATTAAACATAACATATATCTGTTACCGATCGAACTATTACTATTAGTATTACTATTAGATGAGTAACAGGAAATTGCGTTAAAGTATTAATTCTTATTGGATAATCAACATTGAGTTCAATATTTGCAATATTTAAAAATAATCGAACCGAAATGATGGACAAAACGTTTTACAACATACCAGGGACAAAAGGATTTCGCGGCATGTACGAAATCGCGAAATTTCCCATTCTCCGCGACAAATTTTATGTATAGTTTAATATATAGCCTGTTAAATTTCGCGGTACCGCGATTTTTGGCCAAAATAATCGCGAAATCCTTTTGTCCCTACAACATAGTCAATTTATTCACATAATCAGGTGCGATTTCATCTTCATGAACTCGCTAAGTAAAGTCTTTGGAGAGTCCTTCATCAACAATGACCACTTCTTGGCGACCACAGGAGCAATAGCCGGTCTCATGAACGGGGGTGGCAGGCTGGCTTGGGGAACTCTTAGTGATGTCATAGGTAATTAAAATATGGGAATGTAATTCTCCAACTTTTAAATCATTTCTTAAGCAATTTTCAAAACTTCATAGATTAAATATAATCAGTTATGACCAGACAGTCAGAATGTCAGATTGACAAAGATTTGTGTCAGAAGAACTTACTGAATATCATCAAATGGTGATTATTTAGAAATAGAAGAAAAAAGCAATCAGCCAATAAAACAGGGCGTGGTGAGTCCCCGCACTGAGTGACCAGGTTAAAATAAAATGGATTGTTGTTAAAGTTCTAGTGAGCGAACAGATCATATACCAAAAAATACCAATGAATGATTCTCGTCCCAGGTATTCAGAAAACATTGATGGTTCAAACAGGAGTCCTGACATTGTTGATGTTCACATTCTACGCTACTAAATTAGGAGGAGAGGTTCGTGCTAAAAACTACTTTGGGGCTATTTACTTAGGACGTCTGCCAAAATCGCAGATTTTCAGACCACCCCCTCCCCCCTTTCCAGCTTGCAGCTCCTTCTAGGAGTACAAATAAAACCAATTCAAATTCATTGTTAATAAAATGTGTAGTTACTTAAAATAGACAATAATACATTTAGTGTCGAACAAGTTTATAGCACAGTTAAATTTAAGTACATTTAAGTACTCGTTCAAAATACAGGGATCTAAACTTACTGCTTAGTGCTTACAGAGTAATTAGATCAGTCAAAGAGTTGACTTTTTCGTTAATTCTGCAAAAATTTCCCGACATCAGGATTGTTAGAAACCACGATCCCCCTGTCCGGATTTGTCCGAAATTCCGAAACCACCCCCTCCCTAAGAGTAAGGCTATTCGCCGGACGTCCTAAGTAGATTAGATGGCCCTTTTAACTGTATTTTAAATTTTAAGTTAATGAAAATCAACTTTTATCATTATAAACAGTTAAGAATAACCAACATTTTATAAAATTAAATAGATAATAGATCGAGCAGTAATTTTAATATAAACAGTTACTTACTTTTACTTGTGTGATCCTTGATCGGACAAAGTTATACTTAACAAAATCCTTAAAAATATTTTTCTAGCCGATGTACTTTGTGTGGGTGTCAGCAATAATCTTTACATCTGCCGGCGGGTTCTCTCTCCTTCCTGCAGCTGCAATGACTTTCTTTGGTTGCAAAAACACCAAGCTAAAGATTGGTTTCCTTTATATCAGCCAGGGTGTTGGAGCATTACTACAGGTACAATAAGTTTTTATGTTGTTTACAGTTAAAGCTTATTTGAAAAATATGCAGTGACTCCAAGAATTTAATTCGTTTGGCGGACGGAATTCCAACTAGTGAGCTTTGGGGGCACAGCCTGGTAGGAATTCAATTTCCCTCTACCAACAATAATTAGATCGTGGTGAAACTTACTGATACGAATTCGAAAGCGAACACTTTCTAATTTTCAGGGTTTTTTGATGCTGGGATGGCACATAGTCCTACAGTGGAAGGGAATCATGAACATATTCGGATTCTGCTCCCTTCTTGCCTTCCTCTTCTCTTGCTTACTTCACTTTGTGTTAAAAGCTGTGCGGGAAGAACGTAAGTATAGACTTTCACTTAATGTTACAATATTTTACTTCTTAGGCATCAATTTATTGGGTATGAAGAATAAAAAAGTGACGCTTAGGAACCCCTTTTTCATGGTCAGTTATATTAATCAAATTAACCCTATGAATATGAAACAGGTATGAGCGTCCTCTCGAGATTCACCAGAATCCAGCCATTTTCAGAGTAAAATGATAAAATGACCTCTCCAGCCCCTTCGCTCATCGCAAAGCCATGTGGCATAATAAACATTAGGATCAGTAAAACTAATTTATTTCTTACTTATATGTGGTCAACTGGTCCAATAAATGTCTGATTTTGGAATGAGAAATGATATTAGTTTGTAAATATGGGGGCTCGGTCTTCCACGAACCATTTAGGCGACTAACGTATAGAATTTAAAGTATAGACCTATTATACTGTATATATGCCGTCCACGAAGTTTTCACTAAACTCTACACTTATAATACACATCACATATTATGCAGTTCATTCACTTCATTTAATATTTGTGGAAGACCCACCCCCGGATTTAGGATTAGGATATTTGAGATATGGTTAAAATTATAAAATTCAATTATAGGAGATATTATTATTTGAGTTTGTAGCGTATATATTTGACGCTTTGCCCTAGTCAGAGGGTCTATCATATTGAGTTTAAATTGATATTGGCTTTATCTCCTCTGAGTTATATACAAATAGCATTATTATATACAAATAGATACTATTATTGTAAAATAGTTAAATATGCGGGCTAAACATGGGTTCTTGTAGGAACGTTTCAGGACTATAATAAAAGCGGTATAAATTCTGATGTTTTCAGCTTTGTAAATATCTTATACGTTTTAATTGTTTATTTGTTGAATATTGAGTGATTGTTTCGCAGAAAGCATACAATTTGTTATTGTAAAAGTATAAATGTTTGATAGCAAAAGGTATAAAATTTTAGAGCTTCAAGTTCAAGTCATTATCAAGTCAAAGTGAGTAAAAAGATGAAATGGAAATGTAATAACAACGATTTTGTACAAGTTATATAGGAAAGTAATATTAATTGTCCAGGTTGGAATCCATGCACAAGTCTTTTCATAGAGTCTAACTCTTTGGGGCACATGTTATCGTGCATTTCTACACAAGATCAGCCCATGTGTCATGGTCACGTGTCATGGTCACGTGTCATGGTCACGTGGGCATATAGAAAGAGTTTTAGTAGCTCAGCTCTCCACAATCTCATCCTCCTCCTCCTCCTCCTCGTCATCAGGTCGACCAGAGTAGAAGACATTAAGATGACCTCCCTCTCCTCCAGCCTGAGCCTGCTGAGCTGGGACTGCAGCTCCACTTGCTTTGCCTGCACCCGGCATACCTGGCATCTGGCTCATGTGACCAGGCCAGCCTGGAACGAAGTGCCACGCGTTCTTGTCCATATTTGAGGCTCCCATGCTTCCCATTGAACCTCCGGGCATGGCACCCATAGCACCACCACCCATTGAACTTCCAGCAGGCCATCCAGGCATGGCGCCCATAGCTCCACCACCCATTGAACTTCCAGCAGGCCATCCAGGCATGGCACCCATAGCACCACCACTCATCGAGCTTCCAGCGGGCCATCCAGGCATGGCTCCGTGTCCACCAACCATTGAAGATCCTGCGGGCCATCCAGGCATGGCACCCATAGCCCCACCGCCCATTGAACTTCCAGCAGGCCATCCAGGCATGGCGCCCATAGCTCCACCACCCATTGAACTTCCAGCAGGCCATCCAGGCATGGCTCCGTGTCCACCACCCATTGAAGATCCTGCGGGCCATCCAGGCATGGCACCCATAGCCCCACCGCCCATTGAACTTCCAGCAGGCCATCCAGGCATGGCGCCCATAGCTCCACCACCCATCGAACTTCCAGCAGGCCATCCAGGCATGGCGCCCATAGCTCCACCACCCATTGAACTTCCAGCAGGCCATCCAGGCATGGCACCCATAGCACCACCACCCATTGAACTTCCAGCAGGCCATCCAGGCATGGCACCCATGGCACCACCACCCATGCTTCCATGTCCACCACCCATTGAACTTCCAGCAGGCCATCCGGGCATGTTGCCCATCATGTTCATCTGCTTCATCTTTTTAACAACTGCTGGATCAGCATCTGAAGACATTGTGATTTAGAGCTTGCTAATTTAAAGCAGCAGTAAATTAATATTATAAGACTTGAGAAAATCAAGTTGTAAATCATTGGATAACGATGCACGGTGTTTACATACTTCACATATTTTACATATTTCACCCCGTGAACAGATGGCCGGTCATGAAAACTGTTTATTAAATTCAGAAGATATGGGGCTGTAAAACTAAAAGTAAAAAGATCAAACTGCAAAAAGGGAGGAATCGAGTCACAAAACTGGAGCAAGATGGTAAAGTATGACCAGGCATGATAATAAGGTTAGATCTAGCCTCAGAATGGGATAAGTTAGGTTGAAAAACCGGAGAAAATGCTGCAAAATGAGACTGAGAGACCATTGGGACGATGTATGGGGATTGGGGATACTGGGATACTATAGATTGCAAATCGAAGAGAGGATTGGACCCGAGGCCGAACGAGCTGCAACATTGCACTCCTGCTAACATTAACAACTCCTAGTTTGTTTAGTATTGCCATTTCAAATTGGGTTTCATGGACTTAATCACGAATTTCTATAATCAAATCCGATGACCTTACCCGTTAACAAATCCAAAGCTTCATTTTTGAGCTAAAATTATGATACCATGGTCATTTGATTTGATCATGCAAAAGATGTCTTAAGTATCATCTTCTGCGTCAATAAACTACTTGACAATATTAATGATAATAATTTATATATAATAAAAATATATCATAATCAATAACAAGAATATCATAATAAACTATGATAATAGCCTAATCAATTACAACGAAAAATTAAATATACTCACAGCAATCAACATAAGTGTTAGATTTATCCACGAAGATGTAAGTACAAACATTACACACGGTATTGACACAGGTAACATTATCAGTTCCCTCGTAGGCTGGACACTTTGCAGTGGCACAGAAATCATGCTCACACCTCATGGTCTTGTCGGTGGAGCTGGGGCACATTGGGGACATTCGTGGCACTGAAGGCATGACGTGTGTGTTAACTTGAATAGCTTTTAAATATCTCCGTCTATTATAGCATTTTGCACTATTTGAACGGTGAATCATACACCGTATAGAATGTCCTGTTTACAGGGGGAGGTTATTTTGCAAGGCTATTAATATAACTTGCAGGCTTTTAAATAGCTGCGTTTATGTATCGGTACAAATTCCTTTAAAATGGGTAAACAAGGAATAATTTCAATTCCAATTGCGACAAAGTTTGAACGATTTAACCCAAATGGGTATTTACCACACCTTAACTTAAATAACGTTAAACGCCTTTTCGATTGGTTCTGCGGGGTTGTGTATAACGGTCGGTATCACATTTTGTTCTTTATAGTAATATTTATATAATTTATTATAATGTAATTTTACCAAAACCCATAATCATGGGTAGAGTGGACCGCTGTCAGTGTCTCTCTTTCCCAAACAAAAGGAAATGATATTACTTTGATTGACCGTTCTCAAATGCAAAATGATACCGAGAATGAAATCGGTCGCTCGCTTTTCCCATTCATTCACGGCTTACGAATTGTAATAATTTTTGATTGATTACATCAATCAGATGATGTAAAAATCTCTTTGGGTTGCGTTCGGGTTGATACCTAGTATTTCGGGGTAAGGGTGGTAGTTATTAGTATTACTTATTGAATTAGCTGAAGTTTATTGAATCTTCATTGCCGAGTACATCTGCCTTTGGGTAGTTCTTCTTAATCTATTACAATTGTAAATGAATGGGAAAAGCGAGCGACCGATTTCATTCTCGGTATCATTTTGCATTTGAGAACGGTCAATCAAAGTAATATCATTTCCTTTTGTTTGGGAAAGAGAGACACTGACAGCGGTCCACTCTACCCATGATTATGGGTTTTGGTAAAATATCATCTCTTTTTGATTATAATGTCAGGGTACTTTATAAAGTCGAAATATAAACTGATATCTTCATTAATAAGGAGGAGGTTTCAACGATTTCGAAATTTTTCCTTTAAAAACATTTCCTTGTGTTTAGGGAAGCATATCGGTCGATCACTAACTGAATATGCCACTTAATACTCATTCAAGTTGGCATTAAATTCATATATAATGACATTAAACTGTCGTGGCAAAGCAGAATTTGTTGGAAATCACGAATGAGCAAAATTCTCACCTTTCGCACGTGCAAACTTTGAGCGGACGTTGCGTGCGCATCCAATATTGAATTGCCGTAAATTTTTGCATGTAATTGTTTTATATATAGCTTGATAAGCATGCAAAGTTTCAAAGTATTTCAAGAAGAACTGTTATCACAACGGCACTCTAAAGTTGACAGAAAATGACGAAAACAGCAATTTTCAGTGATTTTAGCGATTTTCTATCAATTTGGGCGTGTCCCCACGTGTGCAACTTTTCGATTTTCAACTTTAAAACTAGCCTAATGCACAATTTATACCTATAGGAAGCAGAACTGAGCTCCACAACCCAAGGCATGGCCCAAAACCAGAGAATACTAAATCGCAAAATTGACGTTTTTATAAAATAATTCTTCAAAAAAACACAAACTTCAATGACGAATATCTTTATGAAGGAGCAAGCTAGAAAAACTTTCCGGTAGATTTTCAGAATGCTTGAACAATTATCTAAGGTGAAAATTTCCTCAGATTTTGAATAAAATTACTCCTTAATGGTTTAAAATTAATTTGAAAAGTTATTATTTTGTCAAAAATCAAGTTTTAAAAACGGTTAACTTGATGACGTCATCAAGGGGTGTTTATGACGTCAAATAATTTGTTTATACAATGTAAACTAAAGTATAAACAATTATTTGCAAGACCTGTGGTCGGAAATGGCTGTATCTTTTATACTTTTGAATCTATGGACACTTAAATACAGGCTACAATTGACTGGCAAAGCGTCTATCCCTGAATATATATATATATTCAGGGATATACATATATATGTATGTATATATCACGACAATCTATCGTAAAACAGGGGTTCTAGAAAACCCATTTCCCGATGCTCCTGAAACCTGAAACTTTTTTTGCAGTCGATTTGATCAACGTCTAGACGCCCTGAAAAATTTCAGATCTCTAACTCAATTTTAACATGGTTTTTAAGGCACCTGAATATGGCGATTTTGGGTTTTTTACCGAATTTCGTATAACAGTGCTGGCGAGTATTTTATGCAAATTTTTAAAAAATCTCAACATAACTATTTTTTATTCCTGTCATCTTTGACATCAAATTAGAATGTTTTGAACTAAAAATAAATCTGCTGAACGACTTCCGATGAGTCTTAATGCCTGAAAAACTCCTGCCGGAGGCGGCGGCCTTCGGCCGCCGCCTCCGGCCGGAGTGCACGCTTCGCGTGCACGAGAGAGGCTTGTAACGTGTACTAAAGGGGGTATAATTGTAAAGGGGGTATAATAGTAAAGGGGGTAAATAGTAAAGGGGGTACATAGTATACCCCCAATAAAGACACCGCTCGTGCTTGCCAGCACTGTGATTTATATAACGTATTACTATAATTTTGGTATTGGAAGACATGGCACGTTTATTGACCATGTCACTACGGTGTTTATTGACCATGTCACTACGGCGGTTTGTATGGAAGAACGGTCTGTACTGTATCAGTTCATTCCACGACATTTTTCAACTCTGAGCTACAACCAAGATCTTAAGATACCTAGAATAGTAAAAATACTCATCATTGAACTATTGAAAAAAATGAAAAACTAAAAACTTACAAATTGCGACGACAATAGTGGATTCAGTTGTTCCAGCAGAATTCTCGGCAGTGCAAACGTATCGTCCATTATCGGCTCCCATTACCAGCTGAAAATACGGAATTGTAAACACAAGGAAATATTATTAAACAATTTATAATAAACCGAAGGAGTTAAAACACAAGGAAATGTTTCGAAAAAGGAAACATAAAGAATATGGTAATTTCAATAAAAGGAATGGTTTGGAATTTATCAAAAAATAAAAATCATTAATTGCTGCTGATCTTAATATAAACCGATTGAAATACTTAAACGATCCTAAAAGTTATTTAGTGGTTCAGGTTTAAATTAGCGGGAGTTCTGGTTGATGTTAAAGAGGGTATTACTCCCTACTTATAAACTTGTTGCGCAAATGGTACCAAATTCTAGAAATGATTCTGTTATTCGGAACCCTCAAAACATCTCGAGCTAGATAATTTGTATGTTTCTAGCTTGTTTGTTGTACCTATTTGTTGTAACTATTGTGAGACTGAAATGATAACTTTTTAATGACCAATCACATTAGTGCAAGGTGTTCACTGTTCATGTTACTTTAGTACGGTTTCAAACACCAGTAGAATTATTTATGAGAAAGCCATCAGCTATATTTTACGGTATAATTCTGATATCATGTTACTCTTATAGCAGCAACTATTATTCGATGTTTTAAACGGTGAGTTAGTAACATTTATCGTTATTTCTATAAGAATATTTGTGGTAAAATTCGAAGTGATATTTGTTATGATATTTGTCGTAATATCATATGATGACTAAACGACCCGTTTAGTATAAGCCTCCAGACATTATATGCCGTAAGTTTTATAGCGCTATAAAATAAATGCAATATCATTTGACCAGAGATATTGCATTTATTCAGGTAATTGCACGTGAGGCTCATTGCGTACCACACTCCCGGGATTTGTGAATTAGTTGACAGCAGTGTGTGATTTGAGTGTCATTCACGTGCAAACGTTAAGCGAGAATAATAGAATAATGATATTATGCGACATTTCGTTTCTTGGAGTAATAACTAATAAGTAGTCGAATTCTATTCTTTTAAACAAAATTACTTTCGTGAATATCGTCAATCGTTAATCGATGATAGGCCACAAAAATGCGAATTTGGCCCATCGCACATCATCTAGATTCTAGAACGACCGCAAATCAGTTTACAGAATTTAATTTCTTTTCAATTCATGCGTTCCTTTACGCTGCTTTCAGGTCGCCAAAGACAAAAAACAAATATGATTCTGAGGAAATGAAAAATATTGTCCTTTAACTCTCATATTTTTGATAGCGACCGTTTAACTCGAAATACGCTGATTAAATAGCCTACGCTGATGTAGTACCCTTGCTATAGACGTATAAAGTTAGTTTCGAATGAACTTGTCCCCCATTCTTAACTTAAATGATGCCGAGAATTCAAGAACACATAATGCGGCAGCTTACGATTGTCCTGTGTTGGTAAGAGAAACTAAACGTATTGCTGCTAACACTGACTTTATTTCAAAAAACGTAATGTGAAATTAGGTGCTAATCGACAGAAATCACAGCTTTCTATTGGTTGTTTCAACGCAAGGTCTCTATGCAACAAAACTTGTGGCGTACTAGAAATGCTTAAAGATAACTCGATTTCTATCTGTTGTATCACGGAAACTTGGCTAAATACTAATGATCGGGCAAAGTTTGCCGAAATCCGTGATTTTGGGTTCGATATTATCAGTGCCCCTCGAAGAGGTAGGGGAGGTGGTGTTGGTTTTCTCTTCAACCCCAAAATGATATCGCCTGTACGCAATGATGTTACTAAATATTCATCTTTTGAAGTACTTGAATGTGTCATTAAAACTGCTGGTGAGATTATCAGGCTATGTGTAGTTTATCGCAGCACTCAGGCCAAAGCGAAATATGATGAAACAAAAATATCTAAGTTTATGGATGACTTTGATGGATACCTGGACAATCTTCTGCTTAAAACTGGATCTCCAATTATTTGTGGTGACTTTAATTTCCATGTTGAAGACCTGAACAATAATGTTGCCCAGAACTTTATTGCTCTTTGTGAGAGCAAAGGCTTCCTTCAGCATGTCGACTCTCCTACTCACATCTCCGGCGGGACACTGGACTTGTTATTTACTCTAGGCTGTGTAAGTGACTCATTGTCTGTAACAGATATGATGGTAGAGACAAGCACTGGAACCAGCTCTGATCACTATCTAGTAAGTTTTCAGGTCCCAGTCACATTCGATCTTCATAAAGCTCGTACATATGAAGAAAAAGATGTCAGAGAGCTAAGCAAAATTGACATCGATAAGTTCAGGGAAGATCTGTTTTGTTCAGAGCTTAACCTTTCTGAATATCAATCCTTAGACGAGACTGTGAACCTTTATCAAAATGTCCTTGAACAGGTGCTAGACAAACATGCCCCACTTATTACGAAACGATTTACTGCTGAAAAGTCTGATTTTTGGGATAATAAATGTCAAATTGCTGTCAGAGAGAGGAGAAGGGCAAAACGAAAAGCCAAAAAGTATCCAGAGAATGGTGAGTTTAAAACTACTCATTTTGAAAAATGTGTTGACGCAGAAATCACTATCAATCGAGCTAGGGATGGCTACTATGATAAACAGCTCAGTTCCTGCAAAGGAGACTCGAAAGGGACCTATAAAGTCATAAATAAACTTTTAGATAAGGAATATGGCTCCAACAAATTGCCAAATGGTGAAGATATCGAAGTGGCTGCCAAACTCAAGACTTTCTTCGATCAAAAAGTAAAGACCATTTACTCTAATATTGAGAAGGAAATTCAAAACACTTCCCTAAACGGTCAAGGTACCAAGGACTCTACTTCGATAGATAATGCAAAGTGTAGACTTAATCAGTTTAAGGAAGTCTCATTATCAGACCTTGAAACCTTAATTAAGAGTCTTCCCAATAAATCAAGCGTACTCGATGTCATACCAATGTGGCTCTTCAAGAAATGCTTACCCGAGCTTCTCCCAATCATCCATTACATCGTGAATGAATCACTAAGAGTCGGAAAGTTTCCATCTGCCCTAAAAGAAGCATCTATTAGGCCTGGACTCAAGAAACCTACCTTAGATGTTGATGAGCTGAAAAACTATCGACCGATTAGCAATCTAACTTATCTGTCCAAAATACTAGAAAAAGTAGTTCATTGCCAATTAAATGAATATGCTGATGTCAACAACCTGTTTTCCCCATATCAATCAGGCTATAGAAAATTCCATAGTTGTGAAACTGCAGTTACCAAAATACATAATGATATTCTAATGATGATTGACAGCAAATCGAATGTTGTGCTTCTACTCTTAGATCTATCAGCTGCTTTCGACACCATAAACCATAACCTCCTTCTTACGAAACTCAAGAATGCGTATGGTATTACAGAACTAGCACTCAGCTGGTTACAATGTTACCTTAATAATCGCACATTCAAGGTTAAAGTAAAAAAAGCCACATCTTCTGAAGGCTATCTGGATATTGGTGTACCTCAAGGATCCATTTTAGGACCACTACTGTTCATATTGTATACCAGAGTCCAGAGATCTTGAAGAAATTGTCACAAAATATGGTTTCTCGATACATTTGTATGCAGATGACACACAGGTGTACTTTACTTTTGATGTTCACAGTTCTAATCCTGATTTAACAGCTGTGAAAAATTGCTTTCTGGAGATAAAGCAATGGATGACAGTTAACTTCCTAAAACTGAATGATGAAAAAACAGAGTTCATTGATATAGGACCATATGTCAGCCCAATCCAGACAATGGATTTAGGAGACCTCTCAATCTGCCCTGTTAGCAAGGCCAAGAACCTGGGATTCCTTTTCGATCACCAAATGAATCTGGACTCTCAAATAAATGCTGTCTCCAAAGTATGTTATTTGAATCAAAGGGACTTAGCAAGAATCGGTTCGAAGCTTTCCCATGACCTAAAAGTTCAGCTAGTTCACTCCAATATCCTCTGTTTCATAGACTACTGCAACTCAGTCTATTATGGACTAACAGAAAAGAATCTTCATAAGCTACAAAAGATACAGAACAATGCTGCTAGATTTATCTTTGGTCTTTACGGAAAAAAGATACGTGAACCTATCATGCCTTACCTCAAAAAGCTCCACTTTCTGCCTGTTCGGTTCAGAATTAAGTTCAAAATATCACTTTTGGTCTTCAAGTGTCTTAATAACATAGCCCCTCAGTACTTACAAGGACACGTCAATCTAAGGGAAGTACGAAGACAAAGTTCCAGACTAGACGATGACTTTTATTTGTTGAAAGTTCCTCCTGCTCCTCATTTCAGACGAACAGATGCTGCATTTATGTTTTGTGGACCAAAAATTTGGAATGAACTACCCTACTCAGTGAGATCATTATCATCTGTAGAATGTTTTAAAAATGCCCTAAAGACGTTTTATTTCCAACTAGCTTTTGATAATATTTCTAATATTTGTCCATAATGTCTGAACTGATATGAAAGTGCATAATTTTGGTAACTTCATACAAATATTTATTCATAAAATCTGAACTGTTTAAAAAGTCCATAATCTTGCTATTTCAACACTAAGTCTCGCTTGAATGACTTTAATGTACATCTTTGTTGGGTATATTTTAATGTCGAAGCGTGTAATAAATGTTAGAATTTATTTATTTATTATTATTAAAGTTTTACAGGTTTTTGAATGGTATTTGTTAAAGAAGTAGTAGGAATTATAGGACGATTGTCTTAAATAAGTGATGATAACGCTTAAATGTCATTATAATCTATTATGTTAGATTTGATATTATTTAATTTATTCTATTCTAGATGTTTAAGATTTTAAAGATACATTGATTGAACCGTGATATTTTTTTTCAAATTTACAGTTATTACTGTTAGCAATAAAAGAGCGCCTTTGCACAGGTGGTCCTTTAAGCTATACTAAAGCCCCTGGATTTTTCAGATGTTACAATAAGTTATATAAAACTTACTGTATAGTTATATCTACTACCTACTTATATGGCCAGTTGGTAGATCACCGACCGGCTATAAGCCGGCTACTAACCGGCTATAAGCCGGCTTATAGCCGGCTACAATTTTTATAGCCGGCTATAAGCCGGCTTATAGCCGGTTAGTAGCCGCTTACATTTGTTGTTGAGCGACGGCTATTAGCCGGTTATAAGCCTGCTATTAGCCGTTTTGGTATTAAAAGTGGCTATAAGCCGGTAATAAGATATTAACTCAACTACATCGTACTGAACGATAGTCAGGAGCCGGCTATAAGAAATTCAATGAAAACGGCTATTAGCCGGTTATAAGCCGGCTATTAGCCGTTTAGGTATCGAAAGTGGTTATAAGCCGGTTATAAGATATTAACTCAACTACATCGTACTGAACGATAGTCAGGAGCCGGCTATAAGAAATTCAGTGAAAACGGCTATTAGCCGGTTATAAGCCGGCTATTAGCCGTTTAGGTATCGAAAGTGGTTATAAGCCGGCTATAAGCCGGCTATAAGCCGGTTATAAGATATCAACTCAGTTCAGTACGATGAAGTTAAGTTAATATCTTATAGCCGGCTTATAGCCGGCTTATAACCACTTTCGATACCTAAACGGCTAATAGCCGGCTTATAACCGGCTAATAGCCGTTTTCACTGAATTTCTTATAGCCGATACCTAAACGGCTAATAGCCGGCTTATAACCGGCTAATAGCCGTCGCTCAACAACAAATGTAAGCGGCTACTAACCGGCTATAAGCCGGCTTATAGCCGGCTATAAAAATTGTAGCCGGCTGTAAGCCGGTTTATAGCCGGCTTATAACCGGCTTATAGCCGGTCGGTGATCTACCAATTTCCCACTTATATATATAATATAAGTTATTGAAGATATATATATATATAACATATATCAAAGTTTATAGCAGTATATTCATCTGACAAGAAGCTAAAGGTTTTACCTGTCTGATGACGAGCGTGTTGTTTCCTCTGATTGAATGTTTGCGGATTTCTTCAACAGGAGTTCCATCTGAAATTGTTGCCATAGTTATTATTACCATTGATACCAATTAAAATACAGTCCTTAAGATGGGTTGTCACGTGTCATGATTCATGCTCACAGAATCGTACCATCAAATCCTATGACATTAACATACTTGTAACGCCTGCTCACCAAAACTCGCCTTTAAATTGAAATCAAAACATTTTTGGGTAATATAATAATATGATATATAATATATATAACCGCTGAACCAGGCCCCCTAGCCCCCCCCCCCCCTGGCTACGTGCCTGCGCTGAAGGTTCAATAGAAAACCAGCATGAGAATATAATTTTGCGTCAAATGGATATTAAAAATAGAGCTAGAAATTCTATGGCTAGTTTTTAGCCAATGACAACCAAAATAATCTTAAGATGAATAATTTATTTAGCACAGGGTGGCCTATTTGGGTATAATTTAGCTTTCTTAGGCCAATACTTATAAATACTATCACTATAATACTTCAACTTATTATTATAAATACTTCAACTCCGATTTATTTAATATTTATTGAGGTTATGATATTCTTATAGTAATGCAGAGTTTATTTCAAGGAGGTAAGATTGTTGGTTTATGGGTTGTCAATAACTGCTTCCTCCAATTAATGCCAAAATTGAAAATTCAATTAGACTCCAGTCTTAATGAATTCGGCTGGAAAGCGCTGAATTTTCCCAATTTAGATCGAACCCGCCGCTGGAGGGATTTATCATTAATTAAATAGATTGTTGGTTCGGATTTCGGAAGCTGTAATAAAGTAATAAGGTTGTCTGGTAACGTTATGCAGCTGTCAATAATCTGTTAATGGTCGCCTGGCCTGGGGAGCATGAGTAACGATTTATACTGTATTTAATAAATCTTCACTTCCAGTACCAACTTGCAAGTCGATTTGCTGATAGGCTACCAAATTATAGTTTACTTATATAACTGAATTCAAGTGGTCATAACTGCACTGCACTGCGTCAAGCCAAAAACCGTTTTTCGGCCATATTTCCGAAACGAAGCATTTTAAGGTATATGTTGCTTCATAAGTTGTATATAAATGTGGCTATTAGGCACATTTTGGTGTATCGGAATAGTCTTTAAGACCATCCTGGGCTGAAATACAAAAATTCGAGTGACCCGCGAAACCCTGAAAAAGGGCGTGGCCCGTATATGGGTGTTCCCGCCAAAATAAAAATTGCCACCTATAAAAATCCTTTAGTTTAGGCTTCCAACTAGTGATTCTTGAAGTCAAATTGCTTTTACTAAACTAATCCCACGCCATTACATACCCTCCCTAACTAGATGGCCAGGTCGGGTAGATGGGTTATTACGCTAGAAAGTCGCGTTAGTTCATAAATTCTAACACTCTTGAGTATTCGTGACTTAAGTTGGATTCAGTAAGATCTGAGGTGATTTATTTAATTCTGCGCAGTCTTTATTAATATGACGTCTCAGATCAGTAACAATTTATCTACAAAATGCTATTTTACTGACTGAAAGACAACTCTAGAGTGGTTAAATAACTGCAGGTTGAATGTTTAGTGTAAGGGTAGAAGATTAATATTGCTTCTGAATGTCGTTAACATTTCATCCCCTGATTGCGTTTATGATTGTTCTGTAAGATCTCCCAGGAAATTCATTATTATTCTATCCCGGCTGATTATTCTATCCCGGAGGTGTTTATAACTTATAAGTACTAGCAGGAATTCCCGTCTAACCCTATAGTGGTGTCAAGACTCAATAGACTAAAATAATAATTATTATATTTAGTTCGCGATTTTTACACCACTTGGGGGTCCAAATTTTGGGCACTACAATTCTTATTCTTTGGCAAATATTTTTTTTCCATGCTGATTTAAAGGCCATTAAAGCATTTGAACCAGTCAAAAAGGTTTAAGTTATCATGCCGCGGTGTCAGTAAAATGGTTCGGATATATAAACATGTTATATATATATATCGTCTCGCTTTATATATAGTAAGATAACGCACTTTGCTACATAGACTATAGTAGCGCGGACATGGGTGACCTCGTTATAACGCTTTTTTTGGGCAAATTGTTTCCTCCCTCATTAACCGTATATATGAGAGGGAAAAAATAGAACATAATTCAAAAGCTTTTCGAGCATAAGTGAGCATCAAGTGGACGTAACCTTTGCACCAAACACAGAACACTGACCTTAAAGCGTGTTACGCTGCAGTATTTCTCAGTAATGCACCAGCACGTGGTATGTGATATTGCACGTGGTATGTGATAATGCACGTGGTATGTGATAATGCACAGCGCTCAGCACATGTGGCACGTGGGCGCCTCTGATCTAACCTCAAATCTCGCTATATCGCCGGCACCTCAATATGACGCCCTTTTTGTTCTAAATTATTTTCTCCCTCGAGATACGCGTTAAAGCGAGGTATTATAATAGTATAAACTGTACAGGGTATTACAAAGTTACAGGAATCGACTCAATTCTTTCAAATTTCGTCACCTGCTGCTGAAAAGTCCTGAGATGAATTTTCCTGCCTGTATTTATACCGTAGTTCTTCGAAAGTGCCCTCCTAGCAGCAGTCCAACTACTTCCGTTGACATAAGTCATTAAATAGAAAAGCTTGGCCATGTCTACTCTCATCTCGTCTGATATGCCAGATTTTAATATTTTTGGAAGAATGCAAATTTGCGAAAAATGAGTTTTGAAACGATTTTGTGAGAGAAACTAAAATGTAAGGCATAACCAGCATTTTAAAACCGAATGCATCTAATTTTGGTCCTTCATAAATTAAAAAATTGAAATTTTAGACACGAGTCTTGAAACACCCTGTATATTAGGAACGAAACAGCCTAGCATCAAATGTCGAACGCCTAGCTAATCGGTACTAATATGACATCTCTGAACATATAAATAATGGAAATGCTAGTTTCCCCGAGCCTGTAGTTATTTGTTTAATCGCCGCTAATGCTATTTCCTGTGGTAAATACTTATGTGCCTCAACTCTCGAGCGATTCAGGCTGCAGTAACTGCAGTAAAATTAGATGCATTCGGTTTTAAAATGCTGGTTATGCCTTACATTTTAGTTTCTCTCACAAAATCGTTTCAAAACTCATTTTTCGCGAATTTGCATTCTTCCAAAAATATTAAAATCTGGCATATCAGCCGAGATGAGAGTAGACATGGCCAAGCTTTTCTATTTAATGACTTATGTCAACGGAAGTAGTTGGACTGCTGCTAGGAGGGCACTTTCGAAGAACTACGGTATAAATACAGGCAGGAAAATTCATCTCAGGACTTTTCAGCAGCAGGTGACGAAATTTGAAAGAATTGAGTCGATTCTTGTAACTTTGTAATACCCTGTACAGTTTATACTATTATAATACCTCGCTTTAACGCGTATCTCGAGGGAGAAAATAATTTAGAACAAAAAGGGCGTCATATTGAGGTGCCGGCGATATAGCGAGATTTGAGGTTAGATCAGAGGCGCCCACGTGCCACATGTGCTGAGCGCTGTGCATTATCACATACCACGTGCATTATCACATACCACGTGCAATATCACATACCACGTGCTGGTGCATTACTGAGAAATACTGCAGCGTAACACGCTTTAAGGTCAGTGTTCTGTGTTTGGTGCAAAGGTTGCGTCCACTTGATGCTCACTTATGCTCGAAAAGCTTTTGAATTATGTTCTATTTTTTCTCTCTCATATATACGGTTAATGAGGGAGGAAACAATTTGCCCAAAAAAAGCGTTATAACGAGGTCACCCATGTCCGCGCTACTATAGTCTATGTAGCAAAGTGCGTTATCTTACTATATATAAAGCGAGACGATATATATATATAACATGTTTATATATCCGAACCATTTTACTGACACCGCGGCATGATAACTTAAACCTTTTTGACTGGTTCAAATGCTTTAATGGCCTTTAAATCAGCATGGAAAAAAAATATTTGCCAAAGAATAAGAATTGTAGTGCCCAAAATTTGGACCCCCAAGTGGTGTAAAAATCGCGAACTAAATATAATAATTATTATTTTAGTCTATTGAGTCTTGACACCACTATAGGGTTAGACGGGAATTCCTGCTAGTACTTATAAGTTATAAACACCTCCGGGATAGAATAATCAGCCGGGATAGAATAATAATGAATTTCCTGGGAGATCTTACAGAACAATCATAAACGCAATCAGGGGATGAAATGTTAACGACATTCAGAAGCAATATTAACCTTCTACCCTTACACTAAACATTCAACCTGCAGCCATTTAACCACTCTAGAGTTGTCTTTCAGTCAGTAAAATAGCATTTTGTAGATAAATTGTTACTGATCTGAGACGTCATATTAATAAAGACTGCGCAGAATTAAATAAATCACCTCAGATCTTACTGAATCCAACTTAAGTCACGAATACTCAAGAGTGTTAGAATTTATGAACTAACGCGACTTTCTAGCGTAATAACCCATCTACCCGACCTGGACATCCATTATTTTTGACTGCCTACTATTATAGGTGTCTGCAGACTCGTTGTCGCGGCAGATAAATCGCGAGTTCATGTTACAATAGTAATAATAATCACGATATGCATTTTGTGTTTGTTTCTCCCGTTTTTCTTTTCTTGCGTTGCCAGCCCTGTCTCTTGTAAAAATAACCACTTTTGTAGATACACACAGTCTCTACGCCTTTATCCTCTGGTCCCTAGGGTCAGCTGACTCCGGGCCAGAGGAAAATTACCAATTGCCAAGGTTTGATGCCTAGTCAGTCGAGACCTCTTATTGAGACCCGATATAATAATCACGTACTATTTAGATTTTATCTCTTGACATTATATATTACTGAAGTACTGATGTTGAAACTTAAAGTGGTGATCACCATATATAATGTTATGAGTGGTGGATACTAATAATACCATACCTTATTTACAGTGCAGCACGATTTAATGTAAGGAAACTAAAGGGCTGCTATAGTCAACCCCTCCTATAAAAGTCGGAACTCAGACCCAAATTATTCCTTCTTGGAAGTTCAGTCATTTATGTAGACATGTTGTACGAGGACTTCTTTGTTCTACGCAACTTAATTTCATTCTGTACAAGAACTCTGATCGCGATTCAAGAGTATTAAATACTTTGAGAGATCGTTACGTCTACGTCTTAGACAATATGGATCTCGTAATTTTCCTAGTTGATAGTACTTTCAGGTTTATGATTGGTTTTTTCAAATACTTGTATAAAATAGGGGCTTAAATATTTGGATAAAATATTGAGAGATGAAATGTCCCGGAATTCGAACCATTTAAAAAAAAGGCCCAGTCGGGCGATCGATTTCAATAATGCTCGAAAGGTGTCTGTTGATTTATTAATTACGAATTTCTTTCACTCAGAATTATATTTCGATGGGATATTATGTATTCGGTCGATTCTGACATAAACGTTTTACCATTACAATAATATGCTTGAATAATGAATTTTTGCGAGAAGGTGTCTCTCCCACAATAAAAAAGTCAGAGTTCCATGGCTCAATGAGTTTCTTTTTTAGCATAATGCACGTGCCATTTATTCCAGTTTTGGGCGTATAACCGTCAGTCAAGATTTACGATATGCGTTACAGGTACCTATGTAATACTAATTGAACGCTCCTTAGAATTCATTAATCTGTTGCAATCGTGGGCATATTTTACAGTTATGAACTTGACAAGTAATGTTCATAGTTCTACTTCCACCTGACTGCACTAAAAACTGTAAACATTCCCCGCTGAATTTGGTTCCTGAATTCTGAACTGGGTACTGAGTACTTAAAAGCTCGACGACACCAATCATTAATACTCTGTAGAATAAACAGTATGAACTTACTCTGGAAAAAAAATTAAGTAAATTTATGAAAATTACAAGCAAATTCCCGGACTTAATTCTGTTGCGTGCAGTTCATATTTAGTGGTTCTAGAGTTAGATTATATTTGATTTTAATACGAACAACGCTATAATTATAAATTCTGATTTGGTTAGATACCAGAGGCATTATGTTTTCTAAGATTTTCTTCAAAAGTTAATAACGAAAGGTTTGCTCACCGTCCAGTGTCCATTTGACGGTTGGGATAGGGTAACCAGTAGCCTCACACGGTATCACTGCGTCCTCTCCCTCGGGGGTAAGAGATACCAGCTGAGTGTTTGTAATCTCCGGGGCTGTGGGGTTAAAGAGGGTTAGTTTGAGTTTTGTCAGTTTGTAATCTCCGGGGCTGTGGGGTTAAAGAGGGTTAGTTTGTGTTTTGTCACTGTTTGTAATCTCCGGGGCTGTGGGGTTAAAGAGGGTTAGTTTGTGTTTTGTCACTGTTTGTAATCTCCGGGGCTGTGGGGTTAAAGAGGGTTAGTTTGTGTTTTGTCACTGTTTGTAATCTCCGGGGCTGTGGGGTTAAAGAGGGTTAGTTTGTGTTTTGTCACTGTTTGTAATCTCCGGGGCTGTGGGGTTAAAGAGGGTTAGTTTGTGTTTTGTCACTGTTTGTAATCTCCGGGGCTGTGGGGTTAAAGAGGGTTAGTTTGTGTTTTGTCACTGTTTGTAATCTCCGGGGCTGTGGGGTTAAAGAGGGTTAGTTTGTGTTTTGTCACTGTTTGTAATCTCCGGGGCTGTGGGGTTAAAGAGGGTTAGTTTGTGTTTTGTCACTGTTTGTAATCTCCGGGGCTGTGGGGTTAAAGAGGGTTAGTTTGTGTTTTGTCACTGTTTGTAATCTCCGGGGCTGTGGGGTTAAAGAGGGTTAGTTTGTGTTTTGTCACTGTTTGTAATCTCCGGGGCTGTGGGGTTAAAGAGGGTTAGTTTGTGTTTTGTCACTGTTTGTAATCTCCGGGGCTGTGGGGTTAAAGAGGGTTAGTTTGTGTTTTGTCACTGTTTGTAATCTCCGGGGCTGTGGGGTTAAAGAGGGTTAGTTTGTGTTTTGTCACTGTTTGTAATCTCCGGGGCTGTGGGGTTAAAGAGGGTTAGTTTGTGTTGCGTCACTGTTTGTAATCTCCGGGGCTGTGGGGTTAAAGAGGGTTAGTTTGTGTTTTGTCACTGTTTGTAATCTCCGGGGCTGTGGGGTTAAAGAGGGTTAGTTTGTGTTTTGTCACTGTTTGTAATCTCCGGGGCTGTGGGGTTAAAGAGGGTTAGTTTGTGTATTGTCACTGTTTGTAATCTCCGGGGCTGTGGGGTTAAAGAGGGTTAGTTTGTGTTTTGTCACTGTTTGTAATCTCCGGGGCTGTGGGGTTAAAGAGGGTTAGTTTGTGTTTTGTCACTGTTTGTAATCTCCGGGGCTGTGGGGTTAAAGAGGGTTAGTTTGTGTTTTGTCACTGTTTGTAATCTCCGGGGCTGTGGGGTTAAAGAGGGTTAGTTTGTGTTTTGTCACTGTTTGTAATCTCCGGGGCTGTGGGGTTAAAGAGGGTTAGTTTGTATTTTGTCACTGTTTGTAATCTCCGGGGCTGTGGGGTTAAAGAGGGTTAGTTTGTGTTTTGTCACTGTTTGTAATCTCCGGGGCTGTGGGGTTAAAGAGGGTTAGTTTGTGTTTTGTCACTGTTTGTAATCTCCGGGGCTGTGGGGTTAAAGAGGGTTAGTTTGTGTATTGTCACTGTTTGTAATCTCCGGGGCTGTGGGGTTAAAGAGGGTTAGTTTGTCCCTGTAATAACTTGATATAACTTAAAACTGTAAATAATTGCTTCAGTTTATACTTATAGCTTTATCGTTCTATTGTATTACTCGTAAGATTAAGATTCGCGGAAATTTGTAAATTGACTGTAATATAATAACTTATTTATTATATAACTGCTTTTATAATACGCTATGTTTAGACGATAAGGTTACGTTAATGATGAATTATATTGCGTTTTTGTTAATATTCGTATTATTTTTTGATATTTCCTATAATCTGTTACCATTTATCATTAACTTACATTAACTTTAAAATCTATATTATTTACTATATTGATGATTTTCATTTTAAAAGTATATTAAATTACAATTTTAATGGCACGGTCCGATATTTAAATCCAGACTATTGGAAGTGGATTAGTGGAATATCCAAAGCTTAACATGTTTTGAAGGAGGTCGATATTGGACTTAGGTGTCTCAGTCTACGTAGGCACACGAAGTCCTGTAGAAAACAATGCTGGATTACTCCTTTATAATATATACTATAACTTCTGACTCCGTTGAGCTTAAAGTATGTTCTAGGTATCATAACAAAAATTGTGCTATTTCCAAGAATTGTTTGTTCGGAACGGATAAAAAATGTATTTCTTGTTTGCTTGACTTCTGAGAGTTGAGACCATCAGCAAATGTCGATGATTCATGGCACCGTTGAACTCATTAAAGTAATAAGTAATTTATTTGTTTAATAAAACACTGTCAATTGACAGCATTATTGCTATCAAACTTGAAATATTTTAATTTAAAAGCAACAGTTAATCGAGAGATTGTCTGGGGCATTCCAATTTCACAATGATCTCTGATAATATTTTCATAACAAAGATATTTTCATAATAAGAAATTGCTCGTCTTTGTTGCCACGAAAACTTATTTTGAAAGGTTATTACAACTCAAATCCTGTTAGAGTTTCACTTTGTTACACTGCGCTTGGGTCTGTTTCAGATTTTATCGAATTTATTTTCTGGAGTCGACTCACAGTGAGACGCAGAACACTTGGGATTATTATATTATATACATTATATATTGTATTATATTGGAATTACCCATTTCCAAATTCCAAGTATTCTGCTTTTAAGCTTTTCACTGACACCAGAAAACATATTATGTTATATAATATATATTACATCTATTAATATTATTATTTTATATTATTCAGATCCTAGTTCTCACCGCGGTAAATACGTTAAAGGTCCTTTTAGTTCAAGAAACTTACGGATTATAACAACCCAAAAGATGCTTCTAGAAATTTTCATTTAGTATGTTTCCCAATGTCTGCACCTCCAACATACGATGACAGTCGCATTAATCAGAGTTGAACGCGTGTTCTTGACTCTTGCTTTGTTAATAAATCGAGGCCCGACTGAATTTGTTGCACAGTAGTGTCTTGATAAATGATTTGATTGGCATGATACTCTACGTTGGCGTAGAACTTCCTGTCAGCCTGCTTGCAGAATGCTACGGTCACGTGACTGTCTGATCAATATGTCACGTGTTCTCCTTGGTAATTTCATGTTTAATTCCGTGATTTAAGTCTCACTCCAAGGCGGAGGATACAGATTTGAGTACAGCTGTACTTATTGCGTACAAACAGTTTCTTACACTGACATGCCTATCTGCATTTTTTCCGTATTCTCAGATTATATCATTAGAAGCTGCATTCTGCTAATGAGTCTGCTAATCAGTCTGCTAACGAGTCTGCTAATTAGTCTGCTAATGAGTCTAATAATTAGTCTGCTAATGAGTCTGCTAATGAGTCTGCTAATGAGTCTGCTAATTAGTCTGCTAATGAGTCTAATAATTAGTCTGCTAATGAGTCTGCTAATGAGTCTGCTAATGAGTCTGCTAATTAGTCTGCTAATGAGTCTACTAATTAGTCTGCTAATTAGTCTGCTAATTAGTCTGCTAATTAGTCTGCTAATAATATACACACAAAAGCCACTATCCTATAATAGTAATTTTAGGATAGTACGAGATAAACATTTTCTCGTATTTAGTAATACAATAGTCCTTGTTAATAGAGTGCGACTCCCATGATCCTCGTGGTTTTGTCATTACAATTGGGTCAGATTATATCATTAGAAGCTGCGCTCTGCTAATAGTCTACACTGTGCTCTGCTAACAGTCTGCACTGTTCTCTGCTAATAGTCTACACAAAAAAGCCACTACCCTATCTCATTGTTAGAAATGCAATTGTAACTTATGCTGACGACAGGAAAATGTAGACTCCTGTTCAATTGTAACTTATCCTAGTTAGTAACCATCAGCATTTAACCAAACTATCAACTTTGTTAATTATTTACTTACTTTATGATACTTTAAATAAACACTGACGTCACAATGTTAACAATCCCTTTTACGTAAAATTAAACAAGTCTACCGCTAGCAAGACTACGATAAATTAGGTGACGATCATGAATTTGTTCCATTTCCCTCCCATGAGTACCTAGTCTTCGCTAGATGAATAATATTGCGTAGGTTTAATATGGTCTCTGTTAAATTAGCTAGATTAAGTCCTCATGCAAACCAGACCATGGGATCAGCTGAGCTCTGTTAACTAAGCAGTTTACAGAGTACAGAATTATTTTATTTCATATCCCATAGGTTTTCTAAAACTTGGGGAAGGAGGTTTTAATTTTGAGCTTGGTTATAGTTATACGTATTTAGTTTGTAATATTGGCACGATTAAGTTCCAATCATGGGTTACAAGGATTGGACTCAGGACTGGTATGATCTTTCAAATCTTTCTTAATAGTCACGACTCTCGTATAAGATTTCGCCGTTTTATTTCGTCTATTTTAAAACAAAACGCAATCAACTGTTTATGTCCGTCCATTTTAATAACGAAAAATGGTATGTTCGTGAGTCACGTTTGCACGTCACGAATCGTGACGTGCAAACGTGACCAATTCAACCATTACGTGACCAATTCAACCATTACGTGACCAATTCAACCATGAATAACTCATTAATTAAGGAATCTTACCTTGGAGTTCAGGGCATGTCACGTTCATCATCCTCTCATCCTCCCAGTAGTAACCACATTCTCCACAACGTGTTGCTTTACACACCAACTAAAGGGGGTAAAGTGTTGTTATGGTTACTTTATTGTTGTCATGGTAACCAGATAACTACAGGTGTTGTCATGGTAACTTATTATGGTTTTTGTTGTTATTGCTTGTTGAAGCAATTAAATGAAATATGATCATCATGGTATTGCAGGTGTCATATTGTGGGGCAGGAGTCATATTGTGGGGCTTTGCTTAATATAATCGTTGATATATAATCCCTAATCAATAATAAAACAGCCCAATATGAAATGAGATCGGATTTGAGTGCTCATCCTCTATCACAGTAGTTTTTATTGTTGAACTGTCCTCCTTTTATCATAGTTCCCGTAGTACTATTACCAAATTAAAGCAGTTCGCAGAATCCTGACCTTATAAGTACTTCCACCACAAAGATCTCACGATGTCCGGTAAGGTATTTAAACAGTTTTAGCACAAGTGAAATCACTTAAGTGCAACCTTCGACTGATAGAAGAATAATAGCATTGTAATCTATGCTGCATCACTATCAAACCATTGGTTCGCGATCAAATACTGTACGACGTGTTGTTGAACTTTAACTCCCAAATTTGGAGCTGCCGTCGTTTGACAATTGACGTTCATTGTTGTATCGTGTGGTGTCCTCCAACGATGTGTCCTCAAAGGGTGGGTCGGATATTTGTCACACGAAGGCGTTTTTATATAAATACCATGAAGTCATAAGCTCCCAATACTATAATGCTTCATACATTTGCGTTACTTCATCTAGTTTATTTCACAGTTTACTGTCGGGGGAGCTTCATTTCCATAACACCGCAAACTATCTTAATTAACCTGCTCCACGTGACAGTAAGTCATCAGCAGTATAACACCAATCTTGTATATCAAACATTGACGAATGGTTGAAGGTCGGGCAGTGCGGGGTGGTGGAAATATCCTTATTAGCTTTATATATGCTGTGTTTTGAATATTATGATATTAGCAGCATTATAACAGTAGTATTATACAAATCATACCAGACACTGTATTACTACGTAGAGAAATTCCGATCATTTTAATTAGAGCTTTTGAATAACGTGTCTTGATTTATAGCGCGTGTTTTCATTTCTGTCAATTATAATTTCTGTCAATTATAAATTCTGTCATTAAATTCTTGATACATACGGATTAAAAATTGGCAATTGCTTGGACATTACTGTCTATCTTTAAACAATTTTTTTATTTCACGCGTGCTGGCAAAGCTGTCGTTTTGGTTTTGTAGTATCTCATTTTTAAAATTAGCATTTGTGACAAATGTTTGAAACCTATTTGTCTTGTCACGTGACAGTGATTCTTGGATTTGATTGGTCAAAACTGATTGCTTAATCGCTGTTACGTGTCAGGAAAATAATGTTTCACCTTCCCGCCAGAATCCGTATCTCTTAATTTTCTATTTCGCTGAACCCACCTCATTTAAGATCATTCCGTAAAACAAATCTTGTCTCTATTGAAGATGGTCTTTCTACCGACTTTTCCTACTATAAGTATTTTGTGGCCCTGTATGGATGAATAAGGTGCTCGATTTAATGAAGACAAATTTGCAGTATCATATAAAATACCAGAATTTTCATTTCACATTTATAAAATGATTAATTAGCCAGCTAAAAACCTGGTTGCAGCTGAAGACCTGGCTGTAGCAAACAGCAGCGGCTCAGGATGGAATGAAATGATGTCATTTTAGGTAGTTGCTTTTCTTATAAAACGCAAAATAGCTAAGAGATATTCCCCATATTATTATGTAATAAATTCTTGGGCAAGGGTTTTTGTAAAAGGACTTTTCATGTTAATTGCATTTATGCAACTAAAACTTTAATGTACATATTTCCGTTACATCACGTGTGGTCGTAATTGCTTGATACCCAGTAGCAGATTAGCTGGTAGCTGATTCATTGAACCTTGTGAAGTGGGAGAACAATTCGACCATTTCGATCAGTAGTCCATTTCCGACGAAATACATTTCATGATTTCACCACTAAAACGCAATTAATTTGGAATTAATTTCGCATATATATTATAATATAATATATTACATATATATCGCAATCCACTAAAACTGGTTAATCCCTTCCACTCGTCAGAAAATACGGTTCACCTGTTGCAAGGTCCATATATTTATAATTGTCATTCATTTTTGCAGCGCACATGTTGATTGTTGCTGGGTGCGTTACCCAGGTAACGCACATGGAGCTCGCTCCTTTAACCCTGTCTCTTAAATTTAATTATAAGATTTAATTACTAATTATTTAATTACAAGATAGATTTCCTTCCCCATCACAAGGCTAACATTGCTGCAGCAGCGGTCTAATAGTAATAAGTAGAGGCAGTTCTGATATCATCCTCCAGCACTGCCTCTACTAATAGTAATAAGTAGAGGCAGTTCTGCAGAGAGCACCCTCCAGCACTGCCTCTACTAATAGTAATAAGTAGAGGCAGTTCTGATATCACCCTCCAGCACTGCCTCTACTAATAGTAACAAGTAGAGGCAGTTCTGATATCATCCTCCAGCACTGCCTCTACTAATAGTAATAAGTAGAGGCAGTTCTGATATCATCCTCCAGCACTGCCTCTACTAATAGTAATAAGTAGAGGCAGTTCTGATATCATCCTCCAGCACTGCCTCTACTAATAGTAATAAGTAGAGGCAGTTCTGATATCATCCTCCAGCACTGCCTCTACTAATAGTAATAAGTAGAGGCAGTTCTGCAGAGAGCACCCTCCAGCACTGCCTTTACTAATAGTAATAAGTAGAGGCAGTTCTGATATCATCCTCCAGCACTGCCTCTACTAATAGTAATAAGTAGAGGCAGTTCTGATATCATCCTCCAGCACTGCCTCTACTAATAGTAATAAGTAGAGGCAGTTCTGATATCATCCTCCAGCACTGCCTCTACTAATAGTAATAAGTAGAGGCAGTTCTGATATCATCCTCCAGCACTGCCTCTACTAATAGTAATAAGTAGAAGCAGTTCTGATATCATCCTCCAGCACTGCCTCTACTAATAGTAATAAGTAGAGGCAGTTCTGATATCATCCTCCAGCACTGCCTCTACTAATAGTAATAAGTAGAGGCAGTTCTGATATCATCCTCCAGCACTGCCTCTACTATAGTAATAAGTAGAGGCAGTTCTGATATCATCCTCCAGCACTACCTCTACTAATAGTAATAAGTAGAGGCAGTTCTGCAGAGAGCACCCCTCCAGCACTGCCTCTACTAATAGTAATAAGTAGAGGCAGTTCTGATATCATCCTCCAGCACTGCCTCTACTATAGTAATAAGTAGAGGCAGTTCTGATATCATCCTCCTAGCACTGCCTCTACTAATAGTAATAAGTAGAGGCAGTTCTGCAGAGAGCACCCTCCAGCACTGCCTCTACTAATAGTAATAAGTAGAGGCAGTTCTGATATCATCCTCCAGCACTGCCTCTACTAATGTTAATAAGTAAGGCAGTTCTGATTCATCCTCCAGCACTGCCTCTACTAATAGTAATAAGTAGAGGGCAGTTCTGCAGAGAGCACCTCCAGCACTGCCTCTACTAATAGTAATAAGTAGAGGCAGTTCTGATATCATCCTCCAGCACTGCCTCTACTATAGTAACAAGTAGAGGCAGTTCTGATATCATCCTCCAGCACTGCCTCTACTAATAGTAATAAGTAGAGGCAGTTCTGATATCATCCTCCTGCACTGCCTCTACTAATAGTAATAAGTAGAGGCAGTTCTGATATCATCCTCCAGCACTGCCTCTACTAATAGTAATAAGTAAGGGCAGTTCTGCAGAGAGCACCCTCCAGCACTGCCTCTACTAATAGTAATAAGTAGAGGCAGTTCTGATATCACCCTCCAGCACTGCCTCGACTATAGTAACAAGTAGAGGCGAGTTCTGATATCATCCTCCAGCACTGCCCTCTACTAAGTATAAGTAGAAGGCAGTTCTGATTCATCCTCCAGCACTGCCTCTACTAATAGTAATAAGTAGAGGCAGTTCTGATATCATCCTCCAGCACTGCCTCTACTAATAGTAATAAGTAGAGGCAGTTCTGATATCATCCTCCAGCACTGCCTCTACTAATAGTAATAAGTAGAGGCAGTTCTGCAGAGAGCTCCCTCCAGCACTGACTCTACTAATAGTATAAGTTAGAGGCAGTCTGATATCATCCTCCAGCACTGCCCTCTACTAATAGTAATAAGTAGAGGCAGTTCTGCCTATCATCCTCCAGCACTGCCTCTACTAATAGTAATAGTAAGGGCAGTTCTGATATCATCCTCCCAGCAACTGCCTCTACTAATAGTAATAAGTAGAGGCAGTTCTGCAGAGAGCACCCTCCAGCACTGCTCTACTAATAGTAATAAATAGAGGATGTTCTGGTATCACCCTCCAGCACTGCCTCTACTATAGTAACAAGTAGAGGCAGTTCCTGATATCATCCACCAGCACTGCCTTACTATAGAATAAGTAGAGGCAGTTCTGATATCTCCTCAAGCACTGACCATCTACACTAATTGTAAAGAAGTTAGAGGCAGTCTCTGAAAGTCATCCTCCAGCCACTGCCTCTACTAATAGACAAAATTGAGGCTTTGGGAGGGGCCCCCCCCCGACGCCTTTTCAAAAAATTTAGAGGCCCAAATGTTTTCCCCCCCGCACGCCTTAAAAATAGTAATAAAAAGGCTTCTGATATCCCCCGCACTGCCTTCTAATAGAATAAGAAGGCAGTTTGATTCTTTCCCCCGCACTCCCTACTAAAAGTAAAAGAGAGGGAGTTCTGATTTCATCCTCCAGCACGCCTCTACAATAGTATAAGTAACGTTCTGATACATCCCCAGCACTGCCTTTACTAAAGTAATAATAGGGCAGTTGTATCACCCCCGCACTGCCTCTATATGTAATAAAAGGGCCCGTTTTGCAAGAGCACCCCCAGCACGCCTTATAAAAAAATAAAAAGGGGGCAGTTTTTCATCCTCCCACTGCCTCCTAATGAATAGTAAGGCGTTCTGATTACCCCCAGCACTGCCCCTCATGTTAAAAAAAGGGGTTTTTGTTCACCCCCACTGCCTTTAAAAAAATAAGTAAGGCAGTTCTGATATCATCCTCCAGCACTGCCTCTACTAATAGTAATAGTAGAGGCAGTTCTGATATCATCCGCCAGCACTGCCTTTACTAATAGTATAAGTAGAGGCAGTTCTGATATCATCCTCCAGCACTGCCTCTACTAATAGTAATAAGTAGAAGCAGTTCTGCAGAGAGCACCCTCCAGCACTGCCTCTACTAATAGTAATAAGTAGAGGCAGTTCTGATATCATCCTCCAGCACTGCCTCTACTAATAGTAATAAGTAGAGGCAGTTCTGATATCATCCTCCAGCACTGCCTTTACTAATAGTAATAAGTAGAGGCAGTTCTGATATCATCCTCCAGCACTGCCTCTACTAATAGTAATAAGTAGAAGCAGTTCTGCAAAGAGCACTCCTCCAGCACTGCTCTACTAATAGTACAAGTAGAGGCAGTTCTGATATCATCCTCCAGCACTGCCTCAACTAATAGTTAATAAGTAGAGGCATTCTGATATCATCCTCCAGCACTGCCTCTACTAATAGTAATAAGTAGAGGCAGTTCTGATATCATCCTCCAGCACTGGCCTCTACTAATAGTAATAAGTAGAGGCAGTTCTGATATCATCCTCCAGCACTGCCTCTACTAATAGTAATATGTAGAGGCAGTTCTGATATCAGCCTCCAGCACTGCCTCTACTAATAGTAATAAGTAGAAAGCTGTTCTGCAGAGAGCACCCTCCAGCACTGCCTCTACAAATAGTAATAAGTAGAGGCAAGTCTGATATCATCCTCCAGGCACTGCCTCTACTAATAGTATTAAGTAGAGGCAGTTTCTTGATATCATCCTCCAGCACTGCCTCTACTAATAGTAATAAGTAGAGGCAGTTCTGATATCATCCTCCAGCACTGCCTCTACTAATAGTAATAAGTAGAGGCAGGTTCTGATATCATCCTCCAGCACTGCCTCTACTAATAGTAATAAGTAGAGGCAGTTCTGATATCATCCTCCAGCACTGCCTCTACTATTAGTAAGAAGTCGAGGCAGTTTCTGATATCATCCTCCAGCACTGCCTCTACTAATAGTATAAGTAGAGGCAGTTCTGATATCATCCTCCAGCACTGCCTTTACTAATAGTAATAAGTAGAGGCAGTTCTGATATCACCCTCCAGCACTGCCTCTACTAATAGTAATAAGTAGAGGCAGTTCTGATATCACCCTCCAGCACTGCCTCTACTAATAGTAATAAGTAGAGGCAGTTCTGATATCATCCTCCAGCACTGCCTCTACTAATAGTAATAAGTAGAGGCAGTTCTGATATCATCCTCCAGCACTGCCTCTACTAATAGTAATAGGTAGAGGCAGTTCCGCAGAGAGCGCCCTCCAGCACTGTTGATAGGGTGTTTGATAACTATCTGAACAAAATGCTCCTTCAAAACTTGACATAATAAGTAGTAGTAATTAGTAATAATAATAATTAAAATAATGAGGCTATTTTAAGAAAGCTTTCAGTGTTTAGATCCATATATTTTCCCTGCTCAAGTATAACATTAACATAATAATTACTTTATGTTGCTTTATTATTCATTATTACTACATAATATGCAATTAACTATTTTCGATGCAGGGTTACGTGTTATACCTCTTGCAAGTAAGGGGCGAACAACAGTCCAATGATGATACAGATTCAGGACACGCGACGTTGTCTCCTAAATTAGTGAACGTCGACAGGAGTCAAATTAGTGGCTCTTTTGTAAAGGGGAAGAATACGTATTTTATTACCCTGGTAAAACTTTCTGGAGCCTTCGGCCCTCTAGAGTTCTACTAAGGTAATGATTATACTTATAAATGATAATTCATAATTTATTACTTATACAGCTGAATGGAGTTGGGTTAAAAACATATAAGTGATACGATAGTTTAACATGTAGAAGCTTTCAATAAACATGTGTTAATCGTTGTCAGCTTATACTTATATACTACTTATACATGATATTATAATAGAGATAATAAATGATATTATAATGTGATAATATGATAATACCTTCGTACTCTGAAGTCTGAGAGCCACGCATGATAATGACCGGAAATACAGTGAGGTTATTTGCGCGGCTCAAGCCCCAAATAGAGTACGAAGGTATTATCTGTTATAAAGTATTGGAGGACAGAGGTTATTATAAACAATATCATACTATCTTTCGTATCACTTATATGTTTTAAATATCCCCCTCCAGATATCATACTACTTAGATCTTATATGTACTATAAGGGTCTAATGACCCTTATAGTACATATTATAGTAGTATTCTTATTTGTTATTTGTTAGATGGATCTCATGTTGACCGCTACTCTCAATTTACTATAGTTTACTATAGCCATAATCTTTGTGACAAACTTCCTGGAGGCTGGACATGATACGTTTTATTAATTTAAAAGATGAATTACGAGAATTAGTTTTGAGAAGCCCATCTTTGACTGTTATGAGACCGAAACAAGGCTGGCCTCTTATTCAAAGCTTTATATTAAGACTCTTTGTATTATAGTTGCAAGCTTAAGCGGCTATTTTTTTGCAGCTTGGGGTACACTAAAGGGCAAACATATGGCAGCTTGCAACTTTCAAGTCTTAGGAAAGTGAGAGAGAGCTCTCCTTTCAAGCATGCAGCTCTTTGTACTTGTAGCCTATAATAGCCGGGAAAGCTGGCCTGTGAATATTAAATAACGAGCTTTAAAATTTAAATGTCATTATATAGTTCATTCATAAACTTTAAGGCTTCTAGTGATCAGCTTTTTTTCATCATATTTATGTCTTCAAACTTTGGGACTTTAAATTGAATACCAACCTGATAAAATGATCCCAACGAAGTATTCATACCATGATGAGGACTGTTTGCCGGGAAAACTCTAAACGAATGGACAGTTGTATGGTGGCTCAGGCCCGCCAACGTTTTAAAATTGATTTGAAAAAAAAAAACACGATGTCAAATCGTTTTCCATTTTAATATTGAATCGGAATTTCATGGCTCAAACCCCAAATCATTTTCCATTTTAATATTAAAATGGAAAATGATTTAACATCGGTTTTATTTCGAATCAATTCTAAAACGATGGCGGGCTTGAGCCAGTTGGTTGTTTTTCCCACGAAACTAAACGAGAAAAAGGCTATTTGAATTTACAGTCATCTTTAAGCGATTGCTGAAATATCAAGTTATACAGCATATTATGTAATACACAGATACAGTTAAGCACATAGTTAATTAAAGTAATCAAGTGTGTTAGCTCGTTATCAAGTTATGAAGTTTTAATAAACTTTAAGTGTGGCACGCGTACTTGGTATGAAGTCATAGACTCATTCTTACTTCAGTACTTTGCATAGTAGAGTTAGTTACAAATACAGTGCTATTACAAGAGATGGATATGTGAGATATGTCTGTCTTCAAACTTCAAAGATCAAAATCATTCGGTATCATGATACGCAGAGATTTGGAGCTTGTTCATTGAACCAATCCCAATGCTTGTACTTGGATGAAATCTATTTATTTTAAAGTGTTAAATTTATGAGATTGGTGCAATAGATTTCCATTGATTGTACTGGTAACTGGGTATCCCCGGAGAAATTCCTGCAACTCGTAGGTGTGATCACAAACTAATGATTTTATCTCCATAGTTCTCAGAAAATTAAAGGGACACCAGGAACCACACCATTCAGTATTTACTAATTTCTATTTCTGGGTATAATATTGCTGGGTATAATATTTCGGAGTATAATATTCGACACGTGCACTGGAGCTTTTTCATTCTGTGAGATTAGATGAAGGCTAGTAAAGATGTGGTTGCTGGCTCGTGATTGGATCTGTATAATATCACGTGATTAAATTCGGAGAATATTACTGCTCATGCTGTACCGGGTCTCACGGATCAATCATAGATTCCTGTAATATCTAAGTGAGAACCATTGTGCGAGAACCGCTAAATACTCTGGATTTGTGGGTTATGGGGTTGGTGATTGGCCTTTGTGGGTGGATGGTGGTTACGTTAGAGGTTTAGCTGTTGACTCTCAAGAGATGTTTTCATCGAACTATCATGAACATCACGAACAACAGTTTATAAAACCTGATAAGATCGTTAGGAAGCTTTATTTCACTTGTTTTCAATTTATTGATCGACCATTTGATATTTTGAAGGGCCATCAACTAAAACAATCAACAATGGTCGATCCCATAATATTCATTATATGGTTATAGTATAGCGCAACAAATTTGACAATGTTTTGTAAACGAACCTCTGGGCGTCCCTCACAGATCATATCCTGGCAGGGATCCAGTAGACATTCCACTAATTCCACACCTTCGTCACACTTGTTAGGGTCACGTGCAGCTGAAAAAGATTTTTTGTAACAATAGTGTTGTTATGGTAACTGTAGTGTTGACTGTTGTTATGGTAACTGTAATGCATCTATAATTTCTGGCACCAGTAGAAAATTTTCAAAGACTGGTAAGTCGGATATTTTTAGAGGATAAAATAATAATTTTTTCGGGTTTTTGATAGAATACACATTTAAAAAGAGGCCAACATAAAAAAGGCTCTAACGCGAAAAATAGAAATATCCAATAAAGCAATAAGTAGTATGCATTATTAAACATAGCAGTTAAAAATGCACCGTAATGTGAATAACACTGTTCCAGGTTCCTAAGTACCCGACCCCAGGTGTCTTAGTAATTATGCGAGTTTTACCTTTTTGCTAACATAATATTGTTGCTACAGGTGTTAACTTTGTTATACCGGAGGCCAGGTTACCTTGTAGTTTATAATGTTTTACTGTCGGTGTTATTTCTATTAAGCAGCAGTCAAAATAGCTGCATTGAGCTTCTCTTGCAGCTATATAAATATTGTATCTTCGCTCGTGAAAAGTAAATGTTACATTTTTGTAGAAATTTGTTTTCGCTTCAAAGTATTTACCTTTTGCTCCTATTTACCGTTAACAATATCACAACTTTTATCTAAACATGGCATTATTGTGGCATCGCTCGATATTTTCAGGAAAAATACTATAGGATTGACGTCACAAAATACATGGGGTGGCAAGTCCCCATACATCGTGGTCCGGTAGTTTCATTGCGTCCTAATATGTTATAACATCGTATTGGGATATACAATTCGCACCCAAAGTAGATCTAACACGCACGGATTTATCGCAAACTCCGATTTATCGTAAACCCCGATAATTTATCCCCCTCCCGATTTACCGTGGCTGTTTACCTTCCTTCACGGTTCCCCGCTGTCGTCTTCCTATATAGCTCCTGTAAACTAAAATAACCTGTTAATATCCACTTCGCAGGAATATCAATCAAATTATCAGCCGGCACCTATCCACGGAAATCAAAATCTTGATTTTATGCGACAGGGAATTTAAAGTTTAAAGCCTGAAGCTAATATGTCCCGACAGGAAGCGTTGATGCTAAATTTTATTCCGCGTTGCGGTCTTGATACAGGAACTTAAATATTTAATCAAAAATTAGCTTCGTCTGTCAGGTTAGTCTGACAAGACTTGCCGGGAAAGTATCATAACCATATGTTTATGTATCAGTCTGCACCTGGCATGTTCCTAATTTATACGCTTCCCATCAAGACAATGTTGTAACTGACAAGTGACACGGGACATGAACTACCAGAAATATTTCATACCTTCCGACTTTTAATAAAACTCTACTTTAATTAGTCTGTTATCCCCCTTTTTGCTGTCTAGTCGGGTATTTGGAGGTATTTATACCCATAAATTTCGGGAAGCGAAGAATAACCGCATTGGAAATTTTGTGGAGATGCGGCTCCGCAGAAATATTACGATCGGTTTTTCATCCCCCCCCCCCCACCCTTGAGTTGTTCATTTCTGAAAGAATGAAGTTTTTCATTTATCTTTATTTGTCTACCCTACAAAAATTAAATGGCGGACTTGCTCAAAGGAGCGAAAATGGACGTTTAGAATTCTTTTAACTCCGAAATTAGATCTCAATTAAAAACGAATTTAGATCTATATTGATTAAATCAAATCGGTTTTGCCATATAATAATGATTTACTTGATGCATTTTGTTTTACAGCGAGTGGAGACTCTCATTGTTTGTTTGTTTTGTTTGTTTATAGAACCCGTCCCCAATCTCGTATTGGAAAATGACTAAACTCAGGTCTGAGTGTGAATACGGGTGGTACCTGCAAGAGTGTTCATTAAGCATTTAGAGTTCTGTAAAACTGCAGTTACAATTGTGCTAGAGTATTTTTAGTATATACGATTGGTATCAGAAATATATCCCTACATGCTTCCAAAATTTGTAAAGCCGTAGTACATACATATCACATTACACCAGAGCCTACACAGTGCAATCTCCTCCAGTCTATCTGCGCCGCGTATATTTGTATAAGCACACGGCGCAGACTGGAAAAAACCACACTCTGCAAGTTCAATCCAGTGCAATGCTACATGTACGTACTACGGCTTCATCTCCAACTTTCTGCACAATGTACTGGAATGTTTTGAAGGAAAAGAAAGAACAAAAAAAGTGATATATATAAATAAAATCAGCGATTTAATGTTAGCCTTAGGACAGTAACTTTAATTCCCTGGTTTCTAAAATCAGCTTTTAAAAAAAAAATAATAATAAAGTATGTAACGTCGATACCAAACCGATTATTGAGCGATAATAACTGAGTAGTTGATTCCTGGGTTGCAGAGTCATTCAGATGTTCCAGTCTTCGAATGTGGTTCTTGTTCAGTTCTTGACCAGAAGTGTCTAATGAAGTAAGTCAGACAAGCAAACTCTTCCTTAAATGCTCATATAAGTCGTCTCAATCCCAGAAATTATGAATGATGACCCAGTGTAAAAGTGCAGAAATCGGCCGAAAATAACAAAGACTAAAAACAGTTAAAAAGTGAAAGGATTCAAACACAAGGAAAATTAATAACTTAGAGCGTAAAAAGGAATATCTCCAAACGGAGTTTTCTGAGAGGGTGAGAGGTTCTTTAATTAGAGCTAATGAGTAAATGAGACCCACTAAAGGTACTAAAATTTAGTACCTTAATTTAGTCTAAATTAACCGGACTGCTAGCAAGGAATCGAGAGTGGGAATAAAACTAAAAGCGGAATAAATTTTAAGATAATGAAACAGAAACTGAAAGCTAAAATATATACCGTTCTAGAATGCCTCCGCAAACTATTGCTCCTTTGTAATGTGCACGTGTTAGTAAGTGTAGTAAAAAGATAAAAATAATAAAGCTATACAAATGAACGGAGCGGTGAAAATCTGAGAGGGTGAGAGGTTCTTTAATTAGAGCTAATGAGTAAATGAGACCCACTAAAGGTACTAAAATTTAGTACCTTAATTTAGTCTAAATTAACCGGACTGCTAGCAAGGAATCGAGAGTGGGAATAAAACTAAAAGCGGAATAAATTTTAAGATAATGAAACAGAAACTGAAAGCTAAAATATATACCGTTCTAGAATGCCTCCGCAAACTATTGCTCCTTTGTAATGTGCACGTGTTAGTAAGTGTAGTAAAAAGATAAAAATAATAAAGCTATACAAATGAACGGAGCGGTGAAAATCTGAGAGGGTGAGAGGTTCTTTAATTAGAGCTAATGAGTAAATGAGACCCACTAAAGGTACTAAAATTTAGTACCTTAATTTAGTCTAAATTAACCGGACTGCTAGCAAGGAATCGAGAGTGGGAATAAAACTAAAAGCGGAATAAATTTTAAGATAATGAAACAGAAACTGAAAGCTAAAATATATACCGTTCTAGAATGCCTCCGCAAACTATTGCTCCTTTGTAATGTGCACGTGTTAGTAAGTGTAGTAAAAAGATAAAAATAATAAAGCTATACAAATGAACGGAGCGGTGAAAATCTGAGAGGGTGAGAGGTTCTTTAATTAGAGCTAATGAGTAAATGAGACCCACTAAAGGTACTAAAATTTAGTACCTTAATTTAGTCTAAATTAACCGGACTGCTAGCAAGGAATCGAGAGTGGGAATAAAACTAAAAGCGGAATAAATTTTAAGATAATGAAACAGAAACTGAAAGCTAAAATATATACCGTTCTAGAATGCCTCCGCAAACTATTGCTCCTTTGTAATGTGCACGTGTTAGTAAGTGTAGTAAAAAGATAAAAATAATAAAGCTATACAAATGAACGGAGCGGTGAAAATCTGAGAGGGTGAGAGGTTCTTTAATTAGAGCTAATGAGTAAATGAGACCCACTAAAGGTACTAAAATTTAGTACCTTAATTTAGTCTAAATTAACCGGACTGCTAGCAAGGAATCGAGAGTGGGAATAAAACTAAAAGCGGAATAAATTTTAAGATAATGAAACAGAAACTGAAAGCTAAAATATATACCGTTCTAGAATGCCTCCGCAAACTATTGCTCCTTTGTAATGTGCACGTGTTAGTAAGTGTAGTAAAAAGATAAAAATAATAAAGCTATACAAATGAACGGAGCGGTGAAAATCTGAGAGGGTGAGAGGTTCTTTAATTAGAGCTAATGATTAAATGAGACCCACTAAAGGTACGAAATTAACCGGACTGCTAGCAAGGAATCGAGAGTGGGAATAAAACTAAAAGCGGAATAAATTTTAAGATAATGAAACAGAAACTGAAAGCTAAAATATATACCGTTCTAGAATGCCTCCGCAAACTATTGCTCCTTTGTAATGTGCACGTGTTAGTAAGTGTAGTAAAAAGATAAAAATAATAAAGCTATACAAATGAACGGAGCGGTGAAAATCTGAGAGGGTGAGAGGTTCTTTAATTAGAGCTAATGATTAAATGAGACCCACTAAAGGTACTAAATTAACCGGACTGCTAGCAAGGAATCGAGAGTGGGAATAAAACTAAAAGCGGAATAAATTTTAAGATAATGAAACAGAAACTGAAAGCTAAAATATATACCGTTCTAGAATGCCTCCGCAAACTATTGCTCCTTTGTAATGTGCACGTGTTAGTAAGTGTAGTAAAAAGATAAAAATAATAAAGCTATACAAATGAACGGAGCGGTGAAAATCTGAGAGGGTGAGAGGTTCTTTAATTAGAGCTAATGATTAAATGAGACCCACTAAAGGTACTAAATTAACCGGACTGCTAGCAAGGAATCGAGAGTGGGAATAAAACTAAAAGCGGAATAAATTTTAAGATAATGAAACAAAAACTGAAATCTAAAATATATACCGTTCTAGAATGCCTCCGCAAACTATTGCTCCTTTGTAATGTGCACGTGTTAGTAAGTGTAGTAAAAAGATAAAAATAATAAAGCTATACAAATGAACGGAGCGGTGAAAATCTGAGAGGGTGAGAGGTTCTTTAATTAGAGCTAATGATTAAATGAGACCCA